AAAGACATACGAAGCGAAGGAATCACATAACCCAAGAGTAATTTAAGCAATTCAAGTAGTTTAAGCCAGGAATCGATATAGAATACATTGAAAAGCTCAGTTACCTCGAATGTTGTCTCGCTTGCAAGTTGCAACAATCAAAGCCATGACGCCAGGGATGGATTCAAACACTGCAAACACTGCAAACAGAAGCTCCCCGATATCATCATCAATTCTATATCAACTTCGTGTAGTTGCACCACAGCTCCATGGCAACTGACTATTAAATAAGGTATGATATACCTAAAAAAGCACAACTAGCCCTCCAACGATATTTAACCCACAAACCCCGCACTACGCCGCCCATGACGCCATCATCCTGACCCGCGGTAGCAAAAAAGAGAGAAAAGAAAAGCAGACATGTCAAGCTCATCCCAAAAGCCTCCGGGCCCCAGATTTCAAGTGCTCACACCAGAAGCTGCAAAACTGCGATCACAACCCCGACCATCACCCTCGCCCACCCCGTCTCCATCCTCTGCCGCACCCTCTACCGCACCCCAAGCCGCTCAACCTGCCCCGGAACCACCTCGCAAGCCATTCTCCCCGTTCTCCTACTTCCGAAGCCGCTATGCGGCCCTGCCCGTTTCTGTCCGCACAGGCTTCCGTGTTCTCCGCATATTAGCGCCCATAGTCCCGATTGGGCTCTTCTTCTCCGAGCATGTCCTGGGGGTCATGTGGGTTAGCGGGCCGTCAATGACGCCCTACCTCAATGAGGACTATGAGCAGATGCATACGAAGCGCGATATGGTGCTTGTGAATATGTGGCCGTGGGGCGGGGCTGGGTGGCCCTGGGAGCGGACGAGGAGGTTGGAGAGGGGGATGGTTGTTACATTCCGGTATGTTTCTGCTCGGATCTGTATGGGTTTCTTTTATGGCTGCGGTGGTTATTGACTGTTGTTTTTTTTCTAGGTCGCCGGCTAACCCGGGCCATATTGCTATCAAACGTGTGGTTGGGCTTCCAGGGGATCGGATCACAACCCGCGACCCTTGTATGAAGCCCTCGCAGATTGTGCCGTTTAATCATGTTTGGTTGGAGGGTGATGCGGCGGACCCGAAGAGGTCGCTTGATAGTAATACTTATGGACCTGTGAGTCTTAGTCTGATCACGGGAAGGGTGATGGCTGTGATGTATCCGCGGTTTAGGATGCTTAAATGGACGGACTGGGAGCAGGGGCTTGTTGAGGGTGACGATGAGCGCAAGTTAGGGGATAATTATCGTCACGAGGTAAGGGATCGCGTGTCGAAGGAAGCGGTCAAGTTGGAGCGGCCTGTTCTATCATAGAGGCTTCTACTTCTTGCCATTATGGGTATATGCTGTACTGTACATAGAGCTTTTGTATTATTATAAAGACGTGTATGAATACGTAGAAGATGTGGGGAACATTTAGGGCAATGAGCGTAAGAAGCACGCAATGAGTTGAGCAACAGACCCCGATTTATCGGACTAGGAGCAGTGACTCATCCAGTGAGCTCAAGTATTAACCGTGTGTTGCAATTACTCGAACATCTTCCGGTTTGCTTTCTTGCAGCCGATCAATCTCGGATACAATGCTCATGACCCAGCGATCTTTGTCTATCCGGCTCCGTGCTTTAAACACCGCAGTTCGCCCATGGACACCCAGCTTGGAAACGTGCTTCAATGTCTGCTTTGTTTGGCCTTTCTCCTCTTGCTCGTGTGCTCGAAAGAGGTTCTTGCGCAGAGGCTGCCAAACCACGAAGGTAATGGCCGTGTCTTCATCACTGCTCGTATAAGCGTCTGTAGAAAGATAAGCCCGGGGTAAGGTGCGATGGCTTGGGCGATTGCTATCGAAAGTTTGGTTGGTATAGAGCAGATCGGACTCTGTCAACAGTCCCGAGTAAACATAGCAGTCGCTTAGATCTATAGTTGCTTCAAGGTTAGAATGGACATGAGGGATTTCAACACCATTGCGCTTCCTCAACGAAGACCGGAAAATCAACAATTTTCCGTCGGTAAGAATGACGTTACATCGTTTGAATGTTGAGTGCCGCCGTGGTTTCCGAAAGAGCTGACCAGACATCTGGGCAATATCAGTATCATTGATTACCCAAAAAACGCATATGGGACCTACTTTGATTGTTCGACAGCCAGTCAAAGCACACATATTGTGTAACAAAGGTGATGCTTCTGCCCGTCTAACCTCCCACTTTTTGGCGAATTGTCCTACCACAGACTCCATCTCTTCGTCAATATCAAGTATCTCTAGGTTGCGCTGTCGCAAGAGTTTGAGCTCCGCCGCATCAGCTGCACACCGTGCTTTCCAGTATTTCACAAGGGCATCAAGCCTCTTCATCCATTCATTCTTAGTCCCCTCGTCGTACGCCTGAAACCGGACAACAAGGTCATTATCTAGAAGCATCTCAAATGTTTTATCGTCGTCGAACTTCTGAGTTGCGCCATCATCTCGCCGAGTGTCTCTCGCTTCGGGATTGAACTCAACATCTGGCCCTTCCCGGATATTTCGGTCGGCAGGGCAACTGTTACGCTGCACATCACGCACTTCCTGCACTCGACAGATATCGATGTGGCCATCAGCATTGGTCAGATTGTGGAGATTCCTGCGAAGCTGTGCAAATGCTTCCTCATCGTGTCTCTTTATGTGCTCCTTGTTGCCACTTGAGAGCCAAGTTATCTCTCCGTTCTGTATTGGAAACGGATCAACATCGTATGAGAGTGGCATTTCATTCAGAATGTCTTGCGTTGATGGGATATTTGAATCATCTGCATAAAGTCTTGGGGGAGCTGGTGGCAGGGACTTTGCGGGTCTGCAGAAAAATAAATAGTGGTCTTGAGTGAAGCAATATAGGCGCTTGAAGAACATTTTGTTCATGCGCTGGTGCACACCTCTTTGTGATGTAAGGCGAATCAGAAAGCCCTCCACTGGTTCTGGTTCTTCGTCCCTCTTGTCATCATTATGTACATGCGTACGATAGTGTTGTCGCGGTCGGAGCTCGAGCTCGTGAGTCCTTTGCATCGCTAAGGTTCCGTACATTCTTTCCTCATTGATGCCGTGGACCCATTCCAAACGATCGTATCGCTTCCAAGCAAGGCCCATTCTCTCAGTTTTAGACCATTTCTGCAGTACATCGGTCCATTCAGGATGTTTATCCAACAATTCAAAGCAACCACGTATAATGATCTCTGCTGCTGCTGCCTTCTGCGGGGTAGAACGAGAAAGTATTCCACTTCTCTCATTCGCCTCGAGACGCGCTTCCAATTGCTTGAAAGGGTTTTCAAATGTAAGCGACACCCCAAGGTCTGGTACATTAATTGATAGTGAAGACGCCCGGCGTCTTCCTAACGCGTAACCTAGAGACGTGTACCATTCAACAGCGTGCGCCGTAGATTTAGGTCGTATGATGTAGATCTTTGTGCCATGCTTGCAGGGACCCCAGATCACAACAGTCTTATCCAGAGAAGAGTACAGGTTCAAATTTACCTTCTTGCGACCTAACAAGATCTCATGGTAAGGTTTCGCCTTAGTGTTGTGTCTCTGGATCTCGGGGATAACGCGCGTCTTATACATCTGGAGAGTAAACGGCGCATCCTCATCAGACGTCGCTCGAAGAACCACCAAGAACTCCCTCCAATTATCGGCAACTCTAGTTTCCATCCTCCAGCTGTCATTCTCACCATAGTCTTCTGGAAGTTCATGCTCCGTCTCCTCGATCCGAACAAGCATCCTTTCAGCCTTGATAATCTCGCCTGCTTTTACTTTGCGCCGACGGGACAACGTTCCTGAGACCAGGTTATGTGTCCTTGAAATTCGAGATCGGAGTCTTTGCTGTCTATCCAAAAGATTATCATTGTATTTTATGGCTCGTTTGTGGAAACGAAGCCGTTCATCGCCAAGGTCTCCGGTACTTTCAATTTCCTGAGTTTCAGGGTCCGGTGTTGAGAGTGCTCTAGTAATTCGTCCTTTCCCTTTGAGCAGCGACCTAGATCTTAGCAACGGGGTCGTAGATCCAAGCTCACTTTGCGATGCCATGGGGCTTGACTGACTGGCCTCATACTGACTCACGGTCCTTGATGTTGGTTTGCTCAGTGGTCTGATGGTCTCCCCACTGCTGTGGTCACCCGAGGTCTGCTGTATGCTATCTGGGCTGGCGGCGACCTCTCTTGCTGTTATGTAAGATTGCGCATCTGTCGCTGTGCTAGCTGGAGTCTGGTTGTGCCTCTCTGGGACCAACATTGAGGGGCCGGGTGTGGCAGAGGTATGGGAAGAGGGCGCTTCAGTGGTTTCCCCTAGCGGTTCACTTAAAGTCCTGAGGGCTTTATTACCACCAGCCTCCTGCTCACTGGAGTCCTCTTCCTGTTCACCCTCTATAGTATCCTCTGGCTCATCGTTCTTTGTCAATTCTGGAGATAACTCCGCAGGGTCCTGCGAGTACTGTGCAATATCGGTTTCCGCCCGAAAAGTAACGGTTTTGGAGGAGTAATTCTTGAATCTAAGTCGCGTTTTATACCATGATTTGCGATGGTTTTGCAGCCAGCCTTTGGGGATTGGCCCGATAAAGAATCGTCTGGTGGTTACATGGACATGATTGGCAGATGCATAACGCTTTAACACTGGTTAGTTTTTCTGACAGTGTATAGAATGATGATACCCCTACCAATTTCTCAGATGTATAGAACTCCGGTTCCAGGCCATGGTGGCGGTCATAAAATGCGGTGTGTAGGTTGGTCTCCATTGTGTCGCCAGCATGCTGAACTAGGGGGTATTGAGTGCTCATTGCACGCCTCCACAAACATCAGATGTGAATATAAGGGGAGATATTTTATATAACATTAGACAAATTAGCTTGATTAGCCCCAGGGCCTATCAAGATCCACAGAGGCGATGTGCAATCAGGAACCGATCGATCAGTCCCAGTTCTAAAGGTGGACTTCAGGCGATGACGTCGTTGTTCTTCAGCCCTGGTCACCCGTTTGCTTTGTTTGTGCTGTTTGATTCGTTTGCAGATGTAAATCAGGGGGCCAGAGTCTGGACCCGCTGATTGGCCTTGCCGCTTGCGTGGCCATTGTCCCGCTAACGGCGGTGTGACAGGTAGACATAACAGCTGGTGCCCCTCAAACTGCCTCCTTTCTCTCTACTCTGCTCCGTTGTTTCTTGCTCTCTTCTCTCATTTCTCTTCTCGTACACTACAATTCAAAATGGCTTCCCAGACCTGGTTTGACGGCCTTAAGAGGTCCTTCGCCGATGTTCCCGTTGGCGCAGACAACTCCATTTCTACCACCGAGTTCCTTGAAGCTGCCGAATCCCTGACTACCTTGTTCGGTACGAAATTGAACTGACTTGACCCTGGAATCTGTCCAATTCTGACGATATTTAGATGTGCTCGGATCTAAGGCTTTCTACCCCGTTAAGAGCGACCTCCTTGGAAATGTCAAGGTCCGAGAATCTTTACCCCACCTTCAACTGCAGGAAGACCTAACTTCAGTATAGAAACTCAAAGACCGGCAGCTGGCTGCCCCCGCCGAGTCTGAGACTGTCCAGTCTCTCTCTGTGAATGAGCTGAAGACCAAGAAGCACATTGCCTCTGAGGGTCTGCTCTGGCTTGTTAGGTATGGACTGATCGTTGCTCTCAACTCTTCTAGGGTGGTTATCAGGGGGTTGAAACGTCTCCACTCATGGATGTTTCGAATATATGGAATGGTTGTAACTGTGCAATTAGCTAACCACGTCGAAACAAAATAGGGGTCTTGACTTCACAGCCCAATCCCTCCGCCGCCACGTCGACAACACCTCCGAGAAGCTCGCTGACTCCTTCCGTGGAGCCTACGGCGTTACCCTCAGTAAGCACCATGGTTGGGCTATAAAGCCGGTCTTTAACCTGGCCATGGGTGCTGCCCCTGACAACGAGAGCTTCTACAAGTCCCTGGCCTCCAGCACCTCTGTCTCCGACGAGGTCAAGGCGAAGATCCAAGAGCAGTTGGCCCGCGAGGTGAAAGCTCTGGAGAACATCGTTTCCATTCTTCAGAAGTTCCAGGAGCAGCCGGACGCCAAGTGGTAGATCTAAAGATGACCATTGGCGTTGTTTCCGTTCATTCAGAACCATTTCTAGTGCATAATATTTCATCGCATGATGCTCTAAACATGTATATAGGTGACTATACATACCTGATTTCAGAAGCGAGCAGGACCTCTATTCAGGACACAGTTGCTTTATTAAAGAGCTCATCATATTATTCAAAGATATCATACAATACTACATATTATGTTGCTGTGCTGGCTTGCCTTTGCCTTTCTTGATCGCCATTGTGACTTAGCGGATTCAGACAGACGGCTTGTGTTTTGCTATGACGCCATGCATAAGCCCTAGTATTAGACACTGTAGTCCAATTTAACACAGAACGACATGCGATGTCTGCTATACTTTTCAATTTGCAAGAAGTACCTGGATACTGGAGTTGCCCTGAGCAATGGTATTCGTAACCAGTAAATGGAACCTTTGGTAGTCGTTAATACCAGAGTTCCACCATCTCCCACTGCCTACCATCTGCATCATCGATGGGGTAGCTTGGTGCATCGGAGGGACTCGATCTCGCGTTTAGTCCCTGCATTAGGGTTTGGTCTTGGACCATGGCCGAGAGCCGCCATGTGGGACACTGCAGTGGACACAGGGATAACAAGCTTCACTATGTGTCTACTGGTAGTTCAACACAACGGTGACAGTCATTGACCGAAGTTTGGCGGTTATATGAAGAGCAACAGTTCACAATGGTGCAACATTGTGGTCTTCAAAAGAGGACTCCGTAGATGCGTATGACAACCTCCCCCCCACCCCGGTCTCGGAGATGCTGACAGGCCTTGCGTTGTCGAGCACTGGCCGCAAAGGCACTGTCAACTGACATGCTGGGCAAAAACGCAATATACAATGACCCCAGGAATGCCCTGACAGATCACTTCCCTCGACGGCCTGATTTAATGAGTTGTATAGCAGAGATGGTCCGGCTAAAAGAGGAAGACGGTTAGATAAGAAATTCTTTATCTCTTTGAAATAGAGTTTAGGCGGGATGGCTTGTCACTGTCGGTCAGTTTCACATAAACAATTGACCGGTTTCTTCCAATTAAAAATAACCCACAGAGGTGACATCTGTGCAGATATAAATGGAAAAGAGACATAGACCGGACTCCAGCCTTATGCATGTCACGCAAGATCGTGATACGATGCCTGTGTCAGATTGAGATAGCCTGAAACATTCACGCCCAGCGTACACAGTCGACAAGGAAGCTAAGCTAGTCTATCAAGCGCATGTACTCGGTACTCGCGGAGGTATTGCCGAATCGAATACCGAAAGACGGCTCTTCTCTTGAGGGCAAGATTAGACTCGAGCGATAGCTGAACCTAGCTGATAGCATTAGCTACGGATTGGGAGCAGATCGTCACAGCAGGATTTGATCAACAAGGCGCCGTCAACAAGCATTGCTGGTCTGCTCGCTACGGGGTACATTTCACCGCGGAAAAGAGTACCCAAATCGAACATTCCCCGCTGCGGCAGTTGAAACTTGAACGGCGTGGAAACGGTGGGAGAGGCTAAGGAAAAGGGGGAAGACAGAAGCCGCTCCCGGCAGCGGATTTGCACTAACAATTCCTAAAATAGCATAATTGATATGCAGTTCACGCTCTATAAAAATTCTCTTGGTCGATGAAACAGACCACTCAGCGGCCTCTCGCCAAATCTAGCGAATAGCAACATTGCTTAACATGGCACTAGTATCGGCCGGAGTAGATCGTGCTACTCCATATAATGTCTTCGGGGAGGAGATTTCTTATAGCTTGTGCTTACATCTAGTAGTTAGTTGGCAGAGGTCCTGTTTCTTAATCACTACTAGGTATGTAGGTATAACACCGTGCATACCTATTGCTAGTAGTGCACAGATGTATATGCACAAATGAAAGGGTGAATGAGAGGGTGGCAATGAATCTACAGCACCACGTTTTTGCCCTGTTGTGATCTTATTATGCACAGCATACTCCGGAGTAGAGCAATGACACAGGCGAAGAATGTGCTAAACAGCCTAAAATATCCCATCGGCAAAGCAGATAAATTACTGTGGATTCCCGGATACCACTACGGAGTCCTGTGGGGCGGGAACTCGACCCTACCAACTTGGGGCTAAGCCGCCAGTGCCCAACTTGGTAGAACTCCGGCTTGGATGCAGTGCCATGTTACTTTGAATGTAACCTATCGCCGCGGTGTCGCTTTTAAAGGATTAGTGGACATGTGAGTTGCCAAGCCGTTGTGGGTATAAAGTGCAAGTGTATGTGTATAGTTATACCGCCGGTGATTGAGTGAGCCAGTGAGGGTTAGCTTTGTTCTTACTCACGGAAAGTCAAACGGGTTATCCGAGAAAGAAAAACAAGGTTTAGCGAATAGTCTAGAAACAAGCGATCCTCACACACTACTTAGCGATGGTGCTACTAACAGTAAGTAGACGCGCTGGAGGCTGAAAAGGGGCAGCTAGCGGTTTATAGTTTATAGTTGGTCTTCGGTGTGTGCTGATCCCTATGATGGAAGAATCTTAATAGCCACCGCTTCAACCAACTTACTTCGAGCCATGAAGTCTATCATGCCGATCTTAAGATAGGATCAATTCCATTTACGGAGCCTTTCTTCATCTGGACCTCCGATCAGCATTCAATACTAGGGTACCATGCACAGCAGAGTTTGATTCTCGTATTCGATATCCCACGAGAGGCGAAACACGAAAATTGGAATACGCATGTGAAGATCCTTCAGAATGTAAAAGGGGATTTAACCTATTTGCTCCATAAGTTAAATGTTCCTGACGTTGCCGACAAACCCATGACTCGTTAGGCGGTATATTAATTGGATATCATTAGATTCATTACATTTATAGCAAACGGGCTAGGATCTGAACCATGGATTGCTCACCCACTCTGCCCTGTAGCACGGTCTGGAATGTGCATAGCTTAGCTATCCACACGAGGAGGGGGAAAAAAAAAAAAAAAAAAAGAAACAAAAAAGGCTTGTGATCGAAGCAGGATTTCTTTCTTGCCTTGACTCGTCACCAAAAAGAGAGAGAGTCGCTGTCGGCCAACGAATGCTCCAAAAAAAAAAAAAAAAAAGAAAAGAAAAGAATGAAGAAGTTAAAAAGGAAGAGTATTTGGTGGCTCTACTGGATTAGCTTCGCTTGGCAGATGGGCTCCTTAGGTAATATTGTGAATAAAACTCCTTCGTGGCCAATGGTAACCCATGTGATTGTTGTAAGCACGTCCCGACCATATTTGTACTCCGAGTAAGGGACTTTTGCAGGCGCATTGATGCCAAACTCTGCATCTTTCACAATTGAGATTGGGAGAAGAACACTCATAATTGAACCAAGCTCGAGCGAGGTTCTTGAGATGCCATGCGAACTGGGACATTATCGGGCCGGAGCGGATATTACGACGGCTATGGCTCCGCGCAAGTCCGTATTTGCCTCCACTGATGAACCCCTTCACCTTCGATGTTAGGTAATTCCAATTTATCACTAAGCCGTCCGTGTCCTTCGTCTCTCCACTTATTCCATCGTCGGAACTATGGACCATCACAAGCAGAAGCCCACTCAAGTACCGTGGTTAATGCCCATAATTCTTGTCCAAGACAGATGAACCCTAGTCAGCCATTTCGCATCGCTTTTTCTCCTCACTTTGAGTCATGTCATCCTACGGAGTACATGGGCCTCAACCCCTGCGCCTTAGGGCAACCAAACTAAGGACTAGTAGACAATAGACCAGCCGAGGTCATCCTTGTAGTTCCGAACATGCGCTTACTGAGGAGGCTCGCTTCCCAATAGTGTCCTGGAAAGTCCGGCTATGAGGCACGTTTAAAGTTCTAGTCTACCGCATGCTGCTTCTCGAGCCAAATAAAATGAAAATGACAATGGCGCTATCCCCACACACCCAACGAAGTGGCACCTGGAGTTGGCTCCAGCCGGCATTTTCGATGCAACTAACTCCCTGGAGTCGCATGCTTGCCACTGCGACTGTAAAAGTGTAATTGTCAAAGCGTGCTTTTTTAGCGCAGAGGCCCAGTTTCATCCCCCCCCCCCTAATAATGTATGGTATCCCGCAGTTGGAAGGATGATGTCTTGAGTTACATTCAACCTTGTGGTTATCCTTTCCACTACTCCTAGGAAATGTCCTTGGCTTTCTAGATTATGCATCCTGCTTGATCTAATCAAGCCTTTGCTTCACGATGGTAGAATTCAAGGGTCGCAGCGAACAAATCTTTGTCGTCACCATCATTTTTCTGGGGATTTCTTTCATCTCCGTCTGTCTGCGATGTTTTGTTCGGCTGAGGTTGGTAAAAGCCTTCGGGTGGGATGATATTTTCATGGTGTTCGCGATGGTATGTGGTTGGCTTACTGGGTTGCCGGAGTATGCCTTGTTGGACTAAACTAACCATGTTATAATTCAATCGCAGGCGTTGAATATATTGTTCGCCTTATGCGGTATCACAGGTGCGGTTTATGGTATAGGTCGGAAGTTGGATGACCTTGAGCCTGAACATGTTGAAGCCGCATTGTTTGTGCGTGGAATCCCAGATTGAACCTCTTCTTTGACTGACGCGCTCGATACAGTGGTGGTGGCTCGGCCAGACAAGCTATGTTTTCACATGTGTAATTGCCAAGATTTCTATCGCATTGGCACTTCTTCGCCTCACGGTCGCTAAAATGCATACGATACTCCTCTGGGTCGTCATTGGCGTCTCAACTGTCGTGGGCCTTGTATTTTGGTTTATGTTGACATTACAATGTCAACCGGTGGAGTATTTCTGGCAGCGGATGAGGCCGGGAGCTTCGGGAACTTGTATGAAAACTCAGCACCTCATTGATATCGCCTACGTTTACAGCGTCTTCGCCACACTTTGCGACTTTATCCTGGGTCTGTTGCCCATCGCCCTGGTGTGGAACCTGCAAATGAACACGAAGACAAAGGCTGCTTTGGCCGGTATCCTAAGCTTGGGTTGCATGTAAGTTTAAGTTGCCATAGGTGCATACTTTTGCCTTTGGTTCTATTGCTGATTGTCTGGGGTTTAGTGCGAGTGCTGCCGTTATAGTCCGCATTCCTTACCTTCATCACTATAAAGACAGAGAATTCCTCTGTGAGTTCTCGCTGTCATCCCTGCGTGAAACCAAAAGACTCTCCCAGCTAACCCACAGCTCTACTTAGATGCAACAACCGATATTTCAATCTGGTCCAATGTTGAAGCTGGTCTTGGTATAACGGCAGGAAGTCTCGTCACCCTCCGCCCGCTCTTCCGCTGGTTCCGGGGAACTAGCTATGGTGCCACCCATAGTGTAAAAAGAACGACCGGTAGCGTTCCTCTGTCAAGTATGAACGGCAACGGGACGCTGCAGTCCAAGAATGATCGTGCGGCAGCAACAAGGTACTGGAGACCAGATATCGATCCCGAAGACTCTCATGCGATCGTCACCACAGTCCAGACTTCCCACAGTGGGAATAGCAGTCAGGAGGATTTGAATCCTAAACAGCACCCTATGAACGGTGTCAACGTGCACAAATCATTCTATGTATCATCCGATGAGATGTAAAGTATTAATTGTAATTCATGACACGAATTCACTAGAGTTTAGAGAGAGAAAAAAACAAATAAAAAAAATGAAATGAAAACTTCAACTTGCTTGAAATTCTTCTGAAACTTGGTATAGAAAAGCAGAGTCCATATCATAGAAACTGTTGCTGCCCATGGATCAATTCAACGTGATTCGCTAGTACTTGCATCGGATTGGAAAATGTCAGTTCCGTACATGGCACGTGGCGTCAGCCAATCGACGACGCGCGACGACGGACCTTGAGAGTTAAGCGGCGAAACCTCCGGAAGGAAAATTATAGTGTCGAGGTGGCTTCTTTGCGGCGTTTCTTGACGGCGTTTTGCTTTCGAATGCAACAACCTGCACAGATCGGCAGCCTTACTTCACCTTTTCCTATGGTTTACTGAATCTCCCGTCTCATCTTCTAGCCTCGCGTCGTTTGACCCGAGTCGTGGTCACTCGAGTACTCACCATGTTAGTGATAGCCTCTTGTCGAGTGCAATTCCAGACTAACCAGCGTATAGGGCAAAACTCGTAGATGATCCGCAGATCAAATATTCGTCGTTCCATAACCCACTTCCTGTCCAGCTTCACACTTATGTCTGGCCGTTTTTAATCGTCTGGCCTGCGTTCTTGTCCATCTACCTCTCTCCTGAGCGCTATGATACCTATATTCAAGGCCAAGAATGGACTTTTGTCTGGCTTGCATCGATTATCACGGCTCAATCGCTCCTTTGGTTGATGACGAAATGGAATATCAACATCCAAACACTGTTCACCGCAACGAGTACAAAGTCTATCGATTCTGCACAGCTCATCAAAGTGATTCCCGCGGCCAACGCTGGGTCGGCCGAAATATGTCCTTTGATACGCGATTCCATGGGTGGAAAGATCACAATCTCATTTTTGTTCCAGAAGCGCCGGTTCCTGTATTATCCGGAACGTCGGTGCTTTGGGCCCCTGTCATACGTCCTTGATGCCGAACCCAAGCCCGCCATCAAGGTTTTCCAAGAGAACCAGGGGTTACCGTCCAAGGCCGAAGTAGAGCGCATCCAGCACCATTATGGGGACAACAAGTTTGACATTCCTGTTCCGGGATTCATTGAGCTTTTCCAGGAGCATGCTGTGGCGCCTTTCTTCGTCTTCCAGATCTTCTGCGTCGGACTGTGGATGCTGGATGAATATTGGTACTACTCCCTGTTCACACTCTTCATGCTGGTTGCATTCGAGAGCACCGTAGTTTGGCAGCGTCAGAGGACTCTTAGTGAATTTCGAGGAATGAATATCAAACCCTACGACGTGTGGGTGTACCGTGAGAGGAAATGGCAGGAGATCACTAGTGACAAGCTTCTGCCCGGCGATCTAATGTCAGTGAGTCGGACTAAGGAAGACAGTGGAGTGGCCTGTGATATCCTTCTGGTCGAAGGCAGTGCTATCGTCAACGAAGCCATGCTCTCGGGAGAGAGTACTCCACTCCTGAAGGAGTCTATCCAACTTAGACCTGGGGACGATTTGATTGAACCGGATGGTCTAGACAAGAATGCCTTTGTGCATGGTGGTACCAAGGTTTTGCAGATCACTCATCCGAACTCTAACTTGGAGGAATCAGAGAAGAGCACGTCGAAGGTTCCTTCTCCTCCTGACAATGGCGCCATCGGTATCGTGGTGAAGACTGGCTTTGAAACAAGCCAAGGTAGCCTCGTACGTACTATGATCTACTCGACAGAACGCGTCTCGGCCAACAATGTGGAAGCCTTGCTTTTCATTCTGTTCCTTCTCATTTTTGCCCTCGCCGCTTCATGGTATGTGTGGCAAGAAGGTGTCGCACAAGACCGCAAGAGATCGAAGTTGCTTCTTGATTGTGTCCTCATCATCACCAGCGTCGTTCCTCCTGAGCTTCCCATGGAACTCAGCCTTGCTGTCAATACAAGTCTTGCTGCTCTGAGCAAGTTTGCTATTTTCTGCACTGAGCCCTTCCGGATCCCCTTCGCGGGACGTGTCGATGTGGCTTGCTTTGATAAAACTGGTACATTGACTGGAGAAGATCTCGTCGTCGATGGTATTGCGGGTCTTACCTTAGGTCATCAAAGCGCGAAGGTCGAAAAGGACGGCGCTCATACCGAGCTTGCCAAAGGCGGCAACATCGGAGTTGACACAACTCTTGTCCTTGCGAGCGCCCACGCTCTGGTCAAACTGGATGAAGGAGAAGTCGTTGGTGATCCAATGGAGAAAGCTACTTTACAGTGGCTCGGTTGGACCCTTGGCAGGAACGATACTTTGACTCCCAAGAATGCATCGGCAGCCGACCCTTCCCATTCCCCCGAATCAGTTCAGGTCAAGAGGCGATTCCAGTTCTCTTCGGCTTTGAAGCGTCAGAGCACAATCGCAACGGTTATCACTAATGATCGAAAATCATCCAAGAAGAACAAGTCAACCTTTGTTGGCGTCAAAGGTGCTCCGGAGACTATCAGATCTATGCTTGTGAACGCACCCCCCAACTATGAAGAGACGTTCAAGTACTTCACTCGTAATGGTGCTCGTGTTCTTGCTCTCGCCTATAAGTATCTTTCTCATGAGGCCGAATTGTCCCAGGGACGCATCAACAACTATACTCGTGAGGAAGTAGAATCAGAACTGATCTTCGCTGGTTTCCTTGTCTTGCAATGCCCTTTGAAGGAAGATGCCATCAAGGCCGTGCGCATGTTGAACGAGAGCAGCCACCGCGTTGTAATGATTACTGGCGATAACCCATTGACCGCCGTTCATGTCGCACGCCAAGTTGAGATCGTAGATCGTGAAGTCCTGATTCTCGACGCACCCGAACACGACACCTCTGGAACCAGACTAGTCTGGCGCAGTATTGATGACAAGTTTAACCGTGATGTGGATCCTACTCAAAACTTGGACTCTGAGATTCTGAAGACGAAAGACATCTGTATCACTGGCTACGCATTGGCTAAGTTCAAAGGTCAGAAGGCCTTCTCGGAGCTCCTACGTCACACATGGGTATATGCTCGCGTCTCTCCTAAACAAAAGGAGGACATTCTCCTCGGCCTCAAAGATGCTGGTTATACTACTCTGATGTGTGGTGACGGCACCAATGATGTTGGGGCTTTGAAGCAAGCGCATGTTGGTGTTGCACTTCTGAATGGATCCCCTGAAGATCTTACCAAGATTGCCGAGCACTACCGGACGACAAAGATGAAGGAAATTTACGAGAAGCAGGTCGCCATGATGCAGCGCTTCAACCAGCCATCGCCGCCTGTGCCTTTGCAAATTGCCCACCTGTATCCTCCTGGCCCCACCAACCCACACTATCAGAAAGCCATGGAAAGGGAAGCGGCGAAGAGAGGATCAGCTGCTGTAGCAAACACTCAAAATCAAGCCGACAGCATTCCAACTATTACATCGCCTGGTGCGCAAGCACTCCAGCAGTCCAATGCTAATTTGACTCCTCAACAGCAGCGCCAGCAGCAAGCTTCTGCGGCGGCGGCTGGATTGGCAGACAAGCTTACCAGCTCCATGTTGGAGCAGGAATTGGATGACAGCGAACCTCCCACGATCAAACTGGGAGACGCATCGGTTGCTGCGCCTTTCACTAGCAAGTTGGCCAATGTTATCGCCATTCCCAATATCCTTCGTCAAGGCCGTTGTACGCTCGTTGCGACAATCCAGATGTACAAAATTCTTGCTCTGAATTGCTTGATCAGTGCGTACAGTCTGAGCGTTATCTACCTCGATGGAATTAAGTTCGGCGACGGTCAGGTGACCATCAGTGGCATGGTGATGAGTGTCTGCTTCCTTTCAATTTCGCGCGCAAAGGTAAGAAATCACGCAAGCGACATGCTCAATACGATGCTAACTTGATATTATAGTCTGTGGAAGGTCTGTCCAAAGAACGCCCTCAGCCTAATATTTTCAACGTATACATCATTGGCTCGGTACTTGGGCAGTTTGCGATCCACATTGTGACTCTGATCTACTTGTCAAACTACGTCTATTCCATTGAACCGTATGTCCCTTTGGCTGAATTATGCTAGGAATCTTGCTGACACTCCCCAGGAGAAAATCCGACATCGATTTGGAGGGAGAGTTCGAGCCATCCCTACTCAACAGCGCCATTTACCTGCTTCAACTCATCCAACAGATCTCTACCTTCTCTATCAACTACCAAGGCCGTCCTTTCAGAGAGTCCATCCGGGAGAACAAGGCCATGTACTGGGGCTTGGTGGGAGCATCGGCTATGGCCTTCTCCTGCGCCACTGAGTTCATTCCCGAGCTCAACGAAAAGCTACGCCTCGTCCCGTTTAGCACAGAGTTCAAGCTAACGCTGACCGTCCTCATGATTTTTGACTACGCCGGTTGCTGGATTATTGAGAATGTACTGAAGACGCTGTTCAGTGATTTCCGCCCGAAGGACATTGCCGTGCGCCGTCCGGACCAGCTCAAGCGGGAAACCGCTCGTAAGGCCAAGGAGGAGCTGGAGAAGTTGTCTGCGCAAGAAGCGCAGAGGAAGGTTTAAATTAATTATTCTTCTCTAGATATTTTTAGGGGGTATGCTGTTTAGATATACTATTGTTGCTGCGAGCGGATAGAAGTCTATGCTTTTGGCATGTATGGGAGAATTCATGTTGTAAAGTGTTCTATACAATACAAAATGTTAGACATGTATAGTCGAGTACAGTTTGGGACCACGTTCTACCGTGCAAATTGTGTACTGTTCAGAATTCAGGGCAAGTCTATGTCCTGGTACAGTACGGAGTACGCCGCAAGTACATGCATACATGGGTGTTTTTGCCTCAGGCATCACATGGGGGATCCGCCCCTCCTAGGTAGCCTGGATCAGCTGTCCTCCGTTGCTGCATCCCCAAGGCTCCGCCTCGATCCAGAACTGAAACATCAAAGCTGCGCTGCATGAACGGCCGGCTGTTACACTATTCCCTTTACTCTTCTTTTCTTTTACTTTCCCGCCCAGATCTCCTTCCTTACCGCTTTCCGCGGAATTTCCCTCCCATGCTCTACTAATTTAAGCCAATATGTCCCGGAGGACGTTGGGTGGAGGTCGTATCCTAGGCAGCGCGAACGCTCTCTCCCCATCGGCTTCAACCCCGTCTCCGCAACCCAAACCGAGGCTCTTATCACCGACCGCCAGCAGCGTTTCCCTTAGCTCCCAGGCCTCTGCCTCCCAATTTTCCTCCGAAACACAAGATCTCACCTCTCGCATCTCTCTTGATAATGTCGGTACCTCGATTCCTGCCGCCCCGGCAGCTGCCGGAGCTCAACTGGCTTGTCCAATCTGCAGTGAGGAGATGGTATGTTTACTTGCTCCTCTTTGTCCATAGTCTTCACATCTATTCTCAACACGAGGCGACTTACTGACAGCCGTACAGGTAACACTGTTACAGTTGAATAGGTATTACCTACTCCACGGATTTTATCCCGCCCCCCGTTAATACAGTCGCAGACATCTTGATGACGTACATCAGAACTTAGAAGATGATCGACAGGATGAAGTCAAGGATTGGTTCAAAATACAGATGGAGAAAGCGAGACGGTTCCAGCCTCTTGCCGTCTTGAACCAGAAATTAAAGGGGCTAGATGTTTTCGAGTCGAACGACAATCTGCAACCCTTCGCCGGCCCCAGTCGTCCTTCTGGATCCATCCAAGCGCCTGCCCCTGAACTACCGAAACCACTTGACCCTGACGACATCATAACAAAAGATCATTGGCAAACACGAGGTCTATATGATGTTTGTCTGGAACCGTCGTGCGGGAAGCGACTTAATGCCACCAATGGATGTGTCAACTGTCGAAAATGCGGGAAGCTATTTTGCGAGGAACACACCATGTACCAGATGAAGTTATCGAGGTCGGCGCAACATGAACCGGTAAGAGGTTTATGGTGTAGGGTTTGCGAAACGTGTTATAAGTCTAGGGAGGGGTATAATGATCACAATGGTAAACCGGGTTCCGCGTGTGCGTCGCTCTATAATTGCTAATAATTACAGGCCTGATAAGGGACCGAACGGACGATTTCAAATCTGTGAGAAAACAAACAGTCGACAAGGCTTTCCTAGAAGTATCCCGGCTAGAAAAGCGTTTGACACGACTCACCCAGCTATTAGCTAGCTTGCCTGTGGAACAGATCCAGTCGAACACAAGTAAGATCTGGTCCATAGCGTGGCAGAATGACCAACGAAAGACCCTTGAGCAAACAGTCGTCAGCTGGCAGGACGACTCGAGCGTCTTGAGATGTCCATTTTGTCAGCAAGACTTTACCAGCTATACTTTTCGAAGGCATCATTGCAGAACTTGCGGGCGAGTTGTCTGCGGTGACCCAGCCACCGGGTGTTCTACTGAAGTACCTCTGAGCATCACCCCTTGTAAGTTTATCACTTAGTAGCTAAAACAACCTTTACTGATAACTTGCAGTATCGAAAACATCCACAGAGAAGTCCAGTAACATGGACATAATGAACATTGATGTCAGACTCTGTAAAGAATGCAGGGCAACGATATTTGACCGTCGAGACTTCGAAGCCGACCTCATGCGGAAACCCCCAGACTTAAGGGCTTATGAGAATCTGGTACAGTTTGAGAGGGGCATTCGAATCCTTTTGCCTAAGTTTCAAAAGCTATTAACGGCACTGCAGTATGTGATCTGCCACCCATATAAATGCTGTTTGTATGCTAATCATGTACATTAGAGACCCCAGACGGCCACCATCGTCCGCTCAAATAGCTGAAGCGTCCAAAATCCGCAAGCGACTTATTGATTCCTTCGCCCAGTATGATGTCGCCGCTCGACGCATACGCGACCTGCCTACAGAATCTTCAGCACAGCAACGTCTCCAGAAGGCTGTATATCAGCAGGCCAGCAACTTCCTCCATCTTCATATGCTTCCTTTAAAATCTCTGCCCAAAGTTCTCAAACATTCAACGCTCAATGGCCGACTACCAAGCTCTCCTACCAGCTCACCCAGCCCTAACAATGGTTCGACGAGTGGTCATCGACGACAAGGCTCTGCCTTGTCTATTATTAAGTATAGTAGTGTGGCTGCAAGTGGCAGTAACAGCAGCCTGGCTAGCGACACAAGCAGCGCCATTTCCGCACTAGAAGCAGAAGAAAAGTCGCTCCGTGAGCGGCTTATTGTTCTTGAGGAACAGAAGTTCTTCGTCTCTGAAATGATCGCTGATGCGAACCGACGCCGCAAGTTCGACGATGTCAGCAGTCTGGCAATGAACGTGGAGGATCTCACCCGTGAAATTGACCGTGTGAATGGGATGCTAGAGAGGATAGACTTTGAGAGCGTCTATACCAGCAACCCGTCAACCAGTTGATAGCGATTTTCATAACTCGACTTACGTTGGCTAGCGTTTACACCCACTCCTTGTTCGCGTAGCAATAAATCCTGATGAGTTTTGGTCGCATGGTGGCTGAAGCGGCGTTTAGGATCGATAATTCTGCATAGCATTGGGCGTTTTGTGTGTCGGGCTCCCCCCTTTTATGGCGGCCTTTACGATTGATTTCTCTGCCGTTACTTCTAGTATGTGACTATGGCCCACCTGGCCCGGTCTATTGATTATTCTCTACATTATGATAGATATATCAGATGTCATATCGAATCTATACATTGCCAGCTATACTTCACCTGCCTATTCCGCTATCGTAACTTTGAAACCTGGGACTAAAGGTGTTCATCACACAAAGCGTCCGTATGACACTATACGCATCACAGGGAATTTGTTGGTATTGGTGCATCGATATCTCCTCGGTAGCTGAGTTATAACAATAGCGGGAAGAATGAATGACCTCTACTGAGATGGCGGCTGTTTATATATCTCAAAAACCTATAATGGACCTACGCCATGTGCCTTGTGAGGGTCTTCCAATATGACAAGCCAGGAAACTACGCCAATATTTCTTCGTTGGGATCTATTCCTTTATCTTCAACTCTCTTTGTATGAAATTCCCGATAAGGGAGCTTGTCTATCTCTTTGATAGTTGGGTCAAATAGATACTCGTAACCAATTAGCTGTTCGACATATGCCTTTTTATTTATGATTCCAGCTATTATTTCCCCATAGCGGGCACAAATGTCAGATGATGATATGATTAGCATAGGCAGCATATATGTAATTGCATGATTATACTTAGATATCTTTCGTAACGAACATGTGCAATGTCTTGCCCTGGAGTTTACAATTGGGAAAAAGATTGATGAGTAGCAGAGCCCCTTTGTTTTTTTGTTTTTTCCAAGTATGTGTGTTATCTTGAGTGACCATTTTAGTGTCTTTTCTAGACCCAATTGGTTTGATTCTTGTAAGGCTAACCTCCGTCAAAGTGAACTTCTATCGGACAGATGAGGCAGATTAAATAGATATGGGAAACCGACGTGCAATGCAGGACATTCAAAGTTGTCTTTCTTTAAGACTCATATATTTCTGGCAAAATATATCAATCAGAGCATGTTAGCTCAGGGGAAGAGCGCCGGGCTCATAACCCGGAGGTCCCTGGATCGAAACCAGGACATGCTATACATAATGTCTGAATTTCCCTGTTCAGCTTTGTTTTTTATATTTTCTTACCCGTTAGATAAAATTGGTTATATATCAATAATATATCCAAATATTTGCAACAGCATGTTAGCTCAGGGGAAGAGCGCCGGGCTCATAACCCGGAGGTCCCTGGATCGAAACCAGGACATGCTATCTTTTTCCCCTCCCCTTTGAGGGAACTTTGTTTTTGATCAACCTGCCTGCTGAATGATCGATCGAGGTCAAGGAGTCACACGGCCACCGACACATTGCCCTCAGGCCAGAACTACAGGCAAAGTCCTTCACCATTGTTGCGTTGGTTAATTGCCACGATCATTACGATGATCATCACTATCAATGATAATAATCATTAGAATGAACACTGCATTTTTGACTGTGAGACTCGAAGGTTAGCCACCTGTACCCGTCTCTGAGTGCTAAATCTTTTTGCCTGGTATACACTGATGAAAGTCAGAAATTCTGCAGATCAACATTCCACAAGACACAGATATTATGCTGAAAAGATACCAGATACCGCTTATCCGATCAATACTTAGCCTTGTTGGCTTCAATTGACATATTACAGTTTTACATTGCATATCATACACGCGGTTTATCTTCGGCAGCCTGCTACGTGAACACCATCTAGGACTAAATAACTTGGTGGATAACCTATACAGGAACCATTTCACCGGAGAATCAGCTCCCGACTGGAAGTAGCTGTGGGACTAAATAGGGTATTGACTGTGGTTGGATTGGCTGATCACCATGTTGACACTGCTACCATGTCAAATCCCGATATCCAGCACTCACGTCGTCGAATACTCATCCATACATTACCGGTTGGTTACGGCCCATGGGAAAATGGAGAACTTGTCTTATTCAACTATCCTATGGAAATTGGTATATTAATAGAGAGGAGTATCGAGTAATACAATCGCTACTCCGTAGCTATGTATCTGCTATTGAACTGCTGCATAATCAAGAATTCAACCTCCCTGACCGTTCAACAAAATATAATAACTTAATGATCAAGTAAGTAGAAAAGATATAAACAAAGATATAGTGACATCACTGGCCGAGTATAATGATCGATGATGCACCTGTATTCTGTATTGTCAAGACTGGACGAAGAGCTACTGGCCTCCAAGAGTATTAGAACCGCGAGGGTGAACTCTAAGCACCGCAGCGTTTGGAGGGCTTGGATATCCAGTTATCCTAATAAATTTAGAAGTCATATTATTATTCTTATAATCCCCTTGCAAAGCTTTTATTATATCAAAGAATCGTCGCAGTTTAGCAGTAAATATCCGAAGAGATATAGTAATCTCGTGTATATATTGTTCAAAGAGGTCGACCATCACAATCGCAATGGTAGAAAGACCGTCCCAACCATTTATTACTAAGAAAACGGGTAGTCTCCTTACCACGGGTTAGGAGTTCGGTGATTATTCTTGGTACAGTTTCTTCGCTGCTTAATGTCTTTACAGGCTGGAAGTCCCTCGCCTTACATACTTTCTGCCAATAGCTGCCTAAACCGAACAGACTATGCAAATGGAACCCTAGCATACACGTAGTCGCCTCACTGAATGCCAACGTCGTTGGAAATTTTGGCTTTCCTCCAAGGAATAACCCCCCAGCACATCAACTAGAGAATTCATTTTGAAAACACCTCGGATCCCCTTGGTTTGGAGCCAGGTGTGGAAACTTCCCTGGGCATCATGGTCGCTGAATCAAATTGCCGGTCGACTTGCTGGGTCCCTTGTTTCAGCCATTTGAGCATAGGTGTTGGGGTGACGGCTTCCAGCTAGGTGGAGTTGAACAAAGACTTCGTCACCATCTCTCAAATGTAGTCCAAGCAACTGTGAGATTGTAAATATGAAGGAACCGCATGATACTTCACACGTTTCACCCCCGTGGGACGCCGTTACTGTTGTCTTTGTTGGTTCGAAGTATTCCATGATGTTCATCGACTTTCTTTCCTGGCAGGCTTGCTGGCCCGGGGCTCGACACCTGGAGAGAAGATTTTGATAATACTGTCTCAGTAGAGCGTCGGGAGAGTTTCGGATATCATGAAACGCGTCTCTTGCATTTTCTGCCCGCTGACGAATTGTCGGGTCGTCGGAAAATAATTACTGCTGGAAAGACATTCGCTCACAGCTTGGTCCTCATCTGTGAAGCCTTGCCACAAAGGCAGTGCGACATCGAGGTGATTCCCCGGTCAAGGTCTGTTTTACACTCTCGGGGAGATACTCGTCCAGGTGCAATGATGTCATTGTCTGAAAGACCAAGGCCATCACCAGTTCGACGAGACTCAGCAATAGCTGTGTCTTGACAGATGTTGGCTCTTCAGTAATGCCTGGTATGACGAATATCGAACCCATGTCGTCAGCTGAGTCCCAAACATGGTAATGCAGCGATGGGCTGCGTTTCCAGCGGTAAATATCATATTGCGTTCGAATTCGTTCGCAGAGGTTTGCTGCCTGTAATGTATAACCAGAAACTTTTGTGGGTTGCTCCTTCTCCGCAGGATATGGATGTATATTCCACGAAGGGGTAGATACGTTTTAGTAACAATATGCCAGAAAGGAGGAAGAAGCGGGTTATATATACCCGGAGCATAAATTCACCATTTTCACAGACGTCCCAACATTTCCTTTGTCTAACAGGAGGAGTGGAGGCAACAGCCTTGATATTCACTTTTCAAGTCATTCCTGTCAATGTTTACATGTCCATGGTAATGATAAAGCCCGGCTCTATTAACTGTTAAATATGGATGTGGAGCGCGATTCCTACCCTGATATGCTGTGTAAATACGTACCACCGATTTGTGTTCTAATCAGCTCCTTTCCCCCAAGTTTCATGTATGGGATCTCATGTGAAACGATCTAGCCTATTCTCTTCGCTAATTTAGTATTCTTATAATTAGTCGGCTTCCAATACTTAGTATATATATTGCAGGGTTCATGAACATCACCCCTAGATCGGGCCATTTTGCATTCATATAGCACTACCTCCTCGTTCGTGTGAAGCCTTTGCTAATGTGATAATCAGACTCCATAGTGAATATCGAAACTACATAGAATGACTACTTCTAAACGCGGTACCTGGAAAGTTCTATGGCCTTCACAGTTGAGATGCTGTCACTCAACTATACGTCGTGAATGTCTGTCTGAATGAAGTAGAGAGCCATGGAATTCCCGGCAACGATTACGCGGGAAGTCGAGCGAAGCGTGAACAACAATGCCGGTGCGATAGTGCAGGGAGACCTATGAACCGCGACAGTATTCCTGTAGGGCTCCTAGTCGATTTGATAGACGTAGAAACGAGAGACCCGTATTATCTAGCAATAGGGCAAGCCTTTTTACAGTGCTGGATCAAGGCTTGCTCCTGGTTTAGGACGTTTTATTGCATGAAACATATATGCGTCAACTTTACAGCCTTGCAGTCATCAGCTTGGCAATAAATTATTAGTTCGTAGGGCAAGCTAAGTAAGAGACAGTAATAAATAGTACCGCATCTTTTATATACCTTGGTACAGCACCCTAAGCGTTAAACTATCATAAACCTTACGACTCCAACCTAGGTGTTGACCAAGTACACAAAGTATATTCGAATTACAAACAACCTAGTTCCTCTTCTCATTCAAAACAAAATCAAATGCCTCGTCTAAGATCTTTAGACCCTCTTCAATCTCCTCGGCGGTAACAGTAACAGGCGGAGCCAAACGAAACACGCCCCCCATACCTGGAAGATTGACAATATTGCAGGAGAGACCCCCCGCCATGGCCCGATCAGAAACCGCCTGTCCGAGGCCTGGCCCAGGGGCCTTGGTCTCCGCATCAGAGATAATCTCGATACCCTGCAAGAGACCCCGACCACGGACATCACCGATACACCAGTACTTCTCCTGCAGCTTAAGGAGGCCCTCGCGCAACTGTGCACCACGCTCCACAGCTCGCTGACAGATGTTATCCCTCTCAACGATCTCGAGGACCTTACTGCCCACTGCAGCGGTAAGCGGATCATTAAGATGGGTAGTGAGCCACAGGAAGCCAGCTTCCATGCATCCGCGTTCGATTTCAGCGGTTGTACTGACAGATGCAAGGGGCAAACCACATCCAAGCGTTTTCGACAAGGCAAGGATATCGGGTACAATTCCATCTTTATCAAAAGCGAACATCTGACCAGTTCGACCAACCCCGGTTTGGGCTTCATCCATAATGATCAGCATGCCGCGTTTCTTGCACTCCAAGCTCATGCGTTGCAGATATCCCGCGGGGAGCTCGAGGATACCGCCTGTGGAGAGAATAGGCTCCATGATAAACGCAGCCAGGGAGCCAACACTCTGACGGTCAATCATTGACCAGCCGAAGTCCATCTCTGCCTCCCAGTCGTACGATCCATCGGGCTTCCGGAACGGCGAGCGATAAGCATAAGGAGCAGGAAAGGCAAGCTGGCCCGGCATGCAGGGGCCTCCGCTTTTACGACCGGCTGAGTAGGTCGCCGAGCCCGACCCCTGAGTTAATCCGTGATAGCTTGCGGCGAAAGCAACGATTTCAAATTTGCCAGTATAGCATTTGGCGATCTTGATAGCCGCCTCTGTGACCTCCGAACCGGTGTTTAGAAAGAAGGATTTCTCTAGAGGTGCTGGGAGGAAGCGAGCTAGGCGTTCTGCGAGTTCGACGACGGGGTAGGTGATCATGTTGCTCAAGAGGTGGTCGAGCTCCGCGACGTACTTTTGGACTACCTCGACGATCTCCGGGTGAGAATGTCCCAGGAGAGAGCTCATTTGGCCAGAGGTGAAGTCGAGGATCTGTCTGTCATTAACATCGTAAAGTCTGGTGCCTTTGGCTTTTTTCACAATGAGCGGGGAGAAGGGGACCCCCGTTTTCATTAGATATTTGTCCGCCATGGAAAAGAATACGGTTGTATCTGTGGAGGCCATGGTGTGTATGCTGGCTTTATTCTGACTTGAGAGCTAGACGGCATATGAAGATGGCGAAGATAGGAAGCTGGTTGAGATAGCCAGCCAGCGAAACTTGGTATAAATATTAGTGTTCAATTTCGACAGTGCTGTCACTTATATAACAACTATGAGCACCGCGGCCAGATGTTCCGCGGCGAGACAGCGTATAGTATACTCTGGAGTTGGCCGCGGATCGTGTGAGTATACCCTATCTTCATATCTCATTCGCGGGTAGACAAGATCGGTGGAGTTGGCCGCGGGGTTTGCCGCGGGACCACACTCTCGACTCCTCTCCCCACCTTGTATTGTTGTGACTTCTACCTTCACCTCCCTTTGTCAAAGGGAAGAGGTGAATACTCAATTGAGATGGAGGGAGACCTTACTGTTCGTGATGAGGGAGACGCCGCTGAAGCCAGGCCATATCGGTCTCACCTGTATCCGGCCTGCCTACCTTGCAAAAAGCGCAAGTCCCGCTGCAGGACAACAGACTCGTCCGGCATATGCATCATGTGTCGGGCTCACGGTACCGATTGTGTCTATCCTCGGTCAGGGGATAACTCCCAACGAGGCTCTGTAGCTTTGCCGCGGAAGTTGACTCCCAAGTCACGACAGACAAGGGCAGCACAACCGAAGAAGAGGCTTTCAGCGTCAGCCTCCCTTCACACCCAACAGGTATCCAATCATGCAGTAGACGCAGTTAGCCCCCTAAGAGAATTCGGCCTACAGACAATCAACAGGCCTGCAGCCAGTCTAGAGGCACAATCGTGCCCTCCCACTTATGACCATTTTAATCGAGAGGCTTTTCCTAACCTGGTGGGCATCGTTACCGAGGCCGGCGACGATAGCTCGCATATAGTCAGTCCTGCAGTAGCCGAAGATAACGATGTTCTCGAGAGCTACCTCTCTACCGTTCCAGATGCTCGGCGGAGGTCGATAATTCGGACGGATCCGAACTCGAGACGGCCTGTGAGACCAGTGCTGTTCAACACTGTACCCAGGCGGCCATTAGGAGTTTCTGCAAACCAGTCACTTCCCGCTACAAAGTGCGAATTCATCGAAAAATACCTAGAGCCAGGCGTCAATGATGTTGTGGACCTGTGAGTAGTCAAGTTGACTCCCAACCGTTCAGGACGGGCTGATTGCTTCCATGGAATATGTAGGTTCTTTCACCATGTCAACATATGCTTTCCTATAGTTGATGAAATGTCCTTTCGACATGTTTACTGCAGACACAAAGAAAATATCTCACCGGCTCTCCTTTGCAATCTGTATGCCAACGCTCTGATCTACTGGGAGAACTCGCCTAGTTTGCGATCCGGTCGCTATCCTGATATCCGCTTTATTTGGAACCAAGCGAACGAAGCTCTCCATTCGGAGCTATTCCTGTCTCCCGGGATATCAACGGTCATGGCGATTATTCTGAATGTCTGTGGAAGGCCAAGTACCTCCATGTTCGGCAACGGGGGAATGGTTGGGACTGCAGTCGCCCTGTCCAATGCTCTGGGTCTAAACCGCGACCCTTCCAACTGGAATATTCGTCCAATGGAGAAAGGGTTTCGGATTCGCATTTGGTGGCTCGTTCTAATACATGACCGCTGGTACTAAACATCTTTATCTAGAGGTTTTCTGTCTTGGACGCACTAACACACCCGCACAGGTGCAGTTTGGCCTACGGGACCCCCCTCCAGATCCACTGTGCGCAATACGACGTGCCCTATCCGACCATGGACGACCTTTGTCCCCCCAATGCATCTCCTTCTCAAATAGCAGCTGCCCTGGTCTTCCTCTCTTTGATCACACTCACCGAATTGTTGGGTACGTATCTTCAACACGTGTACAAGGTGTCCGAGAGCTCGCCGTATCCGCCAGAAACGTCTTCCGTGGACCTCGAGCGGCTTCTCACCGATTGGGAAGAATCTTTGAGCGACGATATCCGTCGCATAGTGCTCCGAGGGACACACTTAGATGCTCCAGGGGCAGCAAATTTCCGACTAGCCTACCTAGCAGTCAAGCTTTTGCTCAGACGCATCCAACTCGACCTCGACGCGGATACCATGAAAGCCGACGACGACACCACCTCTCCATTCTACACACAAGCACAAAGAGCTGCGGAAGAAATTGTCCATCTGGTAAAGGAGCTAGACGAGTCACATCTCCGCGGATTCTGGATCCCTGTGCATGCCTTCTCCTTGACCTCCGCCACCACCTTCTTGCTCCGAAGCGGCCTTCGTAGAAGGAATGCACGCTCCAACGCCCCCCTCAACCTTGCCAAAGATATGGTCAGTATACTCCGATCACATCGAAACAGGTTTTCTTGGGATCTTGCGGACAACTGTTTGGCAACATGCAGCGATTTAGTCGAGAATCTGAGCTCTGGCGACGCTGGGAACGATTCCTTGTCTGCTGTGCCCGCTTTCCAAGAACTTGATTTCTGTAACCCGGCTTTTCTGGATGAACTGCTTCTCGGGTTCCCGGGACTTTCAGATTCGGTTGAGAATTGAGCTGGATTTGAGGAGATGAAGTTCGGCGTTATCCTGTATAAATCCTGTTGTTGACCTCTCAGTCACAACAATCTGTGCAATACATGGTTTACACCGCATCTGGAATAGAACAACATAATAAAACTGCTCGGTTATCGCTAGTAATTGAATTGCTGGAGTAGAAATTACGTGAGCACAGTCAGTCTTCATAGATGTAGTTGCTTCATACCAAAAGAACTAAAACCTTCAAATAATCTCTGACATACCTCAAGCCAGTCCATAGGTGAGCCCGGCAACAAGGCCCTAACTTCCCTACAATGCCACCCAAGCCGGCACACAAACATGTCCTATAGCGTTTCGTACGGCTTTGGTGATCACCAACAGGTATACTAGCTCCAACGGCCTCGAAATCCAGACCAACCCACCTGTTGCAACAACCCAGCACACCATCAGTTTCAAACAGGACGATCGAGGGGACGGTTCGATGGCCGAGTTTCTCTCGAATGCGGAAAGAGTGTTGTTACCGCTTGGAGGCCTGCTATAGAGAAGAGATGGAAGGCTGCGCTGGGAAGATGCAGGTTGGTACTTAGACGGCGTACATTTCTATGTTTCGGTTAATGTGGAGCATATCTCGACGATCGTATAAACTAACCTCGTTTGTTTCAGGTTGAACATAGTTAGCATAATGTTTCAACGTCGAAATCTAGGCTTCCTAAGCTAAGACATTAGGGGGCAGTTTAGTATTGAAAAACTGGATTGAGTTGGAGAGACGATATAATTAAACCGTGGGAAACCCATTCCTTTAAATATCACACAAGTCAACAGGTAAAGATTCAAGGAATATAAAATAATCCCTGTTCAGCGTATTGTATTCAGCAGAAGGAATAAGATCAACGCCATCCATATAAAACCGAGTTCGCCCGTATCCAACGCCAGTTCATTAAAAGCCATTCAGTCATAAACATTCGGAGTGCATGGACACCAACCGATCCGTGGATCCAATCACCAATCCTTTCCTAATAAGCTTCCAGTCGACTGGGAATCGGTCATATCAATGATGCCGCTGGATTGAACACTCTGGACATCCGCCGCAGAAGGTGGTCGGTCAACTTCAATCGGTTCATCATCTAGTCTTTCGGTCCGACCATCTTCGGATTTATCGACTTCCTCCCAATCGTCTTCGCTCTTGTCCTCCGTTTGAATACTACTACTCTGTTCGTCGCTTGCGTTAATCTTTTGTTTCTTGCTTCCCGGCTGGCCATCCAGGGTAGGGTCAACGGTCGGCGGGTCAGGAAGCTTGGCTGCGAGCAAGTCCAGCGACGGCGAAGACTCACCGTCAGCGATTGATTGAGATTCGGTCTTCGGTATATTATCACTCGGAAGGTCCTGCTCCACAGGTGGGAAGATCGAGCTGATACCGGTCAGCGACCATAAAGCCAAGTGAGGAGGAACGGAGATACTTACGGGATCATCTCCTCGTAGGCAACCTCATCCTTGCGTTCAAAGTTGCAGAAGATTATCCTTTCCAGCTTTCCAATATTTCTCGGGTTCTCCAGAAACTTTCGAGTCTCATCGAGAGCCGCCCGAGCTGCTTCGTCACTGGGGTATCCGTACACACCGGTGCTGATCGCCGCAAATGCAATGCTCTTCATATCATTTTCCACGGCCAGTTCGAGACTCCGCCGGTAGCAACTCCGCAGCAATGCCTCCGGTCGAGCATCACCCCCGCGCAGTTCGTACCGGTAGATAGGTCCAACAGTGTGGATGACCTTCTTACAGGGGAGATTGTAGGCCGATGTAATCTTAGCATCACCGGTATCACAACCATCTAAGGCTCGGCATTCCTGTACGAGATTGGGGCCAGCAGCACGGTGAATGGCCCCGTCCACACCTCCACCCCCGAGGAGGGATTTGTTTGCTGCGTTGACGATGCAATCCACACCTTGCAGTTTAGTTATGTCATTACGAATAAGAGAAATGATGTCATTGAATGGTTTTGATGGCTGAGACTTCGGGGATGGGGTTGGAGCCAAACGACCCAGTTTGTACAGCAAGGAAACGGTTGGGATCTCCATAATAGGTAAATATGGGGCCGCCATGTTGCAATCCGCATCCAACTTCTCCAACCACACTAAGCCGACGAAGGCCTCAGTTGAACACTGGAGTTGCTTCAAGCGTGGGTGGGTGATCAGTAGAAGACTTAGGCCTCGTCAACACTCATTCAGCCGGAGTGTTAGGTAACCCCGGTCCTGATCAGGATAACATAAAGCACGACAGTGGTGATGGTGATTTCTGAGATGGAGCTGGTGGTGGGGAGCTCTCTCGCACGTGAGAGCACATGATACCTCTGAGATAAGCTAGTTTAGGAAGGCGGTTAGGTCGGGCAATAGCCACCCGCCAAGAAAATTGAGTAATGCGAGCGGCTCAGCAGCGCTAAGCAACTGCAAAGTAAAATTGGGCCGAAATCGCTGATTTATCATCCTAACCAGAGTCCGCTGATTAGTGAAAATCTATAACAGATGGAATAGTCCTTAACTACTCAGAAAGATCGTCTACTTCACAGGGACCTCCGGGTTAACAAGTTCAATGCAACGAACATAAATAGAAAGGGAGATAAGTGGGTCAAAGAAGGAAGCGGTCTGCAGGTTAGCCCTAAGCAGACTGCACTATCGGGAAGGCGGTCAACGATATTCGGCAAAATAACATCGCAAACCATATATCCACCGAAGCCCTACTTCGAACCCACTCTATAAACTCACTAAATAGCAAAAGAATTCAAAAACAAAGCTGAAGTAGCATGTGCTGGTTTCGATCCAGCGGCTTCCGGGTTATGAGCCCGGCATTCTTCCTCTGAATTAACATGCTTTGATTGGTGGAAGATATGCTTCTTCTTTTGGCATATAAATCGGGAGAAAAAGCCCGGAAGTCTTGCTTTCGGAAATGGGAATGGTGAACTTTTGTCGATACATGTCAAATAAGTCACGGGTTCGAGTGATCGAAAGGTTCTCTTGAGGTAGTGTAGCTACATCATTTGTTGCTGAGAGGTATCGGCTTCGACTATCGAATGACGGCAGATTTTTTTCGGGAAGGGAAAGACTTAACACAGGCTCAAGGGCCTCTTTCAATGCATTTGCATATAAAAACAGCAGAACCGATAGCTAATCTACGTAGACTTTATATGCAGGTGGAAGTCAAACATAGAAAAACAACCACCGGCTCTCCTTCGGTCAATTTCAAGACATCCTGATCTTTCGAAAAGGCAAAAAGCAAAGCGTAGCATGTGCTGGTTTCGATCCAGCGGCTTCCGGGTTATGAGCCCGGCATTCTTCCTCTGAATTAACATGCTCTGATTGGTGAAAAATCCGTATAAGATAGCATACTTAAATAAAATGCCTTGGTCTCTATCTAATTCTCGGAAGAGGCAAAAGGGTAGGGCAGGGTAGTAGGACATGTAGGATCCCTCTAGCTCTGCATTATAAAACTGGAAATGCTTCGATTACTAGTCAAACTGGCTTGTCGGTTGTTAATGTGTCATAAGCGGCTGGAAAGTAAAGGCTGCTATGTCTAGAATAGTTACTGGCAGCCGGTTATTATATGTGCAAATCATAAGAATTATGTGAACAGATCCCATGCGGTATATGCTTTCTTTCACGGTACCAGTTCTATTTATGTTCTATGGCTTTAGTATGAATGCCTGATTGATTTTACCCATTCTATCCGGTTGGTATCCATATTGATACCGCCGTTTTTACATCCTAAGGGCATCGACGATTGAGAAAGTGGTATATGGGGTTACAAGAAACTCGGCTAGAGAAGAGAAGAGGAGTAAAGAGAGAAAAAAAAAAGAAAAGAAAACAATGAGAAAATGAGACAAATGAGATGAGTGGAAAGTATCTAGCTACTAATTGAACTGCAGCTAGCACCACCGGAGAAAACCTAGCTGTGTTATGATCTTGGAAGATAATAGACGAAGTTTTCTATAGGGAATTGGTCATCGGTAACTTGCAAATAATACGCCTAGAAACCTGCAAAAGCAAGGCACACATCGGAAAAGCTTTAGGTATCATACCCGAGATACTCGGTAAATCATGTCAGGGTGTCCTTGTATGATTCCATCTAACGATCGAAACATAGAAGTCATTGCCATCAACTTTTCAGGCGCCGGGGAGATGGCAGAATTGTTAATTAGCAGCGGAGGTTCAAGTATTTCAATAATAGGGAGCGTAGTGTCTATAGCAGCAACTAATCTGCCGGCCATAGGTTATTTATCAGAACCCGAAGGGCAATTCGTCAGAAAGATGATTCCTAGCTCTGAAAGGGCATTAGCCAGTGTTGTAGGCAATCCGGGACTTAGTGGTCTCCGCACCATACTTGATATACCCATAGAAACTCCACTGGAATACATTTCTAGTAGTTCAGGGTAATCGCAAATAAGAACTATGAAGATATTTGGTCGTTCTGGAAGCTGTTAGTCGAAACCACTCTCTCGAGCAGTCTAACACCCATTCGTACATGTTAAAGTCCCAGAAGAGGCAAACACATTATTACGGAGACTTTTGATATGCGCAGTGAAGCTAGTGTATCTGAATTGGGCACAGTTGCCCCTAGTATTGGCATAGTCAGACGCGATAATAACGTAGCCATCCAAGAAGATACTTCAGCTGGTATAGTTGTAGTTTTGGTGTAGGTGAAGGTAGACATCCTGGAAAGACGGTGGCGTTACGACTAGCATATTTCTTTTTGCCTATCGACGCGCCGAGGAGAGACGGGGGCAATACACCATCTAGGGAAGTATTGAGGTTTATCTGTAGCTTTAGACAGAATTAGAGAACACCTCTGACATCTAGCACTAGAAGGTTTACAAGAGGTTGACGTAACATTGATCCTAACGTCGGCATGTGTGAATCACTGACACACCCTTCATCACTATCTGAAGTGAGCTAATACAAGCCTTGTTGTAGCATTTTAGGTTTCCAAAATTCATCATTCAACATAGCCCATACTTCTTCGGATTTCACGCTACTCACCTCATGTAGGATGTAATTACTTTCTGGCTTTCTGAGTCTCAACCGAAGCGTCTAATAATAACCGCAATATTAGGTACGTTCATAATACCTCACTAGTGAAGTAGGATAGAAACACTCATCATGTCCAGAGTGGTAGCACACGTCAGAAGGAAAGATATCCCTCGCCTCAAATTCTGAGAAGTAAAGCATCGATAGAGCAAGCTATGGAGAATGGACATCGACAGCTTCGTAGGGAGCCTTGACCCATATTCTCCACAGAGTATGTGTCTACTAAGTCTTGAGTTCAAAAACTGACAGGTAAATTCCCAATTTACCTACCTCTCGACTTCTATGTCAAGTCCACATCCACTTGGCCATGTCCATCAGTAGTAAGAAGTCGCTTCATGCTTCACTATCAGCTAGAAGTGTTCAGTTTCTAAGAAAGTCTGTCTGCGCCCCAGTGGAAAGACTTCTACAAAGTTTCCATCTTGCCAACGATCGCCCAATCAATCGGGCTCATCCCACACCAACCTCGCAAGAAACCACTCGATTCGTCGCGAATCGCATATATAAACAAATTTCTGGTTCAAGATACCCCACTCATCTAGTTCCTAATAAATTCTCAGTTTATTGGCGCCAACGGAATAATATCGAGATCGCACAGGGCTCCTTGCAGTCCGTGCATGGAGACCAACATATAAAGCTAGCGATGTGATATCAGGTTCAACAATAGTGACCAGCGCAGCTGATACCTGGGGAGAGTCCCACAATGCAGCGTTGACAGCCAACATCTCAGCCAACAAATACCGATGACGCGATGGTTCGAGGGCCCTGCATGATGTGGCAATCGCGATACGTATATCATGGGATATATGTCACAATGCCGAGCCTCATTATTTGTATAAGCACAACTTATTGCATGATTTCACATAAACGCCGAAAGCCCTGAGACTACTAAGCGAGCGCCAGCCGTTCCGGGCCAGCTAATGCAAGGGCAGGTGTCAATGGTCCCAATTGGAAGCCTGACAAATGGCTCCAGGATATTTTCCACGCATGGATCTTGTGATTGCAGCATCGATATCCATCAATTAAATTAATTGGTTCCGATTGTGATACGGATGATACATGTCTGCTGCAACATGTCTGGTCACCCTGGCGATAACCTCAAGGGCGAAGACGGTCAAGATCCCACTAAGCCTCCGGGTAAATGTCCGATTTGACGGCTAGTAAGTTATAATACAGGCCAGTAATGCCGTTGCCTTTTTGGCTGCCTGGGGCGGATGGGAAATTGATAGCTCTTATCAATGACAGCTGTCAACGCATCCCTTGCGTACGGCAATTCAAATCGAAGGATTCACGAGCTTCACCGATATGGGACGCCTAATCGAGTCGATATCTGGTAGCGAGAGCCTCTGAGACTATCGCTTGAACTATGTGTCCTTTTCGTCAGGAGACCAACATGAAAGGCGGGTCGGCAACGAGTCGATCGGCAGCCGAGTCCCAGAGTTCGACACAGTAAAGAAACAAATAAGAAGAGAGGATGGTAGGAGCGATCTCAAGCTAGCGATCTGGGTTTCTCACTAAGACATCCAACGATCTCCAGTGAGTGGATCCGAACCATGATGCAGACTCGGATCCTTTAACTACAATTCCAAATTCTAATCTGCAAAACCAAAACAAAAGGACGAAAACTGAAACAAAGAGGGAACAAAAAAAACCAAAATTACGACGCCATTCCCGTTTCAATATTTCTTTTCTCAAAAAACCAAAACTTCTCTGTCCACTTCTCCAGAGAAAAGAAAAGAAAAACAAACGCAAGAAAAACGGCCCACCGCCAGGTCCAGGACCCATAATCGATCCGATTTCCGATAATCTCTCACCCGGCGATCGCGGCTGAGACTTCCACCCAAAGAACGATAAGCAGCTGCCTCAGGCTTCCCCACTTGGCACCGATCCAAAGGCCGTCGCCTTTTGGAAATGGGTTTAGACCAACTTTTAGTTGAACAATGGTCACACCCACCATTATTGGCCTAAAATAAATTTCCACAGCGGTTCTCCATTTTAGGCATGCGACGACGACGGCGGGATTTGCCGGTGGGGTTGAAGGAGTGAATCAAATCCCGTATGTGCATTTGCATACTGCATTGCGATATTCTGCATTATGTCCTTGTCTCGGTATATTTTCGCTGGAGCCCAGCCAACGGAAGGATGGAAGATGGTTATAATCCCAACCAGAGGATAGTATATGTATTATGGAGTGATCCAACACCGAGTACGGAAATGGTCTGCAAATAGTTCCAGCGTTATGTCGAAGTTAATTTCTTCTGTCCTATAGAATTTTACACTGCATTTAACCATACATATGACTTTGCACTAGGGGAGACAGTTCATGTATGCAGACCCCATCGAACCATTCAACGAGGAAAAGGGAAAACCAAAAAGAAAAAAGAAATATGACTACTATTCGTTTTTATTTTTAAATCCCCTCGTGTTCGTGCCGCGTTCCATGTCCCATTACGGAGAACCCCGTTTTTTTTTTCCCTCAGGGGCCAGAGAGAGAGTCCGTGTCCATGTCCGTGTCCCACTACGATAACAGGGATTATTTGCTGGTGCTTCCGATCATCCCGGGACTATGGGAAGTCTAAATTCGAGATCAACTTCAATAGTCTGAGCCGATATTTTTTATTTTTCTGCAACCCGTTGAATTCATTGTTTTACATACGGCTGCATACAAACATACCCTGACGGAGTACAGGCTTATTTGTATTCCCAGAGAAACTGCCCACAGAAAGAAAAAGTATGCATAGATGTACGAACTAGGTTAAGATATCATGCAACAGAAGCATGAGATCAATCCAGATAACCCTAATGAGGAGTTAAAAAGCCACCCAGTCACGGCCCGTGTAACACTTATCCCTGCAAATCTGATACGCACGCCCACAAATAAACTATCTCATTATTCTTTTCAGCTCGTGTTCCACGGCATATGTACCGCACTACGGACCGGTTGCGAACGTAACGTTGTACACTGACTAGTTCGAGGGCTGGATCCAATTAGTTGGGTTGGAGGTGGTACATAGACTCGGCGAGATTTTTTTTCTTTTTTCCTTTTTTCATTCACGAAGAAAGATCTGTACGGTATGTATGTATGTATGTATGTATGTATGTGTAAGTATACATGGACAGGTGTTCCTCGAATTGTTATCCCTCAGATAGCTAAGCTGCAGAAGCTCACAAGCAAAAACTAAACGCAAAATTAAGGATTGAACTAGTAATAAAAATAACTGTAGCTGGTGAATCCGTACCCCAACATCCTCCCAAGCAAAAACTAAACCAAAGCATGTGGACCAGAATCAGATCCAGAACCAAAGATAGTTCTGAAGATCTACAACTCCCCGAGCACGGGCTTCTCTTCCTCCCCGAGAGCCCGAATCGAGATCTTCCCCGGCGCAAGGGACAAAAAACATGAAAAGTGGGAAGCGAAGCGCTGAATATTCAACACAACGTATCTGCGTATCGGAGAGCCGGTGGAGACAGGCATCAAAAACCGTGATCGGGACGTTCCGGTTGCTGGACCCAACCAGCTGCTGCAGTCCTTAGTAAGTTATGGGGACAAGACGGCAAAGATACCCAAGCAATCAGATGCCAAAGCTCTCGGAACCGGAGGACCATTTCGAGGCTCCGAGATGCTCGATGCTATAAAATTATCTGAGTCATTGCGAGAAAAGAGACAAGTACCGGGCGGGTATACGGAGTACGGTAACACGCCATGCACGTACGCATGCATCATGTACGTGTTGCATGTACACAGCCACGATGAGTTCAGCTGAGGATGGTCAAGAAAGGGGACGTCGCTGCATATACCCCACATTTTTCTCTTCGTTGTTTGCCAGTCAGAACTTGAACCTCGCGGACCGCTTCCTGAATGGGGTTATCAGTCAAGCACCGGGGTGCAGATCCATCTTGCCTGAAGGGGTGCAGCTGGAGAAAGGCATTCAGCTGTCTTTGTTTTTATTGTTATTGCCAATATTATTTGATTTGGTTTTGGTTTTATTTTTATTCGTGCCCTTCAGGTAAGGACGACGTGTCCTGCGCAGGATGGATGATCTTTCGGTGATTGACCGCTCGAAGGGTCAAACAATGGGACTGCATTTGACTCGGTGGTAAGGGATGATCGTTGGAGTCATGAATGATATTTGAGGTGGTTTGGAGTACTTGGTATGCGTGGAACAGGGCCTCGATATGGAGACCTACTAGTAAACAATGAGCCATGAACACATTAAGAGTAAGTCCTAGAGAGACAAAACACCCATAATTAGCAGATGGAGAAATGACCTAATTAGCCAGCCACGCCCAGACCAAAAGCAATCTTAAAATCTTCCAGAACAAAGTCAACAAACACTCTAAATTACGTCCCAAATGACGTCGACATGGACCCGACCGGCCGGGTCTCGGAGACGCTCCATTCTTTTGGATCAATGGGGCCAACTTAAACCGACAGACGGTTCCAACCTTGGAACACAATCATACCATAAACTTCCTAATGGGGCAAATCCTCGGATGGAAGGATTTGCATGGCAACGGAGCCTAGTACCGTCTAGGTTAAGACGGTGGCATGATCAAACTGATTTGAAATCAAAAGTGAGGCACCGATGCACACGGCAGGCGAATTCCAAATACTCAACGTCAAGTCATTCAAACAGATGGGGCAATCCAAGCAAGTAGCGGTATGTATAGTACTTGCACGGTACTCAGGTGTACACGTATGTAATGTATGTATCGTATTTAATTTAGGTAGGGGACCGAGATTAGGAACCGAGTTAAAGTGCTTCCTGCCTAATTAGGTATGTCAGGGCAGACACCTTATGTCCCTCGATTGAAGCCTCACTATGGAAAAGATAAAGACAAAGACAACGGAAAATTCAAAAGAAAATTCGGATTCCAGTAAACTTTTGTCGTTTGTCTTAATCATGTCAAATGAACAGGGAAATCTTCGAATCGAAAATACCAGATACCATACACAAGATGTTACACCCACCGAAAGCCGCAGATGGCCGAAACCACAGGAGAACAGATCCGAGACATCTCCATCGCCATCTCTGTACATACGTGTTTCTAGAAGGCATGGCATATTGAAAATATTGAGCGGTGAGACAAAATGTTTCCGTCACCATCTGGTGGCGTTGGGATCATAAGCCATGATCGGTTGAAGCCGATATCATGCAAGATGAGATGAGATGCGATGAGATCAGATCCCGATCGATTTCGATAGTCGCATTGGCGCCCCTTGAACCAGCCCTTGGACCCAACCAGCCCACCCCAACTAAATTGTTTAAGATTAATATCGTTCTGCGATACCAAGAATCTGAAAATGAAGAATTTGATGAACCTTAAACCCCCAACAAGATCAGGCCAAATCTCGCTTTCTCCGCGGGAAGCGTTAAGCCGCTCAAAAAAAGAAAAAGATCGATGGCAACGCTCAGGCCATCTTGAACCGGTCCCGTGAGCTGGTTCTAGTCTGTTCTAGGGCCGCTTGGCGTAGTTGCCATGGACTGCCAGCCAATCAACGCTTGGCAGCTAGGCAATTGAGTCGGATTACGTAAATTGTATACGCTATACTGGATTTGGAAAGTTGAGGATTGTGTCGTATCGATGGCAAACTTGACTTTTTCGCAATCGGGCGTATATGCTTATGTGAGACGCTTTTTTCTTCTTCTTTTCCTTTTCCTTTTGCCAAATGATGTATTTTGATCCAAATAAAACTTTTTTCGTAGAGCCTCAGGTCTTGAGAATGACGTAGGGCGAGGCGTCACAAGAGGTTGTCCAGATTCACATGGCATCAGACCAGATCCAACCATGCAGTACGTCCCTAGTTAGTACCACTGGTGGTAGCGGACAGAATCCCGATGACCACGCAACTAGTGGGAATGGTATCCATCATCCCAAAATGGATAATTATACTAGGAGGCAAACCATCATAAGGTCGGGGAGGTCAACACGATGACGGCGGTGGCGGATCTACAGGGTCTCGGGAAGACCGATCGATACAAAACACACCTCCGATTTGGACATAATACGTTGCCCCCTAACTTGCATCCAAGGCTCAAGTAGGAGATGACCATCTTGATCAGACCACCTCGAGCCAAGCCCGGCGTGTGATATTCGCCACCACTGCGGATCCATGAATTGGGTGCCTTACGCCAGAACGAGAGAGCGACTCGAATAGAGATCTTGGTTTACATCAGATATGTATAGTATTATTGTCCGTGACTAGTCAACTTTTCGAACAGAGGCAAATTCAATCAAATAAGGTTACATTAATCACTGCATCGAGTCAAGCGCCTCTTGAAACCTCCCATGGAAAACGTGAGTGCATAAGAAACATCATATGGCACACTGGGAGTGTAGGGCAATCAAGTAAGGTTGGGTAGGAGACGTGGGTAACTGGGGTATAATTGTAACAGATCGCAAAACAGTAAGGAAAAACCGGTGAACAAAAGAAAATAAAAACAAGGCAAGGAGAAAGAAACTGTGTACATGCTGGTCCCACAGAAACGACACAATAACCAGAGCGAAAGTCTATCCAGATGCCTTTTTCCCACAACGTGCGAGGGGTATTAAAAAAGTAACTCCAACGACCAATCGGACAAGAACAGAAAAAGTCCAACATGCTCGGAACATTTCGTAACCACACCTGAAAAGGAAACCCGGAGCCCAAAACAAATCGAACTGTATCATGTCCAAGGTGAATTATCAGGAATGACACCAACATATGAGGTTTATGATCAACGAGGAAATAGAGGCACAGAACGCCAAACACTTCTAATCCCAAAGCCTTTCTTCGTTTTTGTTTTTTTCTTTCTTTCTTTCTTTCTTTCTTTCTTTCTTTTTCTTTTTCTTTTTTTCTTTTTTTCTGTTTTTCAGCGCCACATAAAGGGACGTCTGATATGTTAACGGCCAGTTGGAGATGCGGAGTCAAGAGTCTTGGGTTTAAGGTTGGAACCCAAGGACGATGCCTGTTTGGCACCCATCTTGCGCGTCAACTTGGCATAGTGCAATCCACATGCGTTGCATAGAGTCCGAGCACCATCTGGACCGCGGCGCCATTCTGGTGTCTCAGCTCGGTTGCAACTGTGGCAACGGCCAGGGGGGGCTGCTTTCTATAGTTTGTGTTAGTGACGGCGAATAGGAAAACAGGGATAAACCGGATGGATCCAGGGTACTGGGACCATGGGGCCCATTCACACACAGACAGCAAGGAGCAAAAAAATAGGGAAAAAAAAAGGGAACATACCCCTCGTCGCTTCTTCGAATCTGGTCCGGCAAAGCCGCCACTACCCTTGTATTCATCTTGGTACATTGCCATGTGGTCATCGTCACGGACCCCACCAGCCTTGAAGGCTTTTCTTTGGGCCATTTGTTCTGCCAATGCGTGCTCTTGGCTCACAACTGCAGCTCGTATACGTAGTAAGGCATCCTGGTTCCGGCGCTGAACACTAAGCATCTCCTCCACTTCCTGTAGAGAGGGCATTACAACGGGCCCAGAACGCTGGGACTGGTGCGCTCTTGCAGCGTAGTGCCGTGAAAAGTCCAGCGTGCGCGTGCTCATCTCCGCAATCTATTCATAATTAGCCAACTGAAAAGAGGATCGAGTATCCACTCTAAAACCACGTTTCCCAGGGGACAAGGTCACGTACCTCATTGAGCGATGTCTCCACATCATACACGTCCAAATGCCGTTTGACAGAATCGCCCGGGATCTGTCCCGCAATAGCACGACCCGTATGTCCGGCCTTCATTTCCTCGACACGCGCCATTTCGGGCACACCCGACTTCCATGTAGTACCGTAGGGTCGGGTGTCATACGCAACTGGATACGCTGGCGCATTTGGTGGAGGCTGCGACTGGAAGGAGAAGTTCTGCGGAAATGGACCATAGCCGTTGGGAGAGGCGATGCTGCCCGCAGAAGTAGGAGCACTATATTCATAGGCCGATCCCGTCTGTGAGCCAGCAATTGACGTGATCCCCGTTTTTTGACTCTGCGTGGGTGATTTGCCCGAACTCAGGGATTGAATCGAGTGATTTCGCGAATCTTGAGTGGTAACTGACGCCAAACTCCCCCGAGATGCTTCTGCTTGCAGTTGAGGTTGAGGGTACGCTGAGTCCCGCACCACATAAGGCCCTGATGATATTACATTTGAAAACGGATTCGATGGTCCTGGCGGTGCTTCGACAGTCGGTCGTCCTATAACATTTGAAGATAGAAGATGCGAATGTGGCGCATGTTGAGGCTGCTGAGGAGCCGCCGACGTGGGCGCAGGATACGGAAGGGGGTTATCATTTCCTAAAGCCTCGTGGATGGACGGAAGTGATTGCCTTTGTGGTTGTGACTGTTGCTTCTCCTTCTCCTCTTCAAGTACGCGCCGCGAATCCGTAGGCGAGATATAACCAGGCTGCACAGAGGGTGCGCTGGCGGACGATGTTGGGTACGAGCATGGTAATGGCTGGCCGGAATACATGCTTGTTGGGCTGAGAAGAGCTCCTGGCGATGTTACAGGGCCCGGTGCAACAGCTGGGTGTTTTGGGGGATATCCCGATCCGTCTTTTCCTAGAAAACCAAGGGCTGGTAGATGGTCCCTACGTGTCCAGGAAGGTTGAAATCAGTACATGTGATCCGAAATGAACTCGGACGCTTGAGGTGACGAGGAGGCGATGGAATTAATAAGGTACGAACCTATGCCTATGACTGGCTTCCAATGACCCCATCATGCCAATGCTTCCGATTATATCTTTGCGATTTCGCCCTTGACCTCATGCACTATCAGCCACCTCGGCTAAAATATAATAGCGTACCGTGGGAGAGGGTACCGATTCGTTAATTATTAAAAATAAAATAAATCAAAGGGATAAAAAAGATAATAGCGTGAGTGGGTATCAACGGCGAAAGCGACCGGCCGAGAACAGTGAGCTTCAGAGGCGAAGGGATGGAAAGGAATAACAATTCCAACCGTTTTTCCGATAAGCGATTGCCGTCCTTCGAGTGCGCGTCACCAGTCGAGTAAATCGAATTCGAAGGCTCTTCTTCTTTCTTTTCTTATTAATTCCGATTGATGAAAGAAAAGAAAGAAAAAACAGAAAGTATCAGGCCACCTTTCTTCCCTTGAACCAGAGTTGTCTGGGGGTGGGTGGCGGTTGTGGGGAAGGGAAAATGAAGAGAAAGAGATCAAGTCGGGCGAGATGCGGACGTAAGAAGAACCCAAGAAGGAAAAGACCCGTCGGTTCCGTGAGTGGCCCAGAGAGGAATAGTTAAAGTAGAGAGCGGCGACTCGATGATTGGGGAGGAGCTCCAAGAGTGTGTGAGAGAAAAAAAAAAGTGGCGTTGGGGGGGAAGATCAGGCAGTCTGCAGGCGATGCGATCGCGATTAGAATACCCGCAATTCAAATGCAATTAATTCGATAGCAAAAGTACGGCACGCACCCGTAGTGCGCAGCGAACAGATCAGATCGGAACGGCCCTTCCTGCGTCTGGAAGACTCATCTGTCCAAAGCCAAATTCGCACAGCGAAATTTAACAGTCAGATTTCGAATCCTCAGATAGACTCGACTTGTGGTTTGAGTTTGGTGAGCGGGTGTCGAGCGGCGGAGGCGCAGTAAACGCAAGGGATAACAAGAGATATGAGTGCGTCGCGTGGAAGGGGGACAGGCTTTCTAATTGTCTCTTTTTCGTTCCCGACAAAAAAGAAACTGGAAGTGGCAGAAAATAAAACCAAGTATAGGGAACGTGTGTAGAGATTGATAGAGAGAGGAAGAGGACGAGAGGGGTGAGAGTTATTAGTGGGTAAAAATTATAGACAGAGACAATGGCTTCGGGGGGAAGGAAAAGAGTAAGAACTGTCCTCTGTTTTTCCCTGGGAATGTGAGAGAAGACGAGAGCCGAGAGGGTGGGAGGAAGAGAGGTAGCTTCGCGGTAGGGGAAAGAGTGAGAGGAAGATGAAGAAGCAGAAGAAAAAGTATAAGTTATAATCGAATAGACTAAATCAAATCGAAAAATAAATAAATCCCCAAAGGAAAATAAATAAAATAAAATAATTATAATACTAGTCCTAGTACCTCATCAATTAAAATCGAAAAGAAAAACGAGAATTTTAGAAAATAAAAAATAAAAATAAGGAAACTATTAAAGACCTCCAGTACCTCGAGACTAGTCCTAAAAGACAGCCACAAGCAGTCCCGCACACACACGGCCACGAGAGATATGGGAGGGAGGGTCCAGCGAAAGAGCTAGCAGCTAACGACATCGGCCCAGGACAGATGAGCTCAGACCTGGAAAATTAAAAAGAGACAGCCAGAAAAGCCAAAATGGGACTACAAGATCGGCGAATCACGCTTGCCGTCGTGACCAGTTTAAAGTTACGGCGAATTACAGAAGCTTTACGCTGCGAACTGCGGATCTTCGACAAAGTGTGGAGTGAGTTGGGATCATATTGGCGATGTGCGGATATCTGGGTGGGGTGCGATGGAGCCTTACCAGGGGGGGCGGTCGTCCCTGACCAAAAATTCAAAAATTATAATAATAAATTAATAAATTGAAATAATAAAAACAAGAGAACAAGTAATTAGCAGTAGTTTACTTTCCCATTTTTTTAATTTTTAATTTTATTTTATTTTTCTTTCCCCCCCCTCTGTATTCCATACACAGTACGTAATTAACAACAATACGACAATACAATCCATTGTACAGTATGTATGTATCTCTGGTACTCCAATTATTCCATAAATCTTCCCAATGTTTTTTTTTTTTTTAAAAAAAAAAAATTCAGTTCTTTTCTATTTGCTTTTCTTTCTTTGAAAAAATAACCATGAGGAAAAAAAGAGGGAAGAAAGCTCTGCCAAAGAATTAAGAATTAGGTTCTCCCTATGAATTTTGTCACAATTATGAAACCACCGCACTAAACAGATCTGAAAGTCATCATGTCCTTATTAGTAACACCTGTGTGGAGTACATCCACGACAGAATGAGGTAGTGGTAAGGTCCAAATTACCACCTAACAGATTGATGAGCGTTCATCCTAAAGCCACAGGGGCGTGCTCGGGAATGGGTAATAAAACTAAATTAGATATTACCACTAGCCGTTAATGTACAGATTTCCAAAGTGCTCCATGTAGTACGGTGTAGGCTTTTTAGTGTCTGGCGCAAAAAGGAAAGAGGGGTGGTAAACCACTCAGGTAATTGAGGGGGGTTGGAGCGAAATAGTATGATGAGTGGTCCCTATCACTGATGGCGATGGGGCGGAGGATGCATCGAGATCCATAGATCGCACGCTACACAAATTAGGGGAACGGCCGACCGACTTTAATTAAAGAAAAGACGAAAGAAGCAGAAGGAAGGAGACTAACAAGACGGGAATGACTAACGTTCCCAAATCCAAGTCCACGGGCGAGGGGATAAGAGAAAGAGTTATTATTTTATGAGTATCATACTTTCCTTCTGTTTATTTTCGTAAATTAAAAAGGGAAACTATACTGAAGAGGGAGAAAAAAGTGAACAAAAAATGGCAGTGAAGGTACACAACATGCAGATTCATTCGGCAGCCTGCTTGCCGGACTCAGCTTCCATCCTCAACACCCCACTAACAAGCTACCTTGCATCGGTGGTATGTCCTTTACGGCCAACTCACTTGGTCTAAAAACGCAGATGTGAATCGAAGCAACATACCTTCAGCTGATTACAAGATAGCATAGTGAAGCTTTCTCTCCAAAAATGATAGTTTTGTCGCTATGATTCGAAAGCATAGCCAACACACGGCTAGTTGTCGGGTCATAGTAATGTTGTTGTACAATCTATTGTATGTATCGTACGGATTACATACTTAGTAATGATGCCCGCTTGTGTCTACCCGAGGAATACTCGGCGGTTAAGGTGTAACAGATGCAGTAGTACGGAGTATAGAAAGTGTATCCCAATATTACATGCTTTTTATATGCGATCCAGGCAACCAATTTAAGGCAACAATGCAAAAGTGCAGTGATCAATGATAAGATTTAGATCTCGTACAGATATTCCGTACACTGTTGCCTAATAGAAGTCACCCTGCAGTGACTACCTTTTCTTTTAATTTTTTCATATTTTCTTTACTTTGTAAATCCAATGCAATACAACATTGTGCACGTGCATACCATGTTATCCTCGTTTTTCTATATCTACATGGAAGAGCATGGAGAAATCGAGATCTGAGAGGAAGAATGTTACACATCCTCGGGCAAAGGGCAAAAGACTTAAGACATGGAAAATAAGCGTCCAGTCATGTGTGAGGTGTGAAGTCACTGCAGTGGCTCTGCTTGGCCCAGATCTGGAAACGATCGGAGTGGGGAAGCTGGATCGCACATCAACAGGACACATAAACATGCTCTCTCTCTCTCCATCAGTATCCTGCAGCCAGTAATCCCTCACTGCCAGAGAAATAAAGGAATAGTAATAGTAATGATATTAATGATAATAATGATAATAAAGACACAGGATTGTCGACTCGCACTTGGAAGCGATCCGACCGCCCATTTGTCAACACGGCACAAGCATTTTAAACTTGACTGTCAGATCCCCTCCTGCAAAAACGTGAAAACCCACTCTGCCTTTGTTCTGGTTTTCCCACGGATGAACTATTTTCAAATTAAAAAAGTAGAAGAACAAGGTAGAGAGCAATGGGAAGTTACAGCCTATTGTTGAGAATTTTGTTAAGCAAAAAAATTAACTAAAAAAAAAAAAAAAAAAAAAAAAAAAAAAAAAAAACAAAAAAAACAAAAAAAAAAGAACAAACGAAATAGAAGAGGACTAAAAAATTCCAGACCTAACTATTACATCAAAATCCACCGCCCCTTGTACCTGAGAGAATTGTTCCATGGTACCGTACCACGCTCACCCCCGCCCTCCCTTGCTCAAGATCTCGGGCATAGCCGTGGGTGGGTGGCACCATTGTCGTCATTCACGATCTCCTCGGACTGAGAGATTCTTATTGCTTTTTCGAAGCCGACGGCAGGACTGACGATTCTAATCGATATTAATGGAGCACACTATTGAGTATAGTATGTTCCAAAAATGCACCTAAAGGTATGCCGTTGGACGGACGGGGTATAGCGTTTTCCCTTCCATGACTGGGTCCCGTGTGGCTTCTTCCTATCCCACGACGGTACCAATGAATATACTGACTAGGTACCTGGCTCCGTACAATGACATCCACCCTTCGATCGATTGAGTTTTCAACCCTGGAGTTACCTAGTGTGTGTTGCTTCTTGGGGGGTGGATTGGATTCAATCAATATCACACCACTACTTATCTCTTCCATGAATCATAGGCGTTTATCAGCAGGTCCTGGGGTCGGATGATTTCCCCAAAGCAGAGATGGTGTCGCATGTGTTGTCGCATCACCACACCCCCCTTCCACTCTCTCCCCCGCTAGTTTATGTCATTTCTAAACACCCTAATTCAATAGTTCGACGGGACCCGAGAAGTGGTTGTAGAAACTCTCGTCCAGCCAAAAAGGAGATAAAAATAATATTAGTACTACTAAGTTTAGACCCATGCACTAGAGTATCCACAATCCACCGTACCGAAGACATTCATGATTCATCGTCATTCTCTTTGTCTCTCTCGATTGATGGATTCATTAATTTGATTAAGTAAATAAATTAATCGAATCTGAACTATCATGCACGTTGTGGACTTATAGAAGGTCGATCTAATTCTGAACCGAGATCCGGGCCACATGATTGGGAGATATCTAACGGGCGAGCTCATTCCTTATTTTGTCTCTACCGATTAACTTCGCTCCCCATTCATTGACGTAACAGTCAAGACTGAAGGATATTTTTTCCCTTTCTTCTGCCCTGGATTCCTTCTCGCTTCTTGGGTTTTGAATTTTCTTCTATTTTTTGCATTTTCATTCGGCGGCATGCTTCTTTAGGGTCTATGCCCCGAGAATCGCAACTTCATTTCCCTGTTTTTCAGCGTGATCCCTTCAATGCAGATGGCCTTGACTAGTACTGGAATTGATTAGTGGCATTCCACATCGGCCAGTGTGTGTTTGTTTTATTATAACAACCGACATTTGACCGTTGCCTTTTCTGGCTGCATGCGCAGCTTCCGACCGGCAAGTCCGCATCCACCTGTACCACTACTTGTACGTAAGGTAGCACGGGCAATACATTGATCGTAGAATCCCGAGTAGATCATGAAGTATTTTGTTTTTCTTTTCCCTTTATCCTCATTTTCGACTGGGTTGAATGGCAGAGGAAGCAATGACCTCATAGCTGACCTAAGTGCCGATCATCATTAACTAAGTATCATCAATGAACTCATGTGCGACCTGTCTTTACAACAGCTCCGTTTCAGTGTCCTGTATTGGGTGCCCCAGGGAATAGGCATATAGTATGTACATATATTTAAGAAAGCCATCCTCTTTTGTATCCTGTGAAAGGTTTGTCTTATGTCTTTCTGCTACCGAATGCGAGTCCAGTTGCGTACTCTATTGTACACAGTGTAGTATTAAATACAAGACAAGTAATTTTTGATATCAGACAAATCGTGGGATCAGGACTTTGACCCTGTGAGGCGTCCGCAGGGGCTTATGCGCCGAACACGCTCACCCACCGTGATTTAACTCAATCTGCAGGCCCCCTTCCTGAAATACCACCGTAATGATACTACATCCTGTGGCTTGTTGGGTATGTATGTACTCCGCTCCCAGCCATCTCCCCGGCTTACACATACACCTTACATATACATAGTTACATTAAAGTGCCTAGCTACAGAGTAGGTGCATACGTACGCTATCCATGCGGAGAGAGGTGTCACATCACGCCCGTTGGAGCTGCAAGATCTTACACTCCGGATTGCAGCATCCTAGATTCCGGTCGAAGCGTTTCTCTTCCTCGGCTCCCCAGTGGACTTGATTCACTGGAGTTCAGCTACCCTGCTGCAGATGACGCTACGATTCCCGATCCGATCTTTTACTTTCTTTTTCTTTTCTCCCCCAAATCTCAATCAATATGTACTACATAACATAGCTACTTGATCAGTCGGAGATTGACCGTTACACGAGCAAATCGAAATGAATGCGAACATGTGAAGGCAGTGGAATGTAGGTACCGTGACTTGCCTTTCACAGAGCTGGAGAACCTGTTTTTCCTTTTTTCTCCTTTCCCCCCCGCCCCCCACCTACGGAGTACATTGTTGCTTTTCTTGTCCCTCCATCATACGTTCACCATAACGAAGGAGTCTTTGGTCTCCAAGGAGACAGCACTTTCTGCATCAGCTTTGATCGGACTGCATATGCACAGACTACAGGAGGCATCCAGTGATGGATCTAACCGTGGACTAGTAACGGTCGCGCGAAACTCGACTCATCCAATCAGACACGTAACAAGTTAGGGAACGTTTGTCTGTCAGAATGCTGACGGATAACGCCCATAAGTACATATCCTCTAAGGCCACTTTCCCTCGTTCCTGGGATTGTTTGTTCATTTTCCTTATTTTCATTTATACCTGCCTCTACGAACGATGAAGCTACACAGTAAATATCAGCCAAATTGGTCGGGCACAGTTTCCCTTGGTTCATTTCTTTCAGACCTTTTTTCCTTTCTTTCTTTCTTTCTAATTTTTTCTTTTTTTTTTTTTTTTTCTTTTTCCCCTTTTTTTTTTTTTTTGAGGGTTTGGAAATCCTGGCCCAATCTTAGGTTTCGTGGTTTGGGACAGAATAGTGGCTCCGCTTAAAATCCCTGCTGACTAGTGCGAGTACTGTTGGATCAAACTAAGGAAAGCAAATCCCGAGACGTCGCGTTGGAGAGTCGAGTTCCCGAAGTTGACAATGAACCGCGTCGTGCATTGACCAGATAGCAGCTTACCCAGGATAAGAAACTTACTGCACGCCGGTTCCAACCGACATCGCTGTCTTCAGCCATGGGACGCTAAAGTGTTAACTACGATGGCAACGGCACGTCGGAACGTACTTGTGTACTCCGTACATACATACAGCTTAGGGAATGGTACTTCCTCTCGCTTGGATCACCGATGGAGGTGGATATACAATACAAGTGGTCTTGTTCGTGAACAGGTCAAGAGTCCGCCAGGCATATGAGGACTCGATGTCGGTTGTTCCTCGACGGTGTCCACTCTCCGAAGATCAGTCAGTATCTTTCAAAAACGAAAGATTATGAACTCCTTACAAACAAACCTTACAGGAGATAACTCTCTACAAGAATGCTATGTATCCTGACACAACCCTCTCTAATACCGTTAGACATTGTTCCTCGACGCCATCCATAGTGGCTTGGCCTTGCCCTTGGTTGTTAGTCAAAACCTGCTCACAAGCGTAAACCAAACCACCAGACCCGTTACGGCGTGGAGATACATCTCACATCGTATACACCGACATAATCTCTTCTGGTTTCTCTCCAACAAGATACTAGCTGCTCGGCGGACCACATCCCGAGTTTTAGGATGCATCATACAGTTTGTGCTACGGCGCTGTCTCAAAGGGTGGGGTACTTGAGCCGGCCGTTAAGATGGATCTACTCTGGAGAGACAGTTCCAGCCGTTCACCAGTAACCATACGACCTTGACCAGGACGGAGAATAGTGTTTACGGCATGTGGCGTCTAACCACCCATCCAATCTCACGGATCATTGTGAGGAAATGGAGATACCACTCTTCCTCCCTGCTGATCCTCTGATAATGTTGACGGGAACCTTAGCTCTAACTGCCGACTTGACGGACTAAATCACTAGGATGGCAGATCAAACCCAGTCAGAGATTGGGACATCGAGCTAGGTCTTTACCCACCAATTGTACGTACTCCAGGAGAATTCCCTAGAAAGCTTCATCGCCTACCTTGCAAGCGACAGGCGACAACAAGCGATAGATCATGGAGCTGACACGCAGTGGACCAGGCGGATGAGATCGACAGCGCCAGACCGAATAGACTGATGGACCAAAAACCGTTGCCCCCGTTGAAACTCGAGAGCGCTCTGGCTAAAACCGCCCCAAAAAACTCTACGCCCCTCATTTTTTTTTTTTTTTTTTTTTTTTTTTTTTTGTATTATTATTACTATTATCTTGCTAGTAGTTCTGGCAGACGACAGGTGCCATTTTTCCTTTTACCAGACACGTTGTGGGACTGCCACTTCTTCTCAATTTTCCTATGATCGCCCCCCATGACGATCAGTCGGGTACCAAGACCAATCAGGGAAAGGAGCGCCGGCGAGTCGACTAAGATGGAAAAGGGCGCGAAACGCGATCGCAATCTTCCAACAAGTCACTCAACATCCAACGAGTTGAACTATTATCACGGATTGTCCACAATTTTCCCCATCGAGGCTGGCCAGGATGGGCTAGATTCCGTAACTCTGACTGACACCAACTGACCGGCCTCAAATATTTAGATTGCGATCCGAAGGGGGTGTGATCCAATCCAGCCGCGCGCGTTCTCTTCCCAGGGGCGCATCTCTGCAGGGAGACATATTGTGCACTACGAGCGATCAATATGACGGACTGACACATGGCGATTAGGAACTATTGGACGGCAAGGATTTGGGTCCGCAATAGGTACTACCTTGTTGTCAAAGGGGTTTAGTACAGTGGTACCGTACTTCGCAGAGGATGAGTTAACGGGAACAACATCGGGCATCCTGCAGGGAACCTATCACCAGCCATGACCCATCACCAAGCCCAATCTGGGAACGAATGGACGCTTAGTAGGTGGAGGAGGGGGAAAAACCCACCAACGGCGAACAGAATGAGGCAGCATCATCAGAAGAAGAACAGGATCGGTGGAACCTTGTCCCGATTAACTCTCCGATGTCTTGACCTGAAAAAGAAGTTGACAGCTGGGGTTTCGTCAGAAAACAGTTTAGTCTGGGTGGCGCTAACCTCTCGCGTGCTGCAACCTGACCGATTGGGAATTGACTTCGGTTAGCTAATCAAAACGCTTTGATGACCAGATAATACCAACTAAGTTGAGCAAAGATCGAAATCAGGTAACGCCCTACTTCTTGCTGCAGTCTTTCTTACGTACAGGAGGCGGTAATATCCACGATTGACATACCAGCGAAATACGCCGCACGTGAAGTGTGTACGCCATACCGACCGGTCCCTCAGCCACAAATTTCTAGCGAAGTACATAGTCCCTTCCTGTTGCCAAAATCGATCCTTTTGGTTTCCCGGTTACGTACCTTCCCAGTCACATGGTCCCGAATCACTTGCTTGTTCTCTCTTGTTTCTCAGATATCCTTTCGGCCGGATGGATTATGCTAGTAGTTCCCTCCCCGTAGCCAGATAGTAGGGAATCCCACCGTCTTCCGTACGGGGGATAATGACGGGATACTAGCAGGGATGTGCCCTCCCAAAAAGGAGACTAGCGGCCCACCTCCCGCCTTTTCTTTTTTCCTTCCTTTTTCTCTTTCCCAGTTTCCACACCCCTGGGAGTGTGTAAAACGAGAATCAAAATAATAATAATAATAATAAATAAATCAATACGTGAAGTAAATTGTCCAATCTAACCTTCCTTTTGTCTCTGGACTTTCTTTCTTTCTTTGTTTCTTGACATTTGATTCGAAATTATTTCCGCCACCCCTTTCAATCCGTTCCCATCCTTCCCGCTTTTGGCGTACCAAGATTTCAACTTAGCCTCGGAGAATAGTTCTCGAATCGAATCATGGCGCCTTTTTTTTTTTTCCCCGAATCTACCGAGTCGCTGGAGACTTAGAGGAACTTAACTGATTCCGCTATGTATGGCCGGGCAGGGGTGGTTACGTAGCACTCTTTCTTATCTCGAGAGTTTAAATGTTCATCCCGTGTTGAGCTCTGATCTCGAATGATAATATAAGCTTTTATAGGGGGAAAGTTGGCAAATGAGATAATTTAAATTACCATAGGGCAAGAAAGGATAAAATGGAAGACAAGTGACACGGAGCCTTGCCAAGTATCCCACCAGCACTACAGTACCACGTCGTTCAGGTTGCTTCTACCCAGATTTTGTCCAAGCCCGGGAGCTGGCTCTCTCCGGAGATGGATGGACCCGTTCATGAAATCAATTCAACATCCGGATCCCGTGTAATCGACAGATCTCCTTTAAGTCGGTGTAAATCCATCCCACACACGCACGCCCATATCACTAATCGACTAAACCGACTCAACCTCAACAGTGGGCTGGGAAAACGACAACTAGCTAGTGGACTGTACGGGGGAAGGGGTCCACATACCACCCGTTTCTAGCTCGTTAAGAATTCTTTATTTCTCATCATTTTATACAACGAAGGGAGAAATCGAATAACCCAATGGGAGAAAAGAAAAAAAGAGCACTAAATCAAGGTGTTGATCCAAATAACTTCCCCCTCCGCGGAAGCGATTAGGGGGAAATCCGGACTCGGTGGAATGATCTCATGAGATCGCGGTGTACAGAACTACAGATAGTGCCATCTAGCGATGGAAACCTCGATTGATTAAAATGATCCCAGGTTAAATTAAAAACTGCCGTTTTGGGAACCGCCCAACGTTCGCGATGGGGCAGAGCTTGGGTTAGTCGCTCGGTCTACTGTTTCTCATCCGGATTTTAGCACGAGATAGTCTAGTTTCCTATTATTATTATTATTAATTTATTATTATTATTATTATTATTTTCAATTTTATTTTTTATTTAGCATCTCGTGCCGAGCGTACTGAGGTCCGAGGACCGTTGAAAATGCGGATATTGGGATCTCCACTGGCCATCTGTCTGTCTATCTGGTTAGCTGCCTACCTTAACTGGAGTGGACTCGACTAGGGGATCACGTCGGCTGCATATTATGGAGGCGGTTTGTTGATCCACTGGCGGTAGGTACCCTTTTCTTCTCATATTTTGGTGCACGAAGTGGCGGTGTCGTCCGCTGTGCCTGTTTGGGCAGGTCGATGATAGATGAGATACTAGAAAGTATGTATCTAGTATCTACAGTAGCCTGTACGCCTAACAGCTGTGGTCTCTCTCTACTAATGTAACAAGAGCCTGTCACCCGAAGTTTATTTGCCTCTACTATGGAGTACTATCAAACTTACTTCTTTGCTAGATACACACAACGATGCGATCTCATTCCACACCCTGCATAAGTTCCCCGATCCTTGCAGCAATTCATTACTCCCACCTGTCTTTCGCTTATGCCTGAACTCCGTCGAGGTCCCCGGTGAGCCACACAACAGCCTCGGATCCGGAACCGAATGCCCATGCCGTGGGTGGGTACACACGAGGGTGGATTGCCAGCCCGCCCCCGATTCGTTTTCTAGAAGAAGCGCAGAATAAATTAGTTAACCTGATGTGCCATGACTCGTATCGTCCCCAAATTATATTGCCTGTTCGCCGAAATATAGCCACAACTGAGGCAGATTGTCCAGTCAGCGAAGGAAAAGCAAGAGAAGGCTCCGGAAATCTTAGTTGTTGGTTGGTTTTCACGGGCTTTGGTTTTTTTGTCTCTCATGGTTTCCTCTTTCGCCTCGCCTGTGAGTATCTACTATCGGTTTTTTTCATTTATTTTACTTTTCTATATACAATTTTTGGGTTCGATTGTTTCTCCTACCGAGGTTTCTCGTATACCTCGCGAAATATGTCTCTTTGTTAAGCGATCGAAATACAATATACGTAAGTATCAGCTGGGGTGGTTGTTTATTGCATGTACATACATGTATAGCCCTTATGTAAACGTAGACACATTCAACCAAAAAAAAAAAAAAAACCGTACAATACATACACATCCATAGATATGTATATCCAATCAAAGCAAAGCGTACATATTACTATCCATATTGAATCGCCGAACTATCCCCGTAACCTGCATACATACGATAACACCCACAATTATACCCCCCTCAGGACTATACCCATGCAGTGACTATGCAGGGAACCAAGATCAGGTTTCCAGATTCTTGGGTGATTGCTGACAGATCTCTGCACTTTAACTAGTCGGTTCTAACCTCCCTCCCTGTGATACTCACGGTGCTATACTGGGCCGATTTGGTCTGGGTTGAGTCACCCGGCTGGGTATTCTGCAGCTGCACCTGGCCCAATGGAGAAGTATTTCAGGCGAGAGTTTGACTTTGTTGGGTTTGAGGGCTGGATTTGGTTTGATGCAGGGAGTATTTGTGTTTAAGTTGTATTTGGGGTTTTCTTTCTTGGGGGTGTGGGTTGGTTGCGTGTTGGTCATGTGAGTTGTTGGGTTGGGTTTGTATAGAATATCAAACTATGCATGTACGCGGGGTAGGTAAGGGGTGTATGGTTGGTTGGGGAGTCTAGGGCTTTGTTGAGTGCAGATGTTTATGAGGGCTATGGCTTTATTTTGGGTGAATTATACGAGTCTACTTGGTGGTGGTTGATATAGGTCTTGAATGCATATATATATAAATGGAGTCGTACTTCAAGTTCGAAGGAATTGCAACGGCGCCGAATGTGCCTCGGTCGAGTACATTAGCTAGGTATGTCGTTTCCACTTCCCTTTTGCATCTATTCATCTATTCACCCTTTATGTATTTACACATCTTCCCTTTGGTGCACAATACCACATTAAACCCCTCCCCCTCTTTCCTTTCTCATATCGACCGAGGTCAAGGTTATCTGCCTGAATAATGAGGCAAGAACCACCAGAAAAACCCCTCAACACCATAAACCAGCCATAAACGTAAAACTACCCCATCTCAGAACTGTAAAAGCACCCGTACACGTAACAGAACGTATTGACAAATTAAACGGATATACACAAAACCAAAATACAAGAAACCCAATACTCTACTCCGTTCCATGGAACCATCACCCTTCTAGTCTTCTAGAATGCGCAATCCCCCATACAAACGACACGTGTGAACCAAGAAACTAGGGAAGATCCGCTGCCAACAATGCCATTTGTCGCGCCAAAATAAGAAAATGGTCTGCAGATGGGACAAAAATAAAATTAAAAAAAGAATAAATAAATGAAAGGGGCGGCTAGAGAGAAAGAGGGAGGAGGAGGGCCAGCCAGACGAGGTCCCCGAGAGCAGTTATTACCCACATACAAATCTGCAATCACTGATCGACAGCATATAATCAAACTAACCACAGATTTGCACCGCCACTTGCGATCCCAATTGAGTGTTCAAGAGTCAAGACCCTGCCAACCGGGTAATTTCATCGCTTCAACCAGGGAAACCAAGACACTGGATCCTCGCTTGTCATTTCCGTGTTCAGGGACTTGTGACGTTCTAGAAGACGTGTTATCCGTGGCTCGTACCATGGTTGAGAGGGTTGCTTTGATAATGGCTTTCTTTCTGCACGGGAGTCCCGGGCGTTCGGGTCTAAATCTACGCGTGGCTAATTTTTTTTGGCTTATCTCTGGATTTCTTTTTGGTGGGTTGAGATTATTCATGCAAAATTTCAAGTAAAATTACCAGGAAAGAAACAAGAAACATGGGTTGGTTTTTCTTTGCCCCTCTCCCGAGTCGAGAAGAGAACGTAGACTGAAGATCCTGACGCAATCCCCATCATCACAGGTCTCATTCGCTACCGAGGAAATTCTGCCTGAATACCGGCTTTCCAACCTGCCTCGGGACATGCCATGACAGGCGACTCCAGTCGCCCACTTGGAACGTTGCGCACTATTGAATTCGGGGACTGGGGCGTTGGAGCACTTTGACGGGAATGGGGGGCGTTATCGGACATCCCGTAGTCTGTATGGGGCTTGCTTGGTCGATTTTCCCTGTGCTTGTAAGCATTTATAATCACGCGCACTTGGTTTAATTGCTTAATTTAAAAGCGTGCTATTTTTGGACAGTGCGTTCGGGAATTGGCTGGTTCGGTATTTGGCTGCTTCTTTTTTGGGTTCTTTTCTTCTTTTCTTCTGTCTATTGGAATTATAGTCTTGGTTTAATTTAATTTAACGTAGTTTGATTCATATTTTTGGGGGGTTATTTTTATTCTTTGCGCCTTGGTTATTTCTGGAAATGAAATTGCATGAAGAAGGTGATGTTTGTAGGTCCTGCTGGGGCTTGTGTTTGTGGCTGGTTAGGAGCACTAGCTTTACCCGATTTGGCGAATTGTCATTTCGAAGAGATCTTGTCATGACTTCACTTTAACTTGGATTGGGGAGTGTGCAATCTGGTAATGAACAAGCCAGAACTACCTGTTCAGCTATACTACCGCCAATAAGTCCCTGCTATCGAATTGATATAATCGATCCCCTCCTTCCGCCACGTGTCCGGCTCCATGTAGCTTGTGACATTCGCATCGAAAACCAGATCGACCGGCTGCTCCGCCCCATACGCCTGCCAGCGAACCTCCCCGTCCTCGATGCCCGAATTCGGGTCCAAGTCGTGGATGAACGACGCCCACATGCTCGCCATCAGTGTGCTCAGCTGGCTGTACGACTCGGGCATCCCTGCGAACGGCTTCCCGTAATGATACCCAAGCCCCTCGATGTTGTTGAACACAAAGGCGACTTCCTCAAAGTGCGCAGCGCCGGACAGATATGGAACATCCGCCCCTCGCATGTTGAATCGGTAGCAGTAGGCGGGGGTTGTGGTTTCTGCCCAGGCTTCACATTGTCGTCGTCGGTTCGCGTGCATTGAGTAGTCCCCTGCGTAGGCCGATGTACGGCGCCACTGGTAGCCCTTCGAGGGTACCCGCTGGTCGCCGAGGAACTCCGGGATTCCCTGTGATGGGTCGTCCGGGTAGAGATCGAGGATCTGGTTTGCCGTAGACGATGGGAGTTTGAAGCCGGATGTTCCGTCTGGTGATGTGGATGTTCTTTAGTACATATACATGTGACCAGGGGAAAGAGGCGAGAAGTAATTCATAATACTAACCGGTGAGGTATGCGTAAAACTGCTCCGTGGTATTGATCCCCGTGGGACCAAAACTAGCCCCTTCGTCTGTATTCGTGCCTGCAAGAATGGGAACTTTGATGAATTCATGTTGGTCCAGCTGGACGCTTCCCCGGCCCCTCAGGAGATCCTGGTCAGCGACAGGCCAGAAGGAGTACACTGGGTTGCCATCAGTGCCGTTGAAAACGGCATTCAAGTCCTCGAATGGAACCTCGCGCAAACATTGTAGCGTATTGGCGGCATTGGAACAACCAATCTTTGCCACCACTTCATCGTACATCGCCTGGTAGCCGGTGTCATTCATTGGACTGGCTGTTATGGATCCGCCTGATTCCATAATCGCTCCGCGAAAGAGACCGTCATCTCTGCCACCGTATGCGAGGAGATGAGCGCCAACGGACATTGCCCCTGCGGACTCTCCCCAGATCGTGATCTTCTCTGGATCGCCCCCGAAGGCCCGAATGTTTTCTTTGATCCACTGTAGCGCCAGTCTTTGGTCCCGGAGACCGAGGTTGGTGTTTCCGCTACTGGCGACTTCACTGGAGCTCAAGAAGCCCCACGCGGAGAGGCGATAGTTCAAGGTCACGGCGATGAACGGTTTGCCTGCATGGATCAGTATCTATTCGACAACTCAACCAAAACGACCTACCAATCTTATACGAGTTTTCCACAATAGCAGACATGTTATACCGCTCATCTGACCCTGAACCCATATAGAATCCACCACCGTGGATCCAAACACCCACGGGAAGATCAGAGCCCTCACTCGCAGATGACCCTCGGACCACGTTCAAGGTAAGACAAGCTTCAGACATCGGATACCAGATTGAATCCGTCTATATCCCTTGTTAGCTTGCCAATCTTGAGGTCGGGAGCAGGCATATCAAGTCAATCATCACTTACGCCATATCCCACACAGATCTTGGAGTACTCTTTCGCATCGTGTACTCCATCCCAGCTTTCATTCAACGATTGGGGTACCGTAAACCGTAGGTCACCAATTGGCTGCTGCGCATATGGCATGCCTAGGAAAAAGTCCTGCTGGTAGTGGTCGTTCTTTACCCCGACATATGTCCCATTGCGGACATGAGCTGTTGGGCCTGGTATACTACTCGGAGCAGCATTTCCAGCGACCCACAGCGCAGAGAGACAGAATATTGTCTTGAGCATATTGTGTGCCCTCAAATAAAAAAGAATCTACACGACCGTGCCAACTCGCGCATCCTGCAACACCCACCCTGCGCTCTTTATATGGAAGGCCATCAGTTGCGGGGTATACAGCCCAATATGAAACTTCCCCTATGCTCTCGGGACTTGAGTCGGGACTTGAGCGATGAGGGACAAAGGGTCGAGGTCCGACTTCATCGTACAAGTGCATATTGTGGGGGTGGAGTTGATGACGCAGTGGGATCCGGAGTATTTGGGGTTATAGAGTTGCGGGGGTGAATTTTGGCATTCAATGAATGGACAACCGGTTAAAGAGAATTTCCCCTTGTAGAGAAGATTGTCGGCTCCCGAGTTGACGACTCGTGGGGCTTCTGGGGTGGGATTGTTCATAGTGCACGCGGTTGAAGTTTGATTGATGAATGTCCCGAAGATTTGCCGGTCGCCCCAGAGGCCTCTTCTTGTTGGGTATAACGTGATAGACTAGGGAGCTAATTGACCATCTTCCTTTTTCTTTCTCTCGGGCAGCTGGCTTGATGAGTTGCGTGCTTGAATATGTGGGGTTCACTTGAATAGGCTGTAGAGACGATGACATGTTACAAGCTGTATGTGGGATTGCTTGGAGTGTAAGTAGAAGGCTTCCCTGCACGTGAATGGCACATCCCTAGGGTTAACACATAGCCCAGATAGCTTTCCTGAAACAGCATCTTCCAGAACACTCATTGATATACCTTACTGAGATGGTTCGTATCCTAAAATGTACCAGTAATCAACCATCTAGCCACGTTCTACACCCGGACAAGATAACGTATGTTAGATGAGATAGTGTGTCACATGGAGAACCCCTGACCAGTATTGCTTTGTCGTACAGGATTCAATAGCTGGCGCCGTCCATTCTACAAAGGGTTCAAAAACAGAGGTTTCATTGAGCATCATGTTCGACTTCTGTTATAGATCCTCGTTTTCTGGGCATGCTTGTGGCACGACCAGCTAGCTAGCCTCCTTGGATCTACATGGGACCCTTATGTGGCCCTGACATGCATCGGCTGTGAGAGCTGCCTGGTGAAGCAGAGTCGTACTAGTCTTAGCATTGTAGCACCCCTGGACGGTCTGGCTTAAGGGCTTGCTTGAGAACCTGGTTCTTCACATAAGGGTGGCAATCGGTATCTTTGAGCAAGTGTCTATCTCAACTACCCCATGCTCCTTAGCACAGTATAAGTGCAAGAAGGCTCAAGTATAACTGCATTCGGTGATCTAAACTCCTTTCATTGCACCAAAAATTTGCTCCTGGACCGCGGTCGTCAAGCAACACGCATCCAATCGAAGCACCTCGAAGCACCATTAACTTGAGAATCGCAGATCCACTATGCGATTGTCGGCTTTCCAAAGTCTCGAAAATCAAGAGAGCAAGAGGATACTATCATCGTGTATCTACCCTCGCGTCATATATTCGCTGTTCAGCCGTATCTGCAGAATGTGGTGGGCATTGTTATCACCTGAGCCTCTTCCTATGACTCCAGTCTCTCCATCGCCTCCATCACCTGAGGAAGAAGCCATCATCGCCGTCACGCACGGCTTCCTTGCGGCATTGAATGCGAAGTCGGCAGCCGATTTCGAGAAATACTGCATCCGAGCAGGAGGCATGTCACTTTGTCCACCGCCGCCCATGGTACCCCGTTTCTGTACAATTGGAGTCTTTGTGGAGCAAATTGTAAACGTGCAGGACGACATCGACGAGCGGATCTGGGACCCTGAGTTGAAAGTATACGAATCAGGTAATCTGGCCGCGGTGTGGGCGCCGTTCAGATCGAAGATTAATGGCATTGTGAACCATGTGGGTATCGAACTTTTCGTGCTTCACAAACTCAACGGAGAATGGAAGGTAACCGGGTTAGCTGATTCATGTCGATGGCCAACTGAAGAAGAGAAATATTCGTTGCTATAAGCGATACATTTGTCCAATCCTGCCTGTTAATATGCATTGGAGCCTCGGATGAGGTTGTGAGGAATAAGATGGAAAGATAATAATAGGGCTAGATGCAATGTGCACACGGTAAAAAAAATGAACTCTTAACCATGAAGGAGGATATCAGGAGAAACAATCCTATCTACTACCGGAATGAAATCTCCATGTCTATAGAGAGCCAAACTTTTTGCCATATTACTTCTTGCCTCTAAGAAGCTCCCATCCAACACTCCCGTTCTTTCCTTCTGTTACAGACATTTCCTCAACTGCCTTCACGAGATCGTAGCAAATTTCTTCTGAGACGACGCTATCGTGTTTATACGCAGGGTGCGAAGCGACATATTCACGGATCCACCGCGCTCCAGTCCAGAGAGTTCCGTTTGCCCGTTTCCGAATGAGATCGAGATAGGTTGCCAGAAAGCAGCGCGTTTCAACGTCCACATTGACGCTGTTCAGGTACGATTCGACAAGCGGGATTAACCCGGGGAACGATCCGTCAGCAGAACCGTTGATTATATCTGAGATAGTCATGAGCGCATATTCCGACTCTACTGGTTTAAGTGGAGGTGACGGGGGTGGCGTATTAACGGCGGATGACGTGGCAGACGACACTTCACTATTAGTAGAAGACTGTGGGTACGGTCTGCGTGCGCGAGGAGAGAAGGGATCCTTGCGGAAGTAGAACTTTTGGTCCAAAACAGCATTTCGTGCATGTGCAGTTTCCATATTTTCGGTCGTGCGTTGGATAGGGATATAGAAGTTCAAGTCAAAACTCAGAATCGCGCGGGTGACAAGCACAATAAATATGCTGAATGCCGCATTTTCGAAGTCGGTCATTTGAATTTCCATTGAGCGGAACTCAACTCGCCAGCCAATATCGTCTTTCTCCGGTGGGGGTGGCTTGAAGCGCATGTGTTGCCAATTTGTCGATTGCAGGTTCTCGAAATGGTCTGCCTTGTTTAGGTCCAACTCCTCCAGGTCTTCTGAAAAGATGACTAGTGGGTCGCGTATGAAAAGATGCGCGAAATGTGTGGCTAACAATTCATCCATACCACCTTCAATCAAGCGCTTCTTGATATCTTCGTCCACGATCAAATCAGGATCCAAGTACTCCTTCCGCAGCCTAGGGTCCTGGGAAAGATAAGTCGAGTTTGATGCGTATCTAGATTTGGGAATTCTCCACCGATCATTCTTCAAAGGCTAGTTGGGATGTTAGCTCGGGACCGGCATTCAATAGAGGGATAACTCACAGCTTCACCAAGTTCTTCGCGTGTCCTGTCATCTACAGCATTACCGATCTGGTTCCACCGAACGTCGGTGTCGACAAGGAAGCCCTTGTATATGGGGGTTGCGGCCGTAAGTGCAAGAAGGATGGGTCCCAACGGACTCAGTTGGTCGTATAACTTTCTCCCTTCCGTCATATTCTTTGCCTGGAAGGTGATTTGAAGACAACAACTGCCCATGCCAAACGCCATGGCGTCCATATAAACATGCCCTTCCTTAGCGGCTCCATTTCTGACATCATCGTCTTCAGGCCAGTTGTGGAGGTCATAGTTCACCGTTGGGTCATTGAAAGGTTCAGGGGTGTTTGTATCTTTGTAAACCGGTACATTCAGCTCGACCTTTCGACCCCGTCTCGATCTGATATTACCGGCTAGCGTTGGAAACCTAATGTGGGGATTGGCGATCTCATCAGGAACGAACTGAGATCGGAGTGCGGCTCCAGATGGAGGATAGTATGGTTGAATGTAGTCGTCTTTCGTACCCAAGCGGGGGAATGTGGTAAGAGTAATAGGATATTCATTTGGTGCCATGTGAGATTTGGCAACCTCTCGTCTAAGGTACCATATTAGGCTCAGCTAGTAATTTTCGGACGGATAAACGTACCTCCACTTCATGTTTGACTCTACCTTCAATAGGTCTTTGAAATCAATCCCCCATGGCCGCCCCGGAGTAGCCTCCAGCATGAAGCGACCGAATTCCGGGTGGAAATGAGGGGGATCCTCTCCATCACTAGGCGTCATCAGAAAAGTTCCTCGGAGTTGATATAGAAGACCAGTTTGCCTTACTGTTCCTTGTTCTGTATACTATTTGACCCTTCAGACTTCCAATTGGCTTCATCCTCAGCCAGGGACTTGAGAATCTCGGCCTGAGCAAGAGATAACCGTGCCTTTTTCGCCTCGTCGTCAACGGCAACCACAAGGTACTCGACCTGAGTAAGGATAGATTAGTTAGCTTTGAGCTTTATAGTCTTTTTGACATTGGAATCTCACCTCATCGCCCCAAAGAAGAGCATCGCGCTCTTTCCCTTTCGCTCGGCGCCAATTGGCGAGCAATTGCTAATGTGCGTTAGGTGAACGCCCGTTCATGTATCGCTAGATAGCAGAAATAGAAGGAAATGACGTACCTCAATACCCCATTTTCGCACCTGATCCGCTCGCTTCTTCGCCTCGGGCCAATCGAGGGCAGTTCCTAGTGCTCTATAAGAAAATTGGATGTTAGCCCGGGGTAAGCCGCACAATAATGTCTGGTAGGAGTCGCGACGTACAGCAGACCCATAATGTCATAACCACGTCCGAGGAACCAGCGTGTAAGAATTCAATTATAAGAGAGTCTTCCGTAATAAGACAAACCCCCGGATCACACGATCTGCAAGCCCCGCGGAGGTGAGGGGAAGTTCTGGTGGCAGAAGATGCGCCAGAGTCCGGATGTTGGAAGCAATCGGCCGAATGAAATTATACAATGCCAGATAGAACTGACACCTCAGAGTACTATACGTACAACATGAAGAACCGTAGAGACAGACGATGGAAGGAAAGGGGAAAAAGTCATAGTCGGATTGGTATTGTCGCCTTTATGCTGATTTTCCCGGCGGCGTCTCGGAGACGGTGATTGTTGTCGGTGATTGGGTAAAGCAGTGAACTTTTGCCAATAGTGGGGGGCATCTTTTGGTCCCCAAGCGGGGCATTAAGTGCCATTAACGCTGATAACGCCGTTAACGCTGCGGAATTCACGAGAAGCCGATGCATTGATTTCTAAGCAGCTTCCTTAACTGGATGGTCATGTGATTCCATCGAATAGATCACTGACATTCTCTATAAAAATACAGCAAGGCAAACAAAGTTCATGAACTTTCTTAAGGCAACCGGGCAACCGAGACTATAAAATATACCTCACATCAAACTGATCGCCGAGGCAAGACGTAACATCATCTAGTTCGCGACCCACAAACACCAAGGGACCAAGCAATCCACTTGATAATAGGTAGGTAGACTTAAGCTACAAGTGCCGGATGTGGATATACCAAGGACCAGCATGACATGGCGCTTGGCTGAATAACCATGTTGCCGAGTTACTCTTACTCATGATCCATACCTCAAAAATCACTGCCATTTACGGCTAGTAGCTGACAATTGTAAGAATAGTTCCTCTGGGAAGAAGATGAAAATTGGAATGATATAACCAGCAGCGATTACTACCTATAGGCAGTAATACAACCCCAATTCGGTAAGGCTGGGCCAGCGGACAAACCCAAATACTCCGCTTGCGCAGTCCCGAGGCTATTCCATGCATAGAAATCTTTCGGGGGATGGAAGCACTGGGTCCGTATCACACCGAGAGATGATCGTTTCATGTATTACAGACAAGGTACTAGCCTTGTGAGTCCGAGACACAAAGGGATGGTATCGGCAAGCTTATTCTCAATCCGAACGCCAAAGTCGGTGCATGATCAATCAATCTCAGAACTTTATGTACATAACCTGCTGCTTCGTCCATATCAAATGCATAAGCCGATCTGTTTGGTATCAATTGCTGCGGGCACCGTTCTTAGCAGCTCGCAGCTCGTCCATCTTGGCAACACGCTTCTTGAATTCTTCATACTGGCACTTCTCGTAGCTGTGTCTCTCATCCTAGAGTAGAAATTGGATATTAGCTATATAGATCAAATCTTAAAGCATGGATATGTACGCAGGAGCGTTATGCGGAGACGAAATGCAATGACATACCTCGCACTTCCAAGGAAGGTAGTACTCCTGCTGCCGGCATCGGTTCAATGGGATGAGGAGGTGCCCACAAGAGTCGCGGTACTGAATAGGCAGACGAGCATCGGACATCTCCTGGCGGGTGGCTAAAATGGAACGTCAATGCTCGGCTCAGTCAATGAGACTATATTGATCTTGCTCTTGAGCGCGGAGGCCAATGGCATTGAAAACGTACCGGGAGTATCCGCCAGTCCAACGGCACTCTTAACCGACTCGGCAACGGTCATTTTGGTATGAGAAAGCGTCGTAGAATAGGGTCCTTCTGAAGATAGGCGGCGGAGCAGCGAGGTTTGCAGCTATCCCGAAGTGCTGTTCCTTCCGGATACAGTCAGGTGACATCACGTGAATCCTATGCCGCAACGGGAATAGTGGTCCCGATTCCACTTTACGCGGTTCTGCCGACCGGAGCGCGTCTTGTTGAGCAATCCACCGCGTTTTTGGGATGTTACTGTGCGCAGGACGAGCCACCAGTGGCTGATACGGTATCTTTGTGACTTCAATATACGCTATATGTGATGTACCGAACTCAAAGCCTGTGTATTATACTTTACGCCTGAGAGAAGGTGAATTCGGACCATTGAATTCCCTGTGAGAAGTGACCGCGTCGCATCTTCCTTCAATTGTCCGGGGACCACCTAGATTACACCGGCTTTCGGAGACGCACATCATGGCGGGAGTGGATTTTTCAAAAATTTACTCTGCGACGTATAGCAGTGTGAGCTTCCTCCTTCTTTCTGTGCCTTCGCTCTTTCTATCGATTCACTTTTGTGGAAACCCTTGACCGCTTAGATGATGTGTCTAATATCTCCGATCAGGTTCCGGTCTACGAGTTCAAACTCGATAGCGACAGTGTTATGCGAAGACGGGCTGATGATTGGATCAATGCTACACATATCCTCAAAGTCGCTGGGTTTGACAAGCCAGCGCGGACACGTATTCTCGAACGTGAGGTGCAGAAAGGGGTTCACGAAAAAGTACAAGGTGGTTATGGTAAATATCAAGGTAGTGAAAGTCCATTTTGATACAACACTCATGGTGGTCGCCGTGCTAAAGCTCGAAATAGGGACATGGATTCCACTTCCTGAAGGCCGGATGCTCGCTGAACGCAATAATATCATTGATAAGCTAAGGCCAATTTTCGACTACGTGGCTGGGGATCGCAGTCCACCACCTGCTCCGAAACATACATCGGCCGCGTCAAAACCAAGGGCTCAGAAAAATGCGGCCGCTAACAAGAGGGTTGTACATGAGGAGGTTTTCAGTGCGGTTAAGCCGCATCGCAGCATGGCACCACCCAGTTTCACTCATGAGCAATATGAGATGAATCCCGGGTTCGATGAAGACGAATCGATTGAACAAGCAACCCTCGAATCTTCTTCCATGGTTGCGGATGAGGAGATGATGCATATCACCCAAAATGGCAACTATTCGCGAAAGCGCAAACGTGGCATGAATGAGGTAACCGCGATGTCAATAAGCGAACAGGAGCATATACTGTACGGCGACCAGCTCTTGGACTACTTCATGACAGTAGGAGATGCTCCAGAAGCAACGCGAATTCCTCCACCAGAACCACCAGCCAATTTTCAAGTGGACCGGTCAATAGATGATTCAGGGAACACTGCTCTCCATTGGGCTTGTGCGATGGGCGATCTGGAAATAGTGAAAGACCTGCTGCGGAGGGGAGCAGATGTGAAGACACTCTCAGTACATGAAGAAACGCCGCTTGTGCGTGCTGTTCTATTTACAAACAATTATGAAAAGAGGACATTCCCACCGCTCCTGGATTTACTCCTGGACACAGTGTCGTTCCGAGACTGGTTCGGCGCCACCATATTCCATCACATAGCAGAAACCACTAGAAGCAAAGGGAAATGGAAGAGCTCTCGGTACTATTGTGAGGTGCTGCTCGACAAATTACGTGTTACTTGTGCGCCAGAGGAAATCGATGTTTTGTTATCTTGCCAAGACTCCAATGGAGACACAGCTGCTTTGGTGGCTGCTCGAAATGGTGCATTTCGCTTGGTTCACTTGCTCCTCACGCACTGCTCGCGGGCTGGAGACTTAGTAAATAAGAAGGGCGAGACGGCTGCCAGTATCACTCAGCGAGCGAATCAGTCGGACCGACATATCCCGCCGCCGCCTTCCTCTATCACGATGGGCAATGACCACATTGATGGGGAAGTTGCTGGCCCGATAAACACCGATCAATCCGTTGCGCTACCGCAAGATTCCTCCCCCTCCACTTCTGCACTCCTCGCCAAGATTGGGGTAATAATGGCCGAAGCGAATAAGAAACTTGCAGTTGGGTACGGAAGCTCAAAGGCTAATCAGCCGGATCCAGATGACGTTGCCAATCCAGAGGCACTATACGAACAGCTAGAGTTGGATCGGCAGAAGATTCAACAACAAACAGCCGACCTGGCGGCGAAGGAAACCAAAGAAGAGCGCATCGATGCGCAGTTCGAGCGTTACGAACAGTTGAGGGGTCGCTACGAATCGCTACTGGAACAGATTCAACAAGCCCGCTTAAAGGAGCGGATCGCATCGTCAACGTTACCCACTAACGAGGACCCGAACCCACCCTCGACCGACCAAGAAAAGTTGCTTACCGTCTATCAGTTAGCTCGACGGCTGTGTTCGGCACAAAAAGCACGGCGTGCCGCCGTCAGAGATCTCGCCCAACAAACAGCAGATGCAGGTGTTAGCACTAAGTTTGATGTTCATCGGAAGCTCGTGTCACTCGCTACGGGGCTGAAAGAAGAGGAACTAGATCCCATGGCTGCTGAACTGGTAGAGACTTTGGAATTTGACCGAATGAACGGAAAAGGTGCAGGGGGCGAGTCCCCCGAGCCAGAGCCCCAGGGGTCAGCGACTTTTCCTCTAGCTGGACCTCCAGTGTCTGTTGATGCTTAGAACGTACAGGATCATTTCTGATGCTCTGCATTCAGCTCGATTTGTTTGTGAGCGTATCGGTTTCTGTATTACTGTATCTACCAAGGACTGGATATGATGCTTCACGCAATTTCTAATTCTGCAGAGAATCACGTTTCTCCCATACCTCTGCGATGTGTTATTTTTACCTACATGGACATGCCGTTCTTTACGATTTCGTTTCTTTCTTTTTGTTTTTTAACATAATTAGCTTCTGGTGGGGACTGAGGAATATTGTCCTACCAGCAGATACCCAATTGTTCTTTTCTTGGAGGCATCCGATGTGTTTCTTGAGTTTGTCAGGACTATCAGTGTGCTTACTGTTCTGACATGGCACGGTGACAGATCAGAAACTACTATAGTTACAGGAAGAATTTAGCTGGCGTTGAGGGTTTACAGCATGAATAGATGGTGTACATACAGGCATACATAAAAATCCAATGTTATGGTATCATTATGTACAAGCGATAGTGGAGTATGGGACATGCATTGGACTAGTACAACCCCACTTCTAGAATTGTCTGGTGACTTGAACCAAAATCAACCATCAATAGCTCGGTATCCAAATACATCGGTCAAAGACATACTGATGAGCATGGCATTTCTTCCATGCAGGCCTAGGTGCATGAGCACAGATACTCTCAAGTTACCTCCATCCGATTCTCCCAAACCAATTGGTTCGATCTCACATTGCAGTGGTCCATGGATAGCGCAATACCGAACCGAACTGGTGGTAGGGGAGAAAACCAGGCCAGTCAGGGGAAAGGAGAAGAGGGGAATCGGTCTGCAATGGAAGCGGTTGGCTGGCGGCGAGGGAGGCCACGTTGGATGGCACTAAGCGGGGATGATCCCAGGGATGAGTGGGTAAGGAGTTTGGGGATGAACCAATGGGGGTTGGGGCATGGGGTGCATATTGGCGTCACTGTCAGGCTGCAGAGGCGATTTTGGGGGCGGATTGGCTGGTCATAGCGGCTGATGCGCTGTCTGTGTTCCATGATAACTTAGTACTCAGTACCTAAGGAGTGGATTTATGGACAATGAGATTAATTAAACCAGGGACTGCACTAGAGAACTTGGTAGGTATGAGATGTTCTTGGTGAATCTTTGATCAGTTTTGATCTACCTCACTAACCTACTAGTATCTACCGTTCCATACTTTGCATTACAATTCAATACTACCTCAAAGTAGTAAGGCTACGGTATATCTCACACTCAGTAAGGTCCCGGCCTCTACTAGTAAATAATGAAAGCCACCATGGGGCTGGATGGAGAACCTGAGGACCATCACAATTTCCCCCGATCTATTGGCTACTATTTCAGGCACCTCCTCAGAACGGCTAACCGCAAATGAGATCACCCAACAATGGCTATCAAGAAATCATCCACTTTGAGAATCACCAGTTCCCCATGGCTAACCCTGTTCAGGACTAGTCGTTCTTCAAGCGAACCAGTCAGAATGGAAGTGTCTGAAGTGGCCAACCAGTCAGTGTCTCAGGGCCTCCGATCATGATGCTGATTTTACAGGTCTTGTATTATTAGCACCTTAATTCTTCTGTGTCTGACAGTATTAGAAAGTATTAGTAGCAAAAAAACAATAGGAGGATAGTTTCCTCTGGTTCTCTCTATCTGTCGCTTCTTTTCTTCTTCCTCACCCACCTTTCTTTTCCTCCCCCTCCTGTTCCTTCTCTCAACTGGCGCTTTTTTCCATCCTCTCCAGGCCCATCTTCACTTCTTCTCCTTCCCCTTTTTGTGTTGCTTCAACCTAATTTCTCTTATCCTCGTTGTCTTCTTTTCCACCTGCAGTCCTTTTCATTTCTTTACGGGATTGTTAGCTTATCAATCCGGAAAGGTTTTATTTAATCCACAGAAAGTGAATTGGAACTTATTTGGGGCCCTTTTGGCTTGACTATTGACGGCCAAAGCGGGTAGACGAAGGGAAAAGCGCGAAGAAAAAAAAAAGAAAAAAAAAAAAAGGCGACCCAACGCGCGCCAACAGCCGAACGGACCAATTCATCAATACACTATCCTATCATCACCGACTCTCTTCTTTTCTCTCTTCTTTCCCTCTCTACGATTCACGGGATACTTTGGAGGAAACAAAAAAAAAAAAGGCTAAAAACGCCAAAGAAAAATAGAAATAAAAAAGAAAGTCAGTGCAAGAAAGAGAGAGAATAAATAAAAGTCCATTCGACGATCCCTTACTTCATCACTTGAGCGGCTCTATTCTCGTTTTCCGTTGTTTGTTCTCTTCAACGGTCAATCTTCGAGTCTCTCCTCCTTTCCCATTTTTCGTGTTCAAGCATCCTTTCGGTCGGGAGTTGCAGAGCATCTCCCACCCATTTTTATCATCGTCTTTAATTACAGAGACCTTCATTTCCCTTGTCTCTCTCGACTTTCTTGCCTCGGTTCCTGACGTCCGGTCGCGTCTGTCGTCCATCACTTCAACCACGAGATCTCCTTTTGGCAGCTGCAACTCTGCCCTGACCCCAGGTCGATCGTTCCCTATACGCCTGGCTATTAATCAGTCTTTGTCTTTACCAGCTCTCTTTTTGCAACTCTATTCATTCTCATCGCATATTTCTCAGGTATGTCGATCCATTGTCGGTCGCCTCCATGATCTTGCTGACACCGGCCAAGTTTAGGACTCGCGACCGCAGTCTCAACTCTTCGCATAATAGACACGATTTCTAGTGTCAGAACGATCCTCGAGTGTTTCATTCTTACTATCGCCTCCTTGTAATAATTTAATACACAGGCTTTTCGTTTGGTCGACTACATAGTGCCTTCGGTTCACTACGGCTCTTTGATTCTTACCCGTTGCACATAGTACCCTCGAGGCTTTCTTCCTTTATACTAGTTACGAGTATGGACACTGGCGGTCTTGCTCAGATGACTTACAATCCGTCTTTCAATAACGGAAGCTCGCTTGGGGCCCCGAGTTCCGGTTTCGGGTCTCGGAGAAAGGGCCCTAATGTGAAGCGTTTGAGTGTGCCCCCTCCACACATCTCCACCATCGATGAATCGCAGCCATCGGCCCCCATTCCCACTCCGCGCACCAGCCGTTCGCATCTTCTGGCAGGTTTAAGGACGGCTCCAAAATCCGCTACCGTCCCCTCGGCTTCCGCCCGCCAGCAGCACCTGGGCGTGGAGGGTGATCGATATGGGAATCTTTCAAACCGCACCGCTGATCGTGTTCCACAAACTGCCATGGGAACTGGCTTCCCTCGACACTCAATGGCTCTCAATCAGGGCCTGGACATGAACACCGGTCGCCCCGTGTACACTCTGCCGGAGCAGGTGCTCGCACCTCCGGCTATTGACATCGCCGGCGATATGCCAATTGACGAGAGTCTGTACGCGGAATTGATGTCCACAAATCTTTTCCTGGCGGCCCAACAACAGCGCCTACAGCAACAACTGATTAGCGTGACCGCAGCGGCCCAGCAGTTCCAGGGTCTGAACCTAGGAATGCCAATAAACCAGCAGCAGGAATATCCTTCTCTCGCCGTTCCGGGAATGGGCTTCTATCAGCAACAGCTCCAGCAAGGTGTGCAGCCAGTTGTGCAGCCAGTACCGGGTCAACCAGGGCTGTTCTCCGTCTACAACCCCCTCACTGGTCAACAGAATTACATTTATGACAACTCCTACCAGCAAGAAAGTTCTTCGCCTTACCAGGAAGAGGAGACGCAACCTCCTGCCATGCAGGTGCCAGCGTTCCGAGCTGAAGTTTCTCCTCCCCCGGAGACGAAACAATTATCGCAGCCGGCCTCTCCTCCCAGCGCCAGCCCTTCTCCTCCACAGGAAGCCGCTCCTTTGCCTCCTCCCTCCCTCAATGCATTCCGCAGAGGTCACAAGAAAAGCTCGTCGTTTAACCCTGCCAGATTCTCCATCGACACAGCCAAGGCAAACTCAAACATAGCCCCTGCCGCTCCCAAAACAGCTGCCCTTTCCCAGACACCGGCAACTGGGACTTTTGGACCTGGCCAGAATCGCGCCGGAGAGCACCCGATCCGGCAACCCCGGGGTCCACCCTCGTTGGAGGAACTTGTCGCTAAGCCTACATCAAACCATGAAGGAAGCAAGAACTTTGCCACCCGTCAGCGCCGTCGCGCCGTTCACAACCTTGTGCGTGCAGGCCTCGAACGACGCGGAGATAGCCGCAGCTTCGGATGTCATAGTAGCGGTGGCACCAACACGCCGGCGAGTGAGAAGGAATTCACATTCTCCGATGGTGATGATGCTACCGTTCGCAGTGGCAGTCTTTCGAGCAAACCCAGCTTGGGAAGCCTTCGTGCCGCAGCCAATGGCGCCATCGGATCCGAGAGGAAGGAGAGATCTTCTCGGGAACGGCGGTCGCAGGATAGTCCGTACACGACCACTCCGATCAGCGAGGATGGTGGTTTCTTCGGTGGAAAATTGGCAGATGTTCGCACGGATCCGGTTTCTTCGCCCGCGGGAACACCTTCCGTGGCTGCTGTCGTCGCTGGCCAGAAGACAGCAGTGCAGGGTCCAGAAAGGCGCAAGACCCCGATGCTTGTGCTATCTAGCGCCGAAAAGCGCAAGACCCCGATCATGTAACGCGAACATCGTACATAATGTGACTGAGACGTAACGGATGTGCACACTTGGATGATTACTTTTTGCGCCTTTTTTTTTTTCCTTGTCTTTTCTTCAACACCCTATCTTTACTCTTTTGTTGTACTTGGACAGTGGGCCAGAGCTTCTGTCCTGTTCAAAATGGATACTCTCATGTGATAGTCGAAATTGTCTGTAATGTTGCTTTTCCTATGTGTTTAGACACATAAGCGGCCTGCGCCAGCATCAGCCTTGGACGATGATGTTTTTTTTTTTTTTTATTACCTTCCTTTCTTTCTCAGATCATTTTATTCTCCGACCTCCGTTTAGGTTCATATCCACTCCTTACCGCTGTCAAATGCGCTGATGAACACGGGAAATCCAATTTACGTTATGTAATGGATTTCGTGATCTGGGTGCTCCTGTTACTGCAACAGGTTTCTTTTGATCAGACTGAGTCGATCATCTTGGGCCCAGAGCGATTCCATGTTGCATTCTTTCGGTGTACATCATCTGGCCATGTATGTACAAGCGTTAGTTATATTAGTTTTCAATACTGAGCAGCATCAGTACAAGCTAAGGAGAACGGCCGGTCGAGTTCCGTAGATATTGTATCATCTCGAGGATTTTGATAAGTCAATGGCGTGCGTTTGGGTTGTATCCAAAAGCAGGATCTAGCCCGACCAGCTTGATGTTGTCGAAACAGACGCCATCCTTGAAGGCTGTATAGGTCTGCGACTCTGCATGACTTGCATGAGCAGCAATTTAAATTCTTCTAAGGGGCGGCTCAGGCCGATTGGCATCAAAGCTCTTCTCCACCACCAGTCATTGATTGGCCCCTCGACCGTACGTTACAGTTTTGAGTCTGTACACCAAGTGTTATAGTAGCATGGGAATGGCACGCTATCGTGCTATTCACAATAGCACGCAATTTTCTTTCAATATGAGGATTTCCTCAACGAGAAATTTGAATGGAAAGGGGAGAGGTATAAAGCATGCTATATTGATCATGGCTTCGAACGAGCTTCTTGTTCGGACTGCCTCTCTTCAGTGTGACGAACTTTGACCGAGACTACACAACGCCATGGCCGAACAACCATCATCGCGTTCAGTTTCTCCCACTGATATACCGGTAGAAGATAAGGAGAAGCGAGTATGGTATCACTCAACGCTCTTCAATGCCTTCGTTATCGGCGGAGTGGGCTTTATGGCGCCCGGCCTGTGGAATGCAATGAATTCCTTAGGTGCTGGTGGCGCGCAGTCGCCGTTTCTGATTAATGCTGCCAATGCATTGGTTTTTGGTCTTAGTATGCTGCCCCGTTGATGATTTGTGATCGGATGTTGTATTGGCTTGCGGTGCTGATCTCTGCGGGTTCCTATAGTGGGCTTTTTGTGTCTCTTCGGCGGTCCGATTGCGAACCGCATTGGGTTGAATTGGACCCTGCTTTTGGGTGCCGTTGGGTATCCGATTTACTCGTATGTATATTCTCATACGTTTCTATTTGAGAGTTATTGGATTTGAACTAACGAGCGATGGTATAGGGCCGCATTGTATACGAATAACCGCTATGTACGTGCCGGACCAGGTGTGTTCGTGGCGGAACGCTAATTACAAGTGTAGGGCAATGTGTGGTTTGTGCTTCTTGGATCAGTAGCATGTGGTTTGTCGTAAGTATGATATGTCCGATCAACAGCTGTCCACTTCCTTACGCAACAACCAGGGCGGGTCTTTTCTGGGCTTCTGAGGGTGCTGTGGCACTAGGATATCCGGAGCCAACAAAACGGGGCAGGTATATGAAGTAAGTCGATCTAGGGGTGGCAATTTGGCTCAATGGAAATATCATTGACAATAAGCAGTATCTGGCTTTGGTTTCGTACCGGTGGACCTTTGCTGGGCGGCGCAATCGTCCTCGGACTCAACCAGTAAGTTTCTTGGAAGATAAGGATATGTTGAGATGTTCTGCTCATTCAGTTACAGTTCTGCTGAAGCGAAAAGCAAAGGAAAGGTTGGCTCGCGTAAGTCTAGCTGAGCCTACATTTCCCCTGCGAGGATGATTGCTAATCGCCTATACAGAGACCTATCTTATCTTCGTCGCGTTACAGTGCCTCGCCGTTCCCCTGGCGATATTTCTCTCACCACCTGAGAAGGTGCAGCGTAGCGATGGGAGCAAAGTGAGGATTGTTCTGCAGGACTCATGGCGTGCGGAGATGCGGGAGCTTTGGAAGCTTTCTTGTCGGAAAGAAGTCAGTCACTGTTCTCACTTTCATTGATAGTTTGGCTAACGCCAGCTCAGGTTCTTCTGTTATTGCCGATCTTCTGGGCGGCGTACTTTAACCAATACAGTGGAAGTATGGTCTTGCAAGTCACCTATATCTAAACATGGAAACACTAATAGTTTCTTGCATAGACTTTACGACCTATTACTTCGGCGTCAGAGCCCGTGCCTTGATTGGCTTTGTCAGTATGTCTTTTACAGCCTGGGTATTTAAGCTCCAAGTCCGAGCCCTGTCTAACATCAGCCAGGCAACTTCGCAAGGCTATTATCCTCTGGAATGATAAGTCGTTTCCTTGACTACAGAGGAATCTCGACCAAGAACCGGGTCACATACAGGTATGACCGTCCACCACGAAGCATCGGCCGACACCAGGGGGTTATAACTAACCAGGACTCCAGCTTCTTCTATGTCGTCCTCGTACACATTGCCACCTGGGTCTACGCCTGGGTAGTACAAGAGAAGTACACCGCGAACCCACCCTCCTACGACTGGTCCGACAAGGGCTTCACCGAGGGACTCTTCGTCATTCTTCTCTGGGGTCAGTATTCCCTTTCGAAATCGTTTATCTTCCCACAGACACACCTCGCTAACACATAACACATTCAGAATTCTCCCAACAAGCACTCCAAAACTGGCTCTACTACCTCGTCTCCTCAATGACGGACAACATCTCCGAACTGGGTACGTGTACCCTCCCAGGACCAACATGAAACCCAACCACTAACAATAACCATCCAGCCCGGTACTCTGGTGTCCTCCGCGGACAGGAAAGTTTCGCCCAGGCCGTCTCATACGGCATCAACACGAGGAACTGGTACGGCGGGCGAGTTCCGCTCGCTGTGAACACTATTCTGCTTGGTATGTGTCTCTCTTCGCATTTTCTTCACATGTTCTTTGGGATCCAGCCACAGGGAAGACTAACCCGAACACTAATCTAGGTCTCGCGGTGTTCCCGACCTGGTTGGTTGTTAGGCAATTTGCTCCTGTTGAACATGATAAGTACGCCCTAGGCCAAGATGAGGAACAGGGTCCTGCACCACACGGTGTTGGTACGGACTATGGCGACAAGAATGTAGTGAGGGAAACAGTTCAGGCGAAATAATGGCTCGGTTTATTACTCAGTGATACCCATCGATGATGTATGATCTTGAAAAATGACAAGGCTAGTTGTAGCTTGTCCAAGCAGTACTATAATGAACGAATGAAAGTGGTGACATGACACACTACCCGTGAATTTCACAACTGAAACCAAAAGTTAATCTTTGATAAAGATACAGAGTGCTTTGTGACACAGAATATCAACATGACTAGGGTGGTGATACATGGTATTCCTCAGATTGCCTATACTGTGCGGGCCGGCAATATTATACAGAAACTCAACGCCCCCGCCCGGCATTCAGCAGGGAATCAATTCCAGTTTCTAAAATAAAAAAAGAAAAAGAAATGTCAGAGAAAGAGACCTAAGGTCCAAAAAGAAATCTTGTGACTCCGATACGGGGAATCGAACCCCGAGCTGCCGCGGAACTTGCTTTCATTTTATGAAAGGCGGCGATGTTAGCCGTTACACCATATCGGATTTGATGAAAATAGAACTCTGTTTTTGCATATAAGAGCTAAACATATTCTCCGCGATATATTGATAAGCCCTGATTATTCCCTTCAATGAGTAAATGTTACATTTCTCTTGTGGTGTTTTTTTTATAGGCGTATGTAATATGCTCAGGCCATTGGGGCTTTTGAGGACGAAATTCGATGGGTTTAGGAGGTGTGTTGTTTTGGAGAGCTGTTTGTTTTGTAGCTATATATAATCATGGAATGGTATCGAGAGTGACGGCAGCGGGGATGTAGGCCAACAAATGCTAGATAATTTCGCGGATACAAGATGCCACCATGGCTATCATGCTCACAAACCCTCGCAACATCACCGCAAAGGGCCACTACTAGGACAGCAGGCTATCATAGCGGCCTGGAGGTATACTAGTCGTAACCCGCAGTCCAAAGTACGAGTCGATGGGAGCATACATAAGACAGTTAAACACCACAGCTAAGTCTGAACCTGACATCCATAAGTTATAGTTCCAGACGACCACGAAACTAGTGAGAGTGACGTCGGTTATTGCTTCGTCCCGCTGGTAAGAGTGAGAGGAAAATATGGGGTGTTTATACTCCCTTGTTGTTAGGCCGCTTCTGTCTCGCGTCTTGGATGAGGCCTTACTTGGAGGAGCTGGTCGATCACTACCACCCCACCGCGCCACCATACCCAGATCTGAGAAACCACCCGCGAGAAGTACTGGAAAGATTGTCTTCAAGCCAGTGGCAAAGTAAATGGGTACATTCTCCCTGTTTCCCATAGGTTCTTTTACCGTTTCCTCACAATCACGCCATTTCGATATAATAGAGATCATTCAAATGGCCAATGACGCTCGTACTCAGCCCTTTCCTCGTCAGTTTCAGCCAATTGCTCCAATATCTGATCTTTGATTTCGTGGAGGGCAGCTCTGCATTCATCGTATCGCTCGTGCTCGATGAAGCCCTTGTCCGGCCACAGATCGCCCATTCTCTCCTTGACCTCCGCAACAAGCTCGGTTCCTGCCACTGCACCATCGCTATCCTGTTTGATACGCTCGAAGTCTGCTTCCGAAAAGTTGAATGGGAACGGAATGTCGCTGGTGACAGCAGGTAAGTCCGCCCACGTGTCCTTCAGATCAACCAGAAGCGATTGGAAGTGCGCCTCGCCGTATTCGAACATTCGGTGAGCAAGAAATATCAGCCCGTATGCAGCCGTCTTTCGGAATTCGACTACTTGATATAGGTCTGGGTTTTTGGCATGCATGAGTTTCCGCCATCCAATGAACACATTTTGGATGGTATACTCATGCACAGCCGCGGACCGTTCTTCTGGTGAAAGCCCGGAGAGTTTCGGCCGTGGTGCCAGATCGAGCGTTTCAGGCTCAAGGCCATCCCAGTCGAGGAAGGCTGGATCGGGATTATGGTTGAAGAGGGGCGAGATGTGACAAGATTGCCAGTCGATAATACCCGTAATCTTTTCGGGATTATGCGGGTCTACGAAGACGTTGTCATCATGCAAATCATTATGCCAGAGACAGGGGCAGGTGATGGCTGTATCCTTTGGGATAAGGGCATCGACGACTTGTCGGTAACATGCCAAAGCAGTTATTTTCTTTTCCGTGTCTGGCCGGTAGAGCTTTGGGCCACAGAATAAGGCAATCTGTTTCGGAGATTTTTAAAGACTGGATTGGCCCTCATTTCTCGCGTCCCGACTGCTTGCAGATACTGCGCTAGAGAAGCCCCTGTAAATTTATCAGCGGCTGCATGACAATGATACGAACCACGACGTACATGGCCCTTTCTCAACGTCCAAAATTGATCTGCCTGCATCAAACCAATCCCGGCCTGTAGCCGGGCCAATAGCAAACTCCGGATCTGTGACGGCCTTGCCATCCTTGATGTAGTGGTTGCCTGGTGGTGGTTGCACATCTCCCGTGTAGTACAAGCTGCCGTAATGCGAGAATGAAACGCTCAGCCACTGCTTCTGGAGACGTGTCATGGCAAGAAGCAATTGAAGCTTTTGGGGCAGTGTCATCGTGCTCCAGACTTGTGACAGCGGAACACCTTCAATTTTCTCCATGATGATAAACTCAGCACCAACGGGGTGCGATTTTGCTTGCGAATTCCATGCGTATACGCGAGGCGCTGGGGTGTCAAGATGTTTTCTGGCCTCCCAAATCAGCCTTGTTAGCAAGACTTGGTGTCGATGGAGTTCAGGATGAACTTACGAAGTCCATCGTGGCGACTTCACTGGCCGTAGTAAAGTGTGAAACGCCAGCATTCGGGTTAGGCACCTTGGCTATGACTTCTCGGCCATTGCCCATAGACATGAGGAATGCTTTATTGAACATGCCGTCAGGGTACTTCTTGATGGAAATACATCGAGCGGCTCCGACTGAGTCTGCTGCGACACTTGCGAGCCTATTCATGTCGAATCTGATCTCTCGCTTTCGAAGATTCTCGACCTCATCTACAATAAAGCGGCCACGCGTGAATTTGAAGAATTCATCGTTAGAATCCCAGTCTGATGCGGATAAGTAATATGTTAAACCGCGCCCAAATTGGCGTGCTTACCAACCTGAGAAGAGTCTATGCCCATGCTCGTGGGACTGTGATCGTAGGATAACGTTGGAGCTTTAGAGATTGAGCGGCAGCGTTGCTTTGGGTTTGGTATTGTACTCTGAGCGCAGTGCCAAAGACGCGCGGATGGGGGTCGGCACATATTTCATGAAATGTGCAAATGGTTCTTGATCACGCCTACCCTCCAGAAAATAAGGCAACATTCGATCACGCAAACGTCAGATTGTCGAGAAAATCAAGGGGTAAGAATACGATCAATTCGGGGAATGCTGCTTTGCTACGCAAACCGAGAGATGATGGAAGATTAGATAGTGGTTGTAACGGTAAGAATTGGTCTAGAAGCGATAAAGCTGAGGTGTAAACGGAGGTGACGATAGAATGGCCACGGTTTGGCGTGGTAACTCAGATATCGTGGTCTTTCTATCTGGTGATTTTGGCTTACTGTCGACGCTAAGCTTTTCTAGTGTTAATGGGCGGATCCTAGTGCGTGAACAGAGATGATGATTGGCTAGATAATCTGAAGCTAAGTTATTCTAGGAACAGAACTATAAGAGCCTGGAGTGGTTCAATCGATCATATTTGTTTAACATTTCATAACCTCCATCACACCCTTACTACAGTACTGATCTGATAACCGAATGTCCATGATTGTAGATCAGTATGACAATATCTAGTCTTACTGTTGTCTATTGTACGTTAACAGAAAATGACCATGATATCGTCAATTGACAATCACCCTTATGCACATCTATTATGACTACTCTCTTATTTCTATATTGACTACCTTAATATTACTATCTATCTATAGTATAAAGGATAAAGTTATTAGAGAAGAACTTCCTCGAAGAAGGGAAACCCTATTCGATTCCACCCTTATAGTAGGCATTATTTCTCCGAATTCGTAGGCTCCATCTAGCCCCAATCACCGCTACCCCAAATTGGGATCAAGAGCCTTATAGTGGGATGTGAGATGATTGACAAAGCAATCGACCTATTTGCCAAGGCATAGCCAAAGATAATCAGGTACATCCGTTGGCGCGGTTGCTCAAACAAACATCACCTCCCTGGGCAAAGCCACCGTGGCCCTGGCAAGAGGCACTAGATCTGTGTTCTGCACTGACCTTGCTGTTGCAGGAAGTCCATGTAGTAGAGAAGAAAGAAGCTTTAACATGGTAGGTGGACCAGCTGATGCAGCAATTTGATTTTCCCCGGGACTCGCAGCGGCTGCGAGGGGCCTTTCCAATATCAAGATAAAAGCGACACGTCGTTCCAGATAGACAAGACAGAATATTAGCACATTTCGGCCAGTTTATAGCATGTCGCGAACTCAGAGTGTATCTAGGGTCAGCGCTTGTCTCGATGGCAGTTGGGTTGCCTCCCAAGGCGGCTAACAGATCGTGAACATCTTCGACCATGCCTGGGTCATTTGCGTCGAACTTCTGAGCGTAGGCTGCCTCGGTTAAAAGGACAGCCTTTTCCTCGTCGGTGTTTCCCGAGCTGGGGTCCAGAGAAGCGAGCCAGGAGCGAGTCTCAGCCTCGTAGCCGACATATTCAACATCTACGTCGAAGGGGCTCAGATCGCCCTCGAACTCAGGAAAAATATCAGAAGCACGGTGTGTGACGATAATGCTTGTAGGGCTTGTAGAAACGATCGGACTTGCTAAAGTGCTCGGAGCCCATGCAAAGCCAAGGAGACTAACCAGGATAGCTTTTTGCATTTTGGTGAGAATCTGCAAGTGAAAAGTGACGCGAGAAAGCTTTTGGCCCAATGGAATCCCGATTGTCGAAAAGGCAACTGTTAATCAAACTGAGATGTGAGGGTTTTCTTCTACGAGGTGAGTATCTTCGATTCTTATGAACTTCTCTGATTCCTCCTCGATGAAAGTTTTCGATAAATGCATGCGCCTATTCCCAAAATAAATACCCCACCTCCCCGCTAATGCATCGAGAAATGTACCTGGAAAGCCAGCCTTGCCCAGCCGATTTGAGTCCAGACACACTTGTCCGAGACGCCAAGTGTCCCTAATTTTGAGCCTACTGTATGATGCTGGCCGTAGTCACGATTAGCGCGAGGATCCTAGTCAGAGATACAACTCAACGATGCAACGTCGTCTTCACTTCCACCGGTGGCTCTAAGATAAGCACTACGTAGTTCAATTGAGCGAGGCGACCTATTTCGTGCTCACCATAGTTAATGGTAAGTCTTTGCATGCCTCCAAGCTGGCTCGGGCTCCGATGAGGGTTCTAAAGAAATGAGCTCATCGTCAAAGAAAGTCCTAGTGGGGAACTTTGAAATCCACTACCCACTACTCCGTAGAGATCTTGGGTTGGTGTATCATCGCTTCTAAGTCAGACATGGATCGGGCCGTGCAATCTACCAATCCGTTGGAGTCTTAGTGTTACCGTGGCATTAGCTTGGCAATAGCTTGCTCCTTTTGGCCTTGCTAAGTTGGTCGTAGTCTCATCGGGGGATGCGCGATTTTTGTGATGGCTCCAAGTTACGAAGTAAAAAGCAAAGAAAGAACTGGAACTGGTTGTTGATGTGACGCAAGATAAATCATCCCAGACTGAAGTTCACTGAATTTTGAGATTCGAATTGGCTTTTCTTGAACAAAATAGTGATTACATGAATCTTGAGGTCTGGTGTTTGTGGAGGGATTCTAAAGGAACCCGCCTTTCAAGTTTCACCGTGTATTCGAAACGCTCTGCGAAAAAAAAGTCGGATCGTAGGATATCATTATCAGTACCGGCTAGTACTGAGCAACGAACCATGAGGCAATTGAACATATAGTCTTACTGTCGTCTAGTATAAGTTCATAACTACGTTAATAGAATATATTAATGATATCGTTAATGTATTGTATCATGCTTATGTATATCTATCCATCACGGTCTATCGGATTCATTACTATATATCTGTTGTATAGAAGGATGGAGTTTTATAGAGAAAGAGTACCTCTTAAGAAATTAATCTTACAATAAGATGACTATTTCTCTTACTATTCCTTGACTACTCGGGCTAAAACCTATTCCATTTACCGGAAAGAAGAAAATACCGTGGTTGAAACCACTAAAGACCACGAGATTTATATATAACAATGCTATGAGTTCGACGCTGGGAGTAAGTCTATATAAGGGCATTAGTGGAACCAGGTCATACTTGATGATACCAAAGATAGGCGACTTTTGTCAATAACATCCGATATGGTGTAACGGCTAACATCGCCGCCTTTCATAAAATGAAAGCAAGTTCCGCGGCAGCTCGGGGTTCGATTCCCCGTATCGGAGTCAAATTTCTTTTTTTGTCCTTTGACATTGCTTTTGACATACGGAGTACAGATGCACGTCCAATATACCTACCATACGTCCTTTTCTATTCTAACATCCAGTCATTCAACACCACTTTCTTCTTCCCATCCCGTCGCCAATCCGGGGCTGTTCCAGTCTCGGTATACCAGCCACGCATACTACCTATTCCAATTACCTCGACTCGGGTGTGTCACAATTAGTTAGTATCTATTCGCACAGCGACCCATTGGCAGGGAGCTGGGGCTGGATGCTGGGTTGGACTAGCTACGGTACAACAATGAGGTGCTTTCTGCCATCTAGATATCACTGCTTTATATTGTATCTACCCTCTTTCTGAGAAGTTATACTCTGTATTTCTTAGCAGGTGCATCGAACGAGAGATTACCATTTATAGCAAAAGTCCTGTCTTTTATGCATACTCTAGTGCTAGCATTTGCTCCTCAGATTATTCTTAAATAGAGCGACAGGGGGCCCTCTACTATACCTTGTTGCGACGGCTGCATTGACTGCTTACTTACTTATGTTATGGGCAGGCTGTCCCCTCTTCCGTCAAAGAGGACATACCGAATCATGTGCCCTTCGTTAATAACATATACAGCTTCTTTGGTAAAATTGTTAGCAATGATATGCCTTTTCCGTGACCCTAAAGGTCATATATGATGTCACGGACCCCCGAGAATAAAAGACAAAGGTGGGGGACTTAATCTTTTTAATTGATTGTCTAGATCACATAGTTTGCCTACACTTACGGGCCAGCTTAGTCTCTATATCACAGTGCTCGCGTTCTCGTAGGGCTATTTTCGCCTTCAAATTTCAATGTGTAAGAACAGAAGTGAAGCAGGTTCTTTCCTTCTTGGGTATTGTCTTCGCTTGTAATTAACCCGTCAAGGGTTATTCAGCTTTTATTCCCATTTCTCTATGAGTGTATTAAAAGAGTATTCATGTATCGACTCCTTGTGATCCTCTTCATCAGTTTGCTATAGTGCAGCGCATGGCTTAAAAAACTAGGGGTGTACATTGAAGACTTAGCCGAGGATGAGCCCTTGTCCGATAGGGGACCACGGCCAGTTGCTAAGAACTTAACCTAGCGACCAACAGCCGCTATCGTCAATATTTGTATCGACTAACGCAACCTACTCTACTACTATAAGGAACACCAAATCATGCAACTGACCTCAAATATTGATAAAGTCAGGTGACTATAGAGAGCACAGACCACTTCGGTTTTGCCCTAGGCCCCGCAAGTTGTATTGCTTTCTTTTTAATGTAGAAGTTTTCATACAAGGAAAATGACTTCGGGTTGTCATGATGCAGAAGGCCCTCCATGGGATACTATCTAGCCCGGGTGGCCCTGAGGAAAAGACTCAGGGGGAGGCCTCGGGCAATGCCATCTTAACTCACACACCATCTAGAGCCAGCGAGGTCGTGTATTCTGCATTTTCAAAAGTGCAGAAGAGATATATTGTCTTGTGTACATCCTGGGCTGGTTTCTTTTCTCCGGTCTCTTCACAGATTTACTACCCAGCCTTAAACACCCTGGCCCATGACCTACATGTCTCAAGTGGCTTGATCAATCTGACCCTCATGAGCTATATGGTAAAATTCCCTTTCCCCTTCTGTCCGTGAATAAAAGTGCTTACGACAAGAAGATCTTCCAAGGGTTATCGCCCATGTTCGTGGGGGACTTTGCAGACAAAGCAGGCCGACGACCAGCCTACACCGGATGCTTCATCCTGTACATAGCAGCCAATATTGGACTTGCACTCCAAAACAACTATGCCGCACTCTTCATTCTCCGCTGTCTGCAAAGCGCCGGTATCAGCACCACCATTGCGCTCGGCTCGGGGGTGGTGTCGGATATCGCAACTGCCGCCGAGCGGGGCTCATACATGGGCTTCGTAACTGCCGGCACGCTACTGGGCCCGTCCGTGGGTCCGGTCATCGGAGGCCTACTGGCGCAGTATCTAGGATGGAGAGCCATATTCTGGTTTCTGGCTATATTCGCGGGCGCCTTCGCCGTGCAGTTCTTACTGTTCTTCCCCGAAACCGCCCGGAAAGTAGTCGGCAACGGCTCGATCCCGCCTCCAACATGGAACTTATCATTGATCAACTGGTACCAGACCAGGCCAAGAAGAACAGAAGAAGGACAGGAAGCAAACAACAACACTGTAGAAGCAAGGCATAAGATCACTTTCCCAAACCCGCTAAGAACCCTCTCCATCGTCTTCCAAAAAGACACCAGCCTAATCCTCCTCTCCAACGCCATCCTTTTCGCCGGCTTCTACGACGTCAGCGCCTCCATCCCCTCCATCTATGAAGACCTGTACGATCTCAACGACCTCCAAATCGGCCTCTGCTACATCCCCTTCGGCCTCGGCGCCACAATCGCCTCCATCCTCTCCGGAAAACTCCTAGACTACAACTACCGCCGTCTCGCCCGCCGACTCGGCGTCCCCCTCCACCACAGCTCCAGGGACCAAACAGACTTCCCCATCGAAAAAGCCCGTCTGCAACTCGCCTTCCCGCTCCTAACCATAGGCAGTCTAACCGTCATTGCATTCGGATGGGTCCTGCACTTCCGCGTCCATCTGGCGGCGCCCACCACAATCCTATTCGTAATGGGGCTGGGCTTGACCGGCGCCTTTAACACAGTAAGTACCTTGCTTGTGGATCTCTACCCCGGGAATGCGAGTGCCGCGACGGCGTCGAATAATTTTGTTCGCTGTCTGCTGGGTGCCGGTGCTACGGCGTTGATTGATCCGATGTTGAATGCCATGGGGAGGGGATGGTGCTTTACTTTTATTGCGTTTGTTATGTTGGCCACGGCGCCGCTTTTGGGGGTTGTGGTGAGGTTTGGGCCGCGGTGGAGGAGGGAGAGGTTGGCCAGGACTGAGACTGATGGGTCTGGGGTGAAGTTGTAGTTTTTTTTTTGGGTATCAGTGGCTTTGGCATAGACTTATGTAGATACATAGACATTATACTATTGTTGCTAGTAATAAATAGCTATGGTATCTGGTGAATGTCAAAACATGACTGAATGAGAAAGAGATAAAAGACTGGTAACTACTGGATACAATAAGTTCGTGTGCTGGCCTATAGTACAAGGTAGGACATTATAATACAGCTGGATATGCTATCAACGTTCAACCCAGAACCTGAGTGATAATCCGGTAACCAAAAATGATCTTACATGAGGTAAAATGATACTCAGGCAGCCCGAAAAGAATCTGCGACCTGAAACCGCAGAAATCCGTGCGTATTTTCTTCAAATGATATAAACATATACCCAGAAAAAGCTAAAGGCAATCTAAGCAGCCACCTGCGCCGACCCAGTTTATATTTATCGTAGCCCAGAGCAACAAACCCCAAACATCAGATACAAATAACCAAAAGACATACAAAGAAAAGATAAAGAAAGAATCATAGCTGCTGAATATCCCGTCCATTGCTCGCTAAATCCGACCAATTCAAATCATATCGTGGCATCCCAGATGCAATAGAAGGCTTCAATGTGAGAGAAAACTGACCAGAAAAAGAAATGCAAGAGATAGTATGTGACGCCGGTATATAAACAAAACAGAAGTCAAAAGAAATAGAGAACAGATAGAGGGACACGCTCAATAACACGACGAACTCGCTTGCTGCGTGACGATGATGCAATCAATATCAAAAACTTGTGAGAGTTTCAACATAGATAAATGACGGAATGAAAATGCGAATGCATGAGTATGTATGCATGTATGAGTGTATATGCATGTATGCATGTTTGCATGGTGTTTTAGAAGCTGAACAGTCCGCTGCGTTTCTTTCCAAGCGGGTACACGACCAATGCAGCGAGGAAAAGACCGACGGTGAAGCCGATTGCAACCTGGACCATGCCGTATCCGATGTCGAAGACGACTCCGTGGAACTGATCGTTGCTCGTTGCTGTGGTCATGTTCTTTGCTGCGTCCACGAATCCCTGTGTGCCGTTGGCAACGACAGAAAAAGGTGTGATTTTGCTGGTGATTTGCTCTGCTGATGCGATCCCGGAGATCAGGGATCCACTGGCTGCGAGTCCGGATGGGACTAGAACAAAGATAGCAGGGAGCATCGCGGCAGCTGCGAAGCCGTGTCGCAATCGGCTGTAGAGGTTTCCCATGACGCCGATCACGAAGGCGCCCAACGCATTGGACACTTGTGTACTCGAATAGAATCGCTTCGCGCCGAAGTAGTTGGTCACATACCCCGCGAAAGCAATAGCAATCATCATCGGAATTTGTTTCAACTTGGCGTGGTTGACTACGGCAAGGCAGATGGTGAAAGGAATGACGAAAGGGAAATGTTGGAGGTATTCGTTGGTGATCGGACTGGCGGGGCATGTATAATCGGAGGAGGCATTGCTATCCAAGAGGCCGTATACAGCGGTGCCAATGGTGATACCGAACCCAAGGAACAGGGAGTAGATGATGGCGTAAACCATGCGGACGGAGCCCGCAACGATACTGCGGGATTGTAGCTCCAGGCTGGCGCATAGCACCATGTAGCCAGGTAGGATGAGGGCGATTGACGATTGGGCCAAAGCAGAGAAGCAGAAGAGACGTTCACCGTTGTAGCGGATGCTTCCGAAAGCCCTAGCTAGGAATGACGTCAAGACCGCTGCCGAAATCTCGAACACATTCGAGTAGAGATAGGACCGAGGGGACAGGACCAGTTGTAGAATACCCAGGAGACATCCCAGCACGAAAGCGATGGGCATGTCGATGGGGCGAGCATTGAAGGCAAAGGGCCCGACGCTGGCACTGGCGAAACCGTGAATCAAAATCAGGAACCAAACCGGGTATCTGTTCGGTCGCTTCATGATCTCCTCGAGCCGCTGGGTGGCCTCCTCGACGCCGATGACGTCGTGAATCACCTCCTTGTAGATTTGATGTACGTCAGATAGTCGACTCAGGTCAACACCCTGGTGAGAGCGGACCAGCTTTACTTCGGTGGTGTGGGTAGACGCGTCGTCAAATGAAATAATCATGCAGCCCGGCATATACAGGAATTGACCGTCGATCTCTAGAACGCGAGCAGACATCCTCATATACTCCTCCAACCTGTGTGTAGGTGCCCCGTATTTCATCAGTGCACGACAAAGTAGGAGTAGATAACGTTGACGTGAGAGGAGCTCGGCGATGTGAACAGTGATCCGGATCTCATCCTCCAATTGTGGTTTTCCCATCCTCTTAGGCATACCGGGTATAGCACCAATGCTTCGTGAGCGCTTGAGCATGGCAATAGGAGAACTAGACGAGTTTTTGGCTGTCGATCCAGACAGAGATATGCTGGATTGGTTCGGAGATTTCTCGTACCACTTCCTTGGCCGCTGGGGCTTCCAGCTAGGGTCCGGGGACAAGCCTCGCCCACTAAGCCCTGACGAACTGCTCTGACGGGAGTGACCATACCGGCCTCGAGGATAGTTCTGCTGAGAGGGTTGATCATAGAGCTTCAGGAGGGAAGAGAGAATGCCGCCGCGATAATGAGTTGGCCGTTCGACATAGGCGTCAGGATCTCTCTCCTCAAGAGGAGTGATCTGACCAGAGCGGAGACCGGGAGAGGGAGCGCGAATGCGCGAGAAAAAGTTAAAGTCCTTTCGAGTCATTTGTCGCACTAGCTGATGGGCTTCTGCAGTGCGTGTAGATTGTCGCTTATCTATGAGGTTGTCTTCATCGTCGGAGAAGAAGTCGTATTGCTTCTCAGGAAGACTGATCATAGGAATCTCGTCACCATCCTCGGAGGGTAGCGCCACTTCTGTAGGTGTGGACGCTATTGATGACGGCAGACTTGAACGAGGACTTGGCCTTGGAGACTTTGAGGAGCGGCCAAGGAGGGATGCGAGCCTCTGAGCTCTCTCTTGTGCGGAGTAGATGGCCCTCCCCTTCTCATAGCTGACCTCATTGTCCCCGGTGACTCCTGGGGAGCTAGCCTGAGAGTGGATCGTTCGGCCGGTGACACCCGTTGGTGAACTCCCGCTGATATCAACCAAAGGAAACGATTGGGGCTCGGCGGATGCTTTATCCGTCGATGGAATGCTAGCGGTGGGTAGTGGCTTTTGCGGCAATGATGTACCCCTTCCATCAAACAGGCTCTCTGACGTTGATCCGGAGGGAACTTCGCCAAGCCCATGTTCGCTAACAGTAAACTTAACGCGATTGGTGTTCTTGAGAATGCCGGCATTCCGATGCCTGCCCTGAGCTCCGCGGAGGTCCATCGATCGGTCCTGAAGGGCTTCACTATTGGGCGATGCTAGAGAGGATACACGCGGCCCTGCAGAGGATCTACTTGCCCCCTCAGGTACTTCAGTGACGCTCGAACGCCTCGAGGAGGCGACTGGTAAGTCGAAATAACCACCGGCCATTTTGGGTTCTTTACGTGACTCGCCAAACAGGGTCCAAGCAAATTCTTTGGGTATTTGTGTTACCTGTGTTCTTTCGACGTTCTTTTCTTGATTGCCCCTCGTGAGGTATTATTTCTTTGCTTGCCTTTTATTTGGTCTATGTCGAGCCAGCGACTAGAGCTTTGGCTGAGTGAGCGCGTGGGTGTAGCCTACCGAGACGGTTAGATCAGTACTGGGTTGCTAGCAAGAAGCTTTGCCAAGGGCTTACCTTCGTGGAATCTTGTGACAGGAAAAGCTCTTGAGCACGGACAGGATGACCTGTGTGTAGCGGTACTTTGGACACAACTTCCCGGAGGGAAAAGTCGGACCGATAGGAAAGAAGGGGTAGAGGTCCCGCCACAAGGAATGATAGTACGTCACGGGGACATGGCTCCAAATCTAGGTAGGGCCTTGAAAAGCAATCCACTTGCACGGTACAAGGAGAAAGGAGGAGATATATCTGGTATCCTCTTTTTGCCCCACGGAAGACTGATCCAAAGACCCGAATAGGAGGAGAGAAGGAAGGATGTCGTTTGATATGGAGTAGTGACTAAGAGTCGAAACAGGGAATGCCGATTGAGAATATTCAATCAGGACCGTAAAAGATATTGGATATTGTGCGACCTGTCGTTGAACCTGAGGTCATTCAAGGTAAGAATATTAGAAGTATTAAAGTTGCAGTAAATTGCTGATACCCAGGGTCCTGACGTTAGGGGATGTGAGAGAGATGCTGGAGGGAAGTGGAGTTTTGTATCAAATCGCTGCAGTGTCTTCGCCACGATGATAAATCACCGGCTGGGGAGAAATTTGATATCCACTGGCAGATGAATCACCGATTAGAGTTGCCAGATAGGAAAATCAAAAACACAAGAAAAGTTCATACTCCGGCGTTTAAAAGGATTCAATCGTCTAGCCCCTCCTTTGATGGCGTCAACCCTCAGGGGATTTAGTTGGAGTAAATTACCAACAGAGAAACAAGACTGAGTGTGACAGCCAATTTCGATGGACTAGAACAACGCTTAGGCATAGTCAGGGTAGCTTTTTTTTTTCGCGACTATCTTGGCTGTGACCATGGTCGACAGCCGTGGTTCCACGGGATCCACGATGGTACCACAAGTGGCCAAAGGGGAGTCACATTAAGTCTTAGATGGAGATTGTCCGGTCCATGGAGAGAATAGATTGGGACCCTTTCGTTCTTCTAGAACCTCTTGTTTCTACATGATTTTTGTCACCTTTCCCCTCCTTTTCTCGTGTTTTTGTCTTTCTATGTTTTTGGGGTTTGTTATTGTGCGGTTGGAAAATTTAGAAATCGTGAGCTGAATTGTCAGACTGTCTCCACCGGTCGAACAGTCTCGATCATCCTTCTGGAACCTTTAGAGCAGAGAAGATCACTGGATCCATTAGCGTTAGTGGAAGAAGAGGACTAAGCACAATGCTAGTCAGGCCCTCCTTTTTCTTTTTCTTCTTTCCCTTATGGATCCTCTCAAGAGGCAAAAACCGGAAGTGGATCCGAAGGAACAAGTTTATCAAGAGATAGCAGTTGCTTTTTTAGCGCCCGAACCGGACCGCTAAAGAGAAACCCAAGGATAAGGAAAGTGACCCACGGAAGGTTCGGCCGGTCTGGACACGGCGTTCCTATTCGGAAGGCAATAAGCTGTGCGAATAAGAAGAGACACTGGCATCTCGTTTTTTTTTTTTTTTTTTTTTTTTTTTTTTTTTTTTATGTTCGGCTACCCGATGTTGGCTCATGAAGCCGATAGAATGCCGACTGCGTATGCGGAAATGATGAAGCTTGTTTAGCTTGACATGCACGGCATGATTGGGTTGCTTTTTCTCCTATCACGCAATCGTGATCATCAACAGGAGATTTTCAAGTTATGGTGGTGGGGACAAAGAAGTGATAGTTTAGGTGGCAGTTCAGTCTTACGAAGCTCCCTGGGGCTCCGCCGTCATCGTCACGTGGCGGTAGAAAAATTTTTAGAGTATGAAGTAGCAAGATAGTAAGACCAGGAGACTGATAGGTAACAGTGAGAGATAAGGGACAGAAAAGCAGAGGAGGGGCATGGTGGGGGAGAATTCTAGAGGTGAGGTTGGAATTGAATTGATTGGATATCAGATGCAAGATGCAAGTTGATGGCAGTAAGCTGGTTACGAATCCTGCTGTCCCCCCTATCAGCGATGGCCGGCCACCCCTGTGCAGATGGAGCTGTCCCTGTTGATCAGCTTCTAAACCGGGACTAATAGATTTGCTGCTGATCAGCTCTCTGAATATGCACGGGGCACCGTAAGGTCTGTGATTTTCAGCGGCGCAACGGATTGGGTATTCCGGAGGCTTCCACCGTTGATTTCTGCCCAACCATTGACTTTTTTTTTTTTTTTTTTTTTTCCCACATGATACACGGAGTATATTACGGATATTAAAAATTTTGACTTCGTGGTTGTCGAATTAAGACACCTATCTGTTTCCTATTCACGTGGCGGGATCTCTATCTGACATGACGACTGAAACCGTTTCGGCCTCGCTTCTACTAATCCGAACCTTGCGAAGAAAGACAAGGTCTAACTTGGCATAAAGTTTGTTCCTGTCAGCATGGAGCTCACAGTTTCAGGCAACAGCTCCTTACATGATGTTTGAGCTATCATGGCCCACTGGACCTCATAATCGCACAGCCATGCTTCGACTGATTCGTTTTATACGTATAATTTTCATGATTGACCGAAGCGAGACCCACATCCATATCCATAATTATTTGTTGTTAATATTAGCGGGCCAGTTATATCAGCTCATGCCTCTCATTGTAGTGTTTACCATGATCACAGCCTAGTAAAACCATACTTTACGTGGAATGGCTGGAAGTATCATACTAGACGCCCCAGACATTGCACTGTATATCCCGAGATCGCGCCTACTCCTGTAGCACAGCATCTCTCACAGCTGTGGCTCTACTGTTGCTCTCTCATGATGCTAGAAAAGTCACCTCAGATACCAGAATATGTGGAAAGGTATTATATAACGTTTTCCCAGGGAGAATCTACATTGGCTGTTTGTGTTGTGCGTTCTAGGTACCTAGGCCATGGCATGCATGCAATCTACCTTGATATATTCCCTTTTTCTATCGCCCTGCTAATCACTGTTAAGTTCGGCATAACAAACTCTGCCTCGAGCAAGGTGCTTACTGCATAACAAAGACTGTCAGTCTCTCTACCCTTTCCCCCTGTTTCCTCTATCAGCATATAGTAATCTGTCGGTCTTATCACTGCCAAAGCAGTATATCGGTCAACGCAGTGTAACCTGACACATTCTTCAATAGCAGTCCGACTCAAGCCCAGATTCCGGGGATGACTGTGCATTCCATCTTAATACAGGGACCAATACTCGATTAGGCTCGAATTAGTAGAATAAATGGTAACACCGAAATACCGTTATTGGCGGGGGGAGGTGATGCCGAGCCGGAACGGCATGTATGTGACTTTGGATGTCCTACAGGAATATTTCTTCCCATCATGGGGTACTGTGTGGTTGAGGAGGTAATAGGATTGGCAAATGTCAAGCAATATCTTGAGGGAAATCATTACCGCTACCAACATAAACAAGCCCATGAAAAGATACTTAATAATCGGGCGGCCGGGATGCTATTTCTGGAACGAGTGGAGCCGAGCTTATTTACCTTCGCGATCTTTTTACGCCATTGTGGGCTGTCATAGAATGATGCCTATGGTTTTGTAGTTGATTGATATTATGGTTCACTTTTCCATTCATAATCGTATTCATATGCTATTACTATGTGTAGGGTATGATGTTGTCGATGTAACCGGTCCACCAGCACACCATGAAAATTGACCGGACATAGTACTGCTGACAAGTCCATTCCCAAAACAATACACATTCTTCGCAAAATATTATTGAATGATAAGACTAGACAAGTGGCATTGTCCTAAGCCGAGTGACAAATACCTCTCTATGACTCAACGTCTCAAAAACCCACACCTTTATCGATCGCCACCAGCGACTAATCGGATAATAAGCACTAACAGACTGTAGCCCCCTAGATAATTACTCACAGCCCTGATAGTGGTACCGTTGACCTGGGTAAGCAGGGACTAGAGCCAGGAAACCGAGTCACCGTTCAGCAGGTAACTGATATCTACCCTCAAGGACGGTGGCCACCGTGCAGTAAGCGAGCCAGACTAGAGCTAGCTTAGCAACTAACGGTCCCTAGATCCACTCATCCACCCGCCCACCGACATTTCCAAAGTTTTATACTCACCATCGACCTTCTAGATCTTGTGCCGCCCCAGTAGATTTGGGTCAGGTGGTCTGCAAAGATATCTCGGCTCTCGGCGAAAAAATGACAAAAGCTAAGATTAAATTAACGAATCAACAATGCTGGAAAAAGAAAGGATCAAAAGAAGCACAGATCACCGGCTGATCGACCGATGCGTCGCCATAGAATGAATCACATGGGAAGAATCTGAGGGAGGACTGGACAAAATTTTTTTTCCGGCACCCCCGATAAGCTAGCCCTACTTTACTCCATCTGCCATCGTTGGCATTATCAACCAGTAAGTTTTCCACTGTACCTAACGGGTTGCAGAGGTTTCTGTGTACATAATTCTGAAATGAAAACATAATAAAAAAAATTAATAGACTGCTCCAGACCGACCATTGCGTTAAGTCACTATCACGATCTCAGTCACACAAAAGTGCTAGCAACATGTTACATCCCCAACCACTTGCATTTTACATAAAATTCCCGACGGTTACGAAAATTTTTAAAAAATGGTGCACAGACCCCATTGATTGATCAGGGATTTATCTCTCTTCCCTGTTGGCGATCACTAGCGCCAGGAAATACTTTGAAAGGCCCGATGCGCCATGATCTATAGTGGAAGCAGCTAGATCACCAACTCCCAACAAAGTGCAGTACTAACTAGAGCAACGGCCTGATTGTGTTCCACGTGGAAAGAAGAATCAACTAGTTTGGTCTGTGCGATTTACTGAAACCGTTATTGCTAGGAGACAGGCGTCATATAAATTTTCAATTTGGGGAGTAGCTACCCTCTGTGGGTATAAAGCATTACCCATGGAAAGCAAGAAACCACGCACTAGACCCATTTCCCAGTTCATTGCTAGACTAAAAAACTTGATAATGTATTGCTGCCCAACGATTCATTACTTCCCCTTAATTCTCTCACGCAGATGGTCAGTGCTTGCGATCTAGCGCCTGCTAATTTCCCTGCAGAATCACGGAATCGCGTCGTGCATGATGCAGACTTATCACGCCGAATTTTGATTTCAGGGTAGATACCGAAGACTTCAAATGTCGGCCCGAGAAAGGTGTAACCAGATAGACCGTTGAGCCTTACAAATATACATCATGTGGCCAATGGTCAATGCTCTGGCGGACTTCGGCACTTACAGGGACTGAGCTAGCAAGAGGGTCATATGGATGCATAGCTGTACCAATTGATTTTTGAACCTGCTGGTTGTCTATCGGTACTACCCAGCATCGCATTGTGAGCGGATCCAAAAAAACTTTACAACTATAGGTCAGAGGACGCTTAGGATGCAGCCTTGTTGCATACTAGGAACTGTGGTTATCGCGAAATTGCGACAACCTGTGACTATATCATAGTAGCTGTAATCATTGCTTAATGCAACATCGCTTGAAGCGGTGTACCGATATCTATCTGCAGGATTCTAGCAATAACATCCATTGCTCCGTATACTATTTTCTTCCAAGGTGCTCTCGGTATACGCTGAAGCAATAGCTACCTGTTCAAAAAAAAAAAAATCATCTAGCGCACCGCTCATTACCCTTAATACCCTTGGTAATCAATGAACGAGGATTTATTTCCTTTCCCTTTTTCATTTTGAGTATCAAAAGCGTCCCGATGATATAACTTGATATGGACGAATCAAGTATCCGCCAATCGGTGACGTGTAATCAACCTTCCCTCAAGCCAGCGATATCTTAATAGGTATGCAAATTCCTTCTCTTCTCTTCTACTCGGGACTTATCCACATAAACGCGTCATCCGCCTCTATCACCTCTCGTGAATGGTGGCCTTTAGTCATAGACAAGATGCGAACGTCTCTCCCCTCGGCTCTTCTCGGTCTTCGCATGCGTTTTCGTCCGGAGTGGGACATTTTGGACAGGTATTGGGTCGATCTTCATGCGTGATGATATCATGCAGAAACTTGTACACCAAGTAGCACTCGTGTGTAGCTTCGCATTGGTGATACATCTTAGGTTTAAATCTACTAATATTGATAAGGGGTCTGAGACACGTTGAGGGAATACTCTAGGAGAGATTCTAGCCCGGAGTTGTATCAAGCAATGATCCATATATATCAGACTGCAGCTGGGAACTAAGCCCATGATGCTGTGGCTTTGAAACAAATACGAGCTTTCTTCGGGACCTCAGTCAGCATCTCAACCAGTGTCTTCGGCAACCGAATTAGAACCTCAGTCTCTGAAACATACACGCGTCTGGAATATTCCAAGTGATAACGTCTCACGTTGAGTAGTCAAGGAATGAGACATACGAGATGCATGCGCTTCTAGAATGGCGAATGCGAGAGTAGAGAATCATCAACTATTAGGGTTTCTGTGCCCCCGAAGTAAGTTGACTAAGAAACCACTAAGCTGTCATTTGTACGGCTGGCACACTCGTACTTTTGAGATAAGAAATTGCTCTCGGATAAAAGTCCAGGTTCTGGTAAGCTTACCGAGTCTGCGAGTATGTATGGCATATTGATACATACACTGGATTCTGTATTAAACTTTGTACAGTATCCTCAAGAGCCATTCAACTATTGATAACTAGATTTATGCTATATGTGTTGCTCTTATGAGTATTGCGTACGGTGTATCTAGATTCTATAGAAACGTGAAAATTTCATCCATAATGTCTCTTAGTTGACGAGTTACAACATGGTAGGTATCAACGGGTAGTGCATGCAAAGCCAAGTTCGACAGACAATCATTAATAACATTTTAAAACCAAACCCAATTTCAACAAATAGATAATAGTCAAGAATACTGCTGAGGAATAACTTCCCCTTGTCTGCCATGACATTTCAGTACGCCACTGACGGCTCCTATTACTCCATCTGTTGGGCCTTAGTTAGAAAGCAGCCTTGTCTCTTTCATGAAGGTACGCTTACCCATGTCAAAAGATACAGAACCTGCGGTCACAAAGTCAGAGTCCGGCGTTTCTATTGATGAACCCCCCGGCGCGTTCCTGCACATGCACTGGAAGTTGTGCATATTAGGGATGAGAAGTTGTCTGTAGTCGTAGTAACGACAGCCATAGCAACCACCTTGCCGGATCCCATTTCCACTATGTTCATTAGTTATTACTTATATACGAATAAAAGCATAATCAAAGCCATAACATAGTTATATACCTACCCTTGTACTGATTTAAAATTGTGTGTCTGCCTGTTCCAAGCCAGACATTGGTCCAGGTCAAGCCTCGAGTCTACAACCGCCTCCGACGAAGGGGTTTGGGGCCTAGATGTGTTGCCTCTGTTGTCCCTGCATTTTGCCCTCATATACTGTTTCTTATTGCCATTCTGTAGCTGTTCCTCTTCTACTTTGACGTCCTGACACAGGGAGTGCAACGTTTCCTTGGACCAAAACATGGATAGGCCTCTTTCGGCGTGTGTGTGTATGTGTCGACCAGCAACCAGAGCTGCTAAATAGAAAACGACGATAACTATAAGTCGAACCATATTCTCTGAACTAAACAGAGAGTCTGATTGCAATATAGAATGATAATGAGAATTGCAGTGATTTGATGCAATAACCTTCCAGCGGGTTAGGTTCTTTATAACTCTACAAAGTTTTAGTTATCCTACTACTATCTGCCTCTAATTATTGACCCCTGGTCTGCCCCAGGATCAAGCAGGGTAATACATGTGTGGCTATTTTCTTTGTCAAGACGGCCTGGGGCGCTGGGCAACGGTCCAGTGGGCTCTACCCAGAGGTACCTGACTTGTTCTAGACTACAATCAATAGCCATATAAGGTTTGCCATGTTTGTTATATTGATTGATACCAAATCATAGAACAAAGCTACAGCTTCTACTATATTGTTTCAAAGATCGGCCAATGAAGAAGTTATAAATGTGTTCAGTTTCTGCCCTTGGCTGTCAGCCGTTTTAGGGAAGATCATTGGATGATTGTGAAAATTAACACTTTATCATGGGCGTGACCTGTCTAGAAACCTTTCCTACGGGAGATTTGGCGGTTTCAAATGGAGAGATAATGTATCAGAGTGCTTCATTTTCGGTTAACAAGGATATAGACGGCAGATGTACACAAGGGTGTTGGCCTAGAATCAGGCGAAAGAGTTGATGTGCCTCCTTTAACCTCCAGCCCGGAGGATTAATGGCATACCGGTCCCGGCCCAATATTCTCCTCGGACTCATTGTTGACGAAGACCAATAACTTGCATGGCCTCAGTTGGATCTATACTGGCTGAGGTACAAGGGTCTTTAATGTGATAGCAAATGGACAACGGTGGGTGCTATAACAGAATATGAAAGAATCTCAGAGCGATACTATCTTATGGTAGGGCTTAAATCGTGTAGCTTTCAGGTAACTTTACTCGTATATCACTTTATAATCTACTGCAGCACGAGCCGAAATAGATTAACTAAACAAGAGGACTAAATAATCACCATGATCCTGGAATCTACTGACATTACATATAAAGATAGGTGTTCACCACCTGCTATAAAAGATACCCTAAAGGCTACGATATACAATAAAAATCATGTTGAATACCTTCATATCACTACCGAATGCTACCGCCAGCCTCACCGTGCCCCGTCAAAGTAGATTGTCGATCACGCCATTTGTCACTTTGCTGATTCTATATCACTAGCCTCTATTGTTATTTGCTTCCTGAAAGAAATTCTTTAAACCCAATTACAATCAAATAGTGTCGAACCAAACTTTAAGAGCTATGTGCTGCAGATGGACATGAACTGTACACCAGCCATCACACAAGGTGCTCGCTCTGCATCCAAGTCAATCGGTCGGCAACGCGACGAGCAACACTAAAATTAGCGCCACTAAAGCACCAAAGTGCGGGGAAGCTTAGCCGGCTCGACATTTCTTCTCCTAGATTTCACGTCTTTCGACTAGCCATACCAAATGGAACAGACGACGAGAATTCGTAAAAGAGTCCCAAAATCCTGTCGTCGCTGCCACCGACGGAAACAACGCTGTGTTGGATTCCCCATCTGCGCCAACTGTACCGCGGCAAATGAGCCTTGCCTGCGCTTGGAGACGTCTCCATCTTGGCATCATGGGATGTCCAAGGGTGCATTGGCGCAGCGAATTGAGGCGTTGGAAGCGCATCTTTCAGCGATTACTGAAGGATTGCCATCTACCAGCCGAGGGCAGCCTGTTGGGTCGCCAGCAGGTACACCATCTGCGCCTGAAGAACAGACCGAGGCAGAACCTAGCGAGAAAAGCAGAGCTACCGCCTACTTTGGACCTTCATCCGGTGTGACTCTTACGGAAAATTTAAGTTCTATTGTGGAGGATGCTGCCTGGACCAATAGATCGATTCCGATTCATGATACTGAACATCAGGAACCACCATCGCCGGCTCCCACGGCTGAACAGGGCAAGGCTGTACCGCCTGACGATACGGTCGGGAGGCAGCTCCTTGACGCATATTTTGTTAACATGCACACGCGACTGCCATTTATCAACTGCGCGGAGATGCTTCAGCTACATTCTAGGCGGTACGATGTGCCCGGCGCCGGCCAAAAAGAACAATATGGAATGTTCAAGCTATTTATGATATATGCCATTGGCGCAGCGATGCCACAACTCACTGAACAGTACGAGTCGACGACACCCAGCGCATATTATGCTACTGCAATGCAATTTGATAGTGCACTGCGAGAGTCGCTGTCTATCACAGGTATCGAAGGACGCATGTTGATGATCATATACGAGCTGCGATCGAGCTCGAGCTCAAATCTGTGGTACACCATTGGCACGGCAATGCGGATATGCATCGATCTGGGCATGCACCGAGAGTCACACTATAGGACAATGAAACCATTGGAGGCGCAGTTGCATCGAAGGCTATTTTGGAGCGTATACGTGATTGAGCGACATGTGTCCTGGTCCCTCGGACGGCCATTCAGTATAGCAGAGGATGAAATCGATGCGCAGATTCCGGCTGATACTGATGACTTGACCAGCAGGTATGCTGGGGTAGAACAGGACAGGGGTGAGTTGTCTTTGGGTATTGCAGATGGGGCGAATATACCGGCCATCAGACGGTTTATTGCGACAGTACACTTGCAACGGATCATGTCCCGCACTCACACTAAAATTTACCGCGTGGACAAGAACGTATCTACATTGATTCAGGAACTATCCCCATTGCTAGCCTCGCTAGAGCAGTACAAAAGGGGCTTACCTCCCTTGCAGCCTCAAGATAATGATTTCATCCAAATGCACTGGAACAACTGTGTCCGCGCGCTGCTGCAGCCATTTCTGAGTATACTGGATCCAGAAGATGACCTCATCAGAACATGCTTGCATGTATCGGGGCAAATGTGCCAATTGTTTAAGCGTTCGCAACAAAAGGGTCTGTCGGGGTACTCTTTCCTCTTGTCAAATTCGGTATATATTGCCGGACTCACAATGTGGTGCGTATTGTCTTCATCGTCCAATTTCATTAAGTTAATCATGGTCATAGTTTTTGTTTGTTTCGATCTCCTCGTTTATGGAGGACAAACGTGGCAAATGATCTCCGCGCGTGCTCGTCCGCCATGTTTGCTATGGCTGAGCGGAAATCCAGCTTCAGGAAATACCGCGACAACTTGGAGAATATGATCAACCGAGTTATGGCCTTTGTCGATGAGGCGTCAACCTCTAGTTTGTGTATACCAGAACAGTCAACAGCAGGCGTGGAAGGATCATCAGGGCTTCATTTCTCCAATCTTGAGAATTCCAAGGATCCCGTGGCGAGCACACTCGATCTACAGAGTGCAGCTTTTATAGAAGCTCAAGAGCAAGAGGCTTCCCTTAATGCGCGAAATTCATTCGCAAGTGTGTCTTTAGAAGACTTCTGGGCTGATGAGAGTCTGAATCTCCCTACGTTGGATGTGTTTGGTTTTGGTTGGGATAACTTATATTCAGACCAATGAAGAACTTGAAATTAATGAATAGAATAGACAACTTTGACATCAAGAACAGCGTAAGGCTACCAATGGCAGGGAGCGAGATCATCCACAATGCCCAGTTCCTCTCTGCGCGATTTGCTGCTCGGATCAAAGTACGGAACCTCGCCCACCCCCACAGCCCGGTTACCACTTCGGGGGCCAAACCCTTCATGGTCGCCCGTCGCGGTATGAAAGACGCTGCGATTGTCCCAGATCGCTAGAAAGTTAGCTCATAGTATATAATATAGGATACATAGACACCTACCAATATCATTAGGGCTGTTCCATTTGAAACGAACCTGGAGGTCATGCCCGTGAGTGATCATATCATGAAACCACTGTAGCATGCTGGCACTCTCTCTACGAGTCAACCCGTCGATCTGGGTAGGAAAAGAGCCTAAGTGCTCAATCAGCATCCGTATATACAGCACTGAGAATGTGTCTTACCAATAGGGAAAATGGATTTCCATCCTGTAATTGGGTTTGTCCTTACGACCGGATGAACAGCCGATAAGTCTCCTCCAATATTCACGGGTGCCCCGCGCTCCTTCTCATACAAATGGAACTTCCCCGTCTGGGCCAGCCTCATAAAGCCGACGCCCGCATGTGTGGCTGTCAAAGTCTCCAAAAACGCCCGGTATGGCTTACTGATGCGATCATAGATCTCGTAACCAGACGCCCAAAGCGTGTCGCCGCCCGTTTTGGGCAGTTGCACGAGTCGCAGACTCGAATAGTCGGCGGGAGCTTTCTCGAACGAGATGTCGCTGTGCCAGACTGCCGCCATCTTGGTGTAATCAGATCCCTTATAGAGAGTCTTGCGGCCCTCGGAGTTGATGGTGCTGATTTGAGGGTCCGGGTCACCAAATTCGCGTGCATCATTAGTGACCGGGTGAATGTGCAGGCCATGGGTGGATGGACGACCGGTCAGCTCGCCCATGCGTAGGATCAACTCCTTTTGTAAATCGTTCGTAAGATTATCTTGGGCACGGAAGAAAACAACGCCCCGTTCGGCGACTGCTACTGTCAACGCGGCTTTGAGTGATCGATTTCTTGAGGGGAGTACTCACTCATGATGGCCAAGTCGCGAATACGTTGGTCTGCATTGGGGGCTTGTAGGATATCGTCAACGATATTACAAGTTCCTTTGGCGAACTCGTTACCAATCACAGGGGTTACCATGATCGGGTCGAAGCTGTCAAGAGAGCCTGTGCTGTGCTGGCGCTCAGTCGGCTGCATGGTGGTCTGTTGGATAGTCATGATGCAAGTGTATGTTCACAGTGTTTGTTGCTGCTTGGATTGTTCCTCATCATCGTTCTAGCTTCCTTATTTATGTATTGGAGTCTGGAGATCAACATTTGACTCTCATCAATAATGTCTACACGTCTATATCGAACAGGCCTCCGAGGCCATCGGCTTTCGGCGTTAGGCACTCCGATCGCCATATTTTCCTATCGCCGAAATGTATCTTTTCGGATATCGGCAATAGCTGTAGCTATACCTAGGTTACGATCGATGTATAGGACGATTGAATTCTCCTTCTGCCATATATAAATAAAAATGAAGCCTAAAATACAGGAGAGAGCAACGTAAGTCACTTACGATAAGTGACAGTCTGATCAAATATGGAAGGGGAAGCTCTACCCCTCGCCCAGTATCTTTTCAGGCGTCTGCGCCAATTGGGCGTGGACTCCATCTTTGGAGTACCCGGTGACTACAACTTGACACTTCTGGATCATGTTGTACCTTCGGGACTCAAATGGGTGGGAAACTGCAACGAGTTGAATGCGGGATATGCTGCAGATGGGTACTCTCGGATCAAAGGTACTCCCTACTCAGTTTCTTCCTGCGTCGACAGAGGTTGACTGTTTAGCAATTGGTGCGGTGGTGACCACCTTTGGCGTTGGTGAGCTATCTGCCATTAATGCCATTGCAGGAGCCTACGCAGAGAGAGCCCCGGTTGTGCATATTGTTGGGACACCCATGCGCGCCTCGCAGGAGTCGCGCGCATTGATCCATCACACCTTCAATGACGGTGACTATCAGCGATTTGACGCCATACAGGAACATGTCACTGTAGCACAGGTCAACCTGAACGATCATCGTACGGCGCCTTCCGAGATTGACCGGACCTTGCTACAATGTTTGTTGCTCAGTCGACCTGTTCGTATCGCTATTCCTGTTGACATGGTGCCGGTGCTTGTCCCTGTGGCGGGCTTGTCGTCGAAGATCCAGATTCCGCCCGCTGTGCGCCAGCCACAAGTGGAGGAAGCAGCTCTTAATTCTGTCCTCAACAGAATATACAGCAGCAAGAAGCCGATGATTCTGGTTGATGGAGAGACAAGAGCGTTCGGCATGCTCCACGGAGTAGATCACCTTGTGCGGACGATAGGCTGGCCAACATTCACATCTGGCTTTGGCAAGGGTTTAATTGATGAAACGCTACCAAACGTCTACGGAGTATGTACGCTACCTCATAAAGCCTTTCTGGACTCTTGTGATTTAGTTCTGGTTTTCGGGCCACACTTCAGCAACACCAACACCTACAATTCTTTTTTAAAGCCAGCAGACGATGCAGCTATCCTGTTTAGTCCGAACTCGATCCAGGTTAACAAAGATGTCTTCCGCGATCTCCCCGTCCGGTATTTTATTCAGCAGCTCATACAGCGACTCGATATGTCCAAGTTACCGACGCATAAGCATAACCTTGTCCACCCATCACTCAGGATACTCTCCGAAGTGTCTCCTACCGACCTAGTCACACAGACAGGGGGTTTCTGGAAACGACTCTCCCCTTTTTTGCGTACTGGAGACATTGTCCTTGGTGAAACTGGAACCCCGGGCTATGGCGTTAATGAGTTCATACTACCCCCGCATGCCCGTCTGTTCAAGCCGGCCACCTGGCTATCTATTGGGTACATGCTTCCAGCCGCGCTAGGAGCAAGCCATGCGCAGCGGGATCTAGTCTCCTGCAGCGAGTACCACGGTCTATCTAACCCCCGTACAATCTTATTTATTGGCGATGGCAGCTTCCAAATGACAGTTCAAGAGCTCAGTACTATCATCCACCAAAGACTCAATGTCATTATCTTCTTGATCAATAATGACGGATACACCATCGAGCGGTGCATTCATGGCCGCAACCAGGCATATAACGATGTCGCTCCATGGCGATATCTCAAAGCACCAGAGCTTTTCGGCGCGGATCAGGAGGGAGAGTATAAGGCACTGACATGGAAGGTCCGGACCTGGGCAGATTTGGATTCTGTGTTGAACGATTCCCAGCTGGCCAACGGCAAGGGTTTGCGGATGGTAGAAGTTTTCATGAATAAACTCGATGCGCCGGATGTACTGTTGGGCTTGTTTAATCAGCAGATCTTAAGGGAGAATGTGCAGGGTAAGCTATAGTCATTTAATGTCAACATGATAATAGACAAACTATTGCATCTGTTTTTTGGGTTGGTCTTGTGACATTTTGTCGGTGATAGGGCATTATATTGGGTGACTCTCCTTATAAAAACGCCGAAAATGCGCTAAGGCTCGTATACAGTCACCCTTCTAGTGTTTTGCTATCATAGCCTCATCGTGGGAAGTGAGGCTGACTATGCGCAGGTAGAAGAGCCAAGATGATATTACTGAATAGAATCTCGGTATCTGACATGACACTAAAGCCCAATGTGACTATTCCAAGACGCCCTAACTCATTTCGTCTGAGAAGTGGCTGATCATTAACTCCCATAACCAACTATCACTAAGTCTTCCTTTGCCAAGGACGCTTAATATAGGTCCAAGCCCTCATTTGCTTCAGCAACAACGATCCGCCAATGGATAATGTGGTCTTGCAGCCTGACCCAAGCAATACGAGGTCGGGCACTTGGCAGTCTATGCACACGCCTATTTATAACTTCGTGATCTACGATTCAACCCATATCTGTCGCGACCAACCTTTTTCTACTTTTGCTCCGTATTTTCTACCCTACCCTGCAATACATATAGCATAGCCCCGTCCTAATGGTGCCGCAGGCCTTTCTCACCCAGCTCCTGCTTCTTCTCGCTATCTTCAGCGGCAACGCACTAGCCAGACGAGGCGGGGGAGGTGATTCTGACAGCGACAGCGACAGCGGCGATGACAGCAGTGGTGGAAGCGGCGGCGGTTCAGGTTCACCAAAATGTGAAAATACAAACAACCTTCTGAGCACGGTATACCTTGTCCCCGGAAATGCCTGGAACTGGACATCCCAAGGCAGTAGAAAAACAGACGCCAGCCCAACAGAATACGACGGCTCTTACTTCCAGGGAGAAGGACAGCTTTCGTACAACATTACGGGTGGATCGCGATGTCCTGGCGCAAACGGGGAGCTTCGGCTCCTAGGATACGCCTGGGTTGGACCCCAACCGCCTTATCCTACCGGACCCCTCAACCCGTTCATCGTTGGATTCAAGGCTTGGGAATCTGACGCGCCAGTCAGCGAGATCCACACCTCCTATAAACCTATCAAGTTGACAGAGGATAGTGTTTGTCCTGGGGATCCGGATCTCTTTCAGGCTGTCACGACTAGAGGTTGGACGGACTTGGAGGCTCATACATTCGGTGCCTCGGACGTGATGATCATGAATGTCTCCTCGGATTCAACTGCTTCAGCCGCCGTGCGTTTCAATGCTACTACTGCTTCCGACCCCAAACCGGCATTCGGTGTGGGTGAGGGCGCGGTGCGTCTCCCTGGGCGTACTTGTGATTCGGACGGCTTACACATGGGCTGGCCCCCTACAACGATGTTGAATGGGACCGTGACGAACACTACCCTGGAGCTCAGGTTTGTTGGTTCGGTTAACACCTCATCCGACTATAAATACTATGAAGGTCGCCAGGATAATCTACATATCGAATTTGCCGTTACCTTTTCGGGGCAATTCGATAGTATCAATTCCACTAAGGCGTTGAACATTCATTCGCGCAACCAGACTCTTGCATGGGTGCCGAATAACGGTGTCCGGGTTCTGCCGGGTCGTTGGTGGTACATGTTGATGTGGGTTGTTGGGATAGGTATGGCAAACTGTAACCAATGGTAGATACGAGGTACTGTTGGGTTTATTGTACTCATATATACCCTCTTCGATGGTTCATTGGAAGTATGGAAGCAACAAGTGGGTTTAGTACCTGCTGGCAAGACATGAACATGAGCATGGTGGTCCGCAACTCCGCCAAAAAAACAACTCGGATATAGAGTCTGGGTCTCACATGCTGGAAATAGTGTGGTGAAAGCCCTCCGTAACTCCCTGTTGACATGTTTCATCGTCGAATAATAGAAGGCCCGCCACCAACGTCAGGGGCCCTGGACGATGACATCATCTGAGATCCATGATAAGATAAGAAGGATCAAGCGCGCCCGAATCCATGGATCAGCCAGAGCCACGTTCAAACAAGCAAACAATATCCATATCCACATTCATATTCATAACCTCTTATTTTCCTGTGCCTTAAAGACCACTCTTAGGCGGACGAAGAAAAGCGCAGACCAAGAAACACCTGCATCATGCCGAACAACACTTTCTCCTCCTCTCAAGACAGCGGCGTCACTGGCGCCGCCAAATTCGTGACTTCGACGCTTGGGAACACGGTCGGAGGCGTCTCTCGCACCGTTGGCGGGGTCACAGGCGCCGCTACTCGAGGAATCGGCGATACCATCACGGGTGCTACAGGAAGTGCCGGGAAACCGTTGGGCGATGGACTGGGAAGTATTGGAACGGGAGTCGAAGACGGAGCAAACAGGGTTGCGAGAGGGGTGGAGAATGCTGGACAGTGGAAAAGCTAAATAATTTGACTATCAGGCAGCTGCGTTCAGAAAGGGTGTGAGATTGGTGGGTAGCTGGTCGACTTTTGGCTCACTTATTTCGCAACTTGATATCAGATTGACGTTGGATGGGAAGAGAGGTTTGAGATACCGGCCGGTTGAATTTTTTGATTCTATTTGCCTTGTATGTTGTTTAGCATACATAGCATGTCCTGTCGCTATCTTGAACTTTATACAATTGGCGATGTATAATTTATACCGTTCCTCCAGAGGTTCATATTGATTTCCTTGGGAATTCATCTCCAAGTAGGCACACACCCCAGATTCCAGTACCCTTATCATCAATATCATAAATACATACATCATGCATATTTATATCAAACACACTGAACCTCCAAGCTCTGAACTGTAGTATCCGCGGCGAAGCACTGATTCTCGCTATTCACGCTCACGGTTTGAACCAAACCAGACTCGCAATTCGTTCCGGAGTAGATATTCAAGACCGGAGATTTGGAATCGTCACAGGCGCCAGAAGATACATACGCCGTGAAAGACTTGATCGGAAAATTTTCCACACCAACGCAATAGGATGGCGCGAGATTGGCAGATGTGATGAGACCGTCACAATTCTCGTAAAGATAGTGCGAGTAGGACACAAGCGGCGTAGCCATTGTCACCATGGCGAGGGCCGGGAGGACGGCCAAGGACTGTCGACGATCTGTTAAGCTCAAGCACAGAAGGAATCATGAGGTTTGGGGCTTACCTGGAAGAACTTCATTTTGACTATGCAAGTACACTGTTCTAACAGGATAGGTAGATTTGTTTTAGTTATGTTGAAGGTAAATGAGCAGCTTTATAGCTAGGACAACCTCGACCCATGTGGGGCATGTATTATAGATTTTCTGGAGAATGGCGGAGTTAGCCGAAATGGAGCTAAGATTTAATCTCCCTGCACTGATGATTCTCTTGTACGCAGTGCCCCTGAAATGCATCTCGTCCCTTTCCAGCTGTTTTAGATTCACAAATTTGAACTTTACGAGTGGACTCATATACTGCATATACATCTCTTACATTGGATACAAAAACTGAAGCAATTATGTCCCAGCCGGTGTTGTACGGGTAGTAGTATGGGTATATCGACACTCGCCATTGACAAATCCGCCTGTCCTGACGTTACATTGTTGAGAACCAGCCAAGGCTGACAACTTGCATTTCCACAGGGCTAGACTGAAGATATACAGGGACCTTCCTCTTTGGGAAAATGCTCCAACAGTCCAAAAGCATCCCCAATGCTTTATAATCGTTAGTCATGGAAGCTGCCGGAACCGAACATGCCACATTGGTACCAGGGTTGCTGTTTGGACGCCTTTAGCGTTGTTTTCTGGCAAGTCTTACCCCGCATGGGCCCACCTTTCTCTGCTGATAGACAGTGAAGTGAAAACATCGAACTTAAGCATGCTTCGGTGCGAGACACATCCGACATGAACAAGGATGGAGCAGAGCAGGCATAACCATAATTAGTGCCTGGGGCATAGTACTAGAGTTCAATGGTTATATATGTGATCTATGTATTCCGACGCTCTTCTATAAGCTATGGTATCATCACTAATAGCTGTTTAACCGTTCTTATTCGCATGAACCCCAGCGCTCTGCACCTCAAAAGGTGGCCAGAGTGCTTTATCTACCCAGGTAATCTGGTCCTTTGTAGATATATGTCTATTCAAAGCGAATCGATATACATGAAGTTCCTAACCTAGCATATCTTTGGCCACTATAATTGAACACCCCACACAGAAGAAGTTAAAGTGCTCCATCTAAGAGCTTACGCCAAGTCAATGGGATCTAGTGAAGTGCTTTTCTGCGTGTAAGCTTTGTGGGAGAACCAAGGCCTTCACATCTATAACGTAAGTTCAGTCTAGTATGAACCTTCAAGCTGTTAGCCTGCTACTTGTGAGCCCCTAATCCAGGTACCCGACTACTGTTTACCTCTTAGGAACGTGTTTCCGTCGTTCTTAGACCTCTTATCGCTAGACTTAGAGTAAGCTGGGAAACTCCTTGCTTATGTGGACATATCACTGTAAGCTTAGTAACCTACGCTAAGCATTGTCGGCCACCGTCGGGAATATGGCCGCCAAGCTATACTATACCAGGTATTGCAGTAAGAATGGATATCCATGTGATAGGATGCTGCGGGGTTTAGTGGATTATTGGACATGTTCGGCTGTATCTTAATACATCTAATATTGTCCAACGATATGGTAAAGAAATACTTTCAAAACCAAGAAATTGGCCTTGTTTTCCGATAGTCCCCGAATTCTATCGCATGTACATTTCCAACTAATCTGCTCGCCACACAGTTAAAGAGACTCTATGAGGTTAGAAGCCTAAGCTACTACGCAAAGAGTTGCTTACCAATCATGACCCCGTACTCACTTTTCTGATGTGGTACATGACGACATAAAAGCTTTAATAAGACCCCGATATTAGTGACTTCTCTCATCGACTGGCATCTTGGTCTTTGCCCCTCACCACATCACCTCTTAGAACAACTCGAAGACTTCTCCGCGTGAAGCAATGACATCATCGATTGACTCAAGCACCATTTTCCGTGTCGATGGTTTGGTGGCCGTCATTACTGGCGGAGGCAGTGGTCAGTATTGTTAATGAGAACCGTCACAGAGTGGCCATTGCTTAACCCATAGCCACGACATACAGGCATTGGCTTAACCATGGCACGAGCCCTCGCATTTAACGGAGCACGAAAAGTGTATATCCTAGGCCGGCGTCTGGAGGTGCTGCAGAAGGCAGCCGAGGAGCACCCCAGCCTGATTTCACAGCAGTGCGATGTGACATCGAAAGAAGATCTGCAATCTGCCGTAGACCGCATCACGGCCGAGGTAGGTTATGTGAACCTCGTCGTCGCCAATTCCGGCAGCATCGGGCCTCTAGCACGCTACAACCCAACCGCCTCTCTTTCAGAGCTGCGCCAGACCCTATTCACCGATTTCTCTATGGATGAGATGAACGACACCCTACATCTCAATATCACGGCGGCCTTTCTCACTATGACGGCATTCCTCGAGCTTCTCGACGCCGGCAACAGGAACGCGCTGCAAGGCGGCTTTGGAAAGCCCATCACAGAGGGCAGCGGCGTCCCGTCGATCCAGAGCCAGGTTATCTTCACTAGCAGTATCTCAGCCTTCAGTCGGCATCATTCATCGTCGCCCCCGTATTTGGCCAGTAAGGCAGCCATCATGCAGGTGGCTAAACACGCTAGCACCCAGTTGGCTCGGTTTGGGATTCGGGTGAATGCTCTCGCGCCGGGAGGTATGTGTACCTTGCCGGTATAACAATTATTGTTCAGTTTAGGGGGCTGATAAGGAATTATTTGTAGTCTATCCGTCCCAACTGGCTTCCGTCCTGACCCAAGACCGCAAACCGGAAGAGGAGACTTTCGATGATCCGAGGTTCATCCCGGCCAGGCGGTTCGGTGGTGATGAGGAGATGGCGGGTGCAATTCTGTACCTTGCTAGTCGGGCGGGTAGTTTTACGAATGGCTCTGTTCATGTCACTGATGGTGGTCGGCTGTCAGTTGTGACTGGGTCTTACTAGGGTCAAATACTAGGAGAGCTGAATCAAGGGCAATATTCCGAACACGCACGTAGTTACATAGTATGGATATCTCAACATCTTCTTCGTTCAAGAATCATGACTCGATGGCCTCTAAGCTTGTCCTGATTTACTTGGGATATCCAATTATCCATAGCCAGTACGTCTCGGGATAAAGAGAAGAGTATAATGACATCAAAGCTAATCCAACAATGTTGACTACAGCAAGTCATTCAAACGAAAAGTATTATTTACATATCTACATCAAACACTACTTACTATATGAAATCGGCCAGCAAGAACGGCCAATATGATCCTAATATCCTCGCCTTCTTGAAGTACTGGAGATTCTTAGTTGACATAGCTAGTATTAACCCACTGTGTCCAATCCGAGCCCAAAATGGTTGAGATAGAAACCGGCTCGCTAAACTTTTCAGCGAAACTAGCACGCGTACCCTTTGCGCCAGCACCAGTGTTACCATACTCAGCGAAGGTAACATTCTCAGTGTTAGCCTTGGTAGTGGACCATTCAGACCAGCCGGCAGGGTTGACCACATCGGTCATGGAAGTCTCCTGGAAGAGAACGCGGGCGTACTGGGACCAGGGGCGGCCTGTGACATAGACGGTCAACAAACATGAAGCGTGGAAGTACGGCTTCGATAGAAGTATAGAACATAGTAGAACATACCGAGGTAATAGGTACCCGAGGGGACATCATTGCCATCAGCGGCGGCGACGGAGGACTTGTGAATCACGTAGTAGGACGAGTCAGTTTCGGAGGAGCGGCCGTTGGCGGTGATGTAGCCGGAGCTGGGGCCCTTCAGCACACGGATGTCGCAATCATGGAACCAGGCACGGGCGTGCTGGCCGAAAATGAAGTCACTGAATTGGCAAATGGGCGTGAGCAATTTTCCTGCGATGGGGCGGAAGAATACAGAGGAGCTTACACAGCACCCTCGATGAGGGTGTGGGCGTAGATTTGATTTCCACTCTGAGCGAGAAGTGTATCTATTTGATGGCAAGTCAGTACTACAGAGCTCTTTGCTCCTCTGTTGTTTTCGGTTGCTTACCCTGGTATCCGGTGAACTGGCATCCGTAGTATCCCTGGCCATTGCCGTAGGCGCTCACGGCCAAGGCCTGGTGGCAGACTTGACCGCATGAGTTGATAATGTTGAGGTTGTAGATGGACGAGTTGGGGGAGTGGTTGCGAATAGTTGCTATATGTACTGTAAGTACAGTGAACCAGAACATAGGCTAGAGTGCATGATGGAGCTCTGACCGGTTTCGTCATCGTTAGCGACGTCAGCTAGCCTGATGTTATGAGTGATGTTGACAAGGTTGCCCGTGTAGGTGGTGTCGCTGTAAATACACTATTAGTTGGCACAGTCATTTGCTGCCCAGTACAGAATCATTGCATACTCCTCCGTCTGACCGTAGATAATCAGCTTCCCAGTCAACGATGGGATGTACACCTGTTCGTCGTAGGTACCCTCCTCAATGAAGATGGTCTGCGTCGCGGTCTCGGTGGTGCTCAGGGCATTCACGGCGGCACCAAGCTATTCATAACAGTCCGTCAGAGCATACACAAAGGTATTCAATCTGCGTTTTCCACATGCTTACCGTGGCATAATCACCCCCAGACTTGGCTACAACGATCGCACCGGCAGGAGCTGTCATACGGCTCGCGGCCAGGGCCGACGCGGCAAAGAGAGAGGACACCAAAAGTGATTTCACCATGCTTGCTACGAGGAAAAAAGATCGGCGAATCTAAGTTTGCTATTGATGGAGGAACTAGAGGGCGCGAGGGTACCCTATTTTTATAGGGAAGCATGTCTTACGCGTGTTCCATCATGCCCTATTGATTGAGATCGATCAGGACCTCCTAGTGGAGACACCGGTGGGGGTTCCTCAGAACCTAGATAACTATATGTGAAATGGCTAAGGGCGTTAAGTAATTTGTCCGGCTGTTAAAGAAGCTTCTTTAGAGCTAGTGGGCCCAGCTCCTTCTCCAATTTTTATTTCTCGGCCACTTCTTCTTAATTAGAGCGAATATCAACCCAATTAATCCAAAAGAGAGCAGGCCCAGCCCCTCCTAGTCATGATTTCTATTGCAATTTTAGCAAATTTTAGGAGATATTACCTTAGCTTGGCAAATTATTGAAGGAAGCGTTAGATTGTCTGAATCTCAACTCCCGAAAGCTCCGAGACAGGGGAGAACTCGATGTTTGAGCCTTTGTGGGGACAGCTTTATTCCTTCTCGCCGACCGAACTCCGTCCTTAAATTGCTACCGGCTTTTCTTCCCTTCTAGCACACCCCAAGAAATTGGATTGGTGGACTTTTCAACCTCAAGCATGCACAAATTCGCCGCATGAGATCCACCCTGACAAACCAAGCTTCATCGTTGAACCTTAACAAAATTTTAACGCATGCTGTAAAGATGGGCTTCGGTTCTCAATGCAATAGAAAATGCGCAGGTATCTTGCATTCTGCGTGGGACCGTCCACAGGGCGTATGCACATTTCGCGACTTACCAGTTTTACCCCTATCGCCAAGAGACTCATTCCCTTGGAGCTTGTCTCGTAAGAATCCTTTCGGGCTAGACAGTTAAAATAGGATGAACAAGTGGAAACCCCGTGGGTCATGCGATTTGCACGAGGAAGAAGAGGAGTCTATCTTTGTATTCAACCCTCGAGAGCTGGTATGTTTGAAGACTAAGTACGATCTTACAGAAAAGACAGTCGGCACATACCGAGAGAGAGAGAGAGAGAGAATGACTACCTCCACATAACATTCTGTGTTACTTCGGAAATAGATTGGTTGGCAAAAGTTAGATAATCATAGGCTTGTTGGAAGACCCATCTACGAATATAATAGGAAAAATGAAGGCCTGCAGCAGAAGTTGAATTCTACAATCCCCCGCTGTCCAAAGGTACAGAATAGAACAAATCAATCCGATACCTCCACCCTGCTAAGATATCCTATCCATGCATCAAATTAATGGTGGCAAGGGATTGAAACAAGCAAATGGAGAGATAAATTAGCACAGAGCCCAAAGATTCACCCACACATACCTAGAGATCATAGTTGTTCAACGCCGATTTTCTGACCGAGAATTCCTAGAATCACCGGGCAGCCTCGAGGGCTCGCAGGAAGTGAAATCTCGTTGCTAGTTTCGTTGTATTTGACGGAGTTCACATCTCTCGTAAAGGAGGTACCAGAAGCTTGGTCAGGACCAAATTGGAACCCGAAAATCCGAAGTCCACCGTTGGATTCAGATTTAGCCTGGCTCACCATATTCCTTACTTGAGTCTTGAGGGATTCAGCGAAACGGATCTTCAGACACTTCGTAACCGACAAGAATCTTGGAGACGCGGACTACTATGCGTGTATCGCTTATACATGTCTGTAAGACTGATAAATTACAGTCTAAATTTATCCCTTATTATACGCATTCCTAACAGCCCTTTTTAAATTCTTTAACTGTCGCAAGGCCCAGATACATTACTACCCGTCTCACCGCCGACCCCCACTTTCAGTAGGGGGTTGGCTACGGCTCAATGAAATCCTCGGCTCAATGAAATCGTCTTATTTTATTAATATCTTTATTATTTTTGAAGCTATTCAGACTATATATAATATGTAATCTACCTATAAAGCTAAGAAAGAGCTTGTTCAAAGGGCCCTATATATATATAATGAAAAAAAAACGCGTTAAAAAGTAGGTTAATATTAAGAAATTGGCGCGTGAGTACGGGGTCTTCTATAGATATCTTTATCGTTGAATAGGTAGCGGAGCTAGTAAAAGTACTAGATAATATTTTAATTAGTATCTTGATTTAGCTTAGTATAGTACTTTATATAATTATATTAATTAACTTAATAATATAGGCGTTTTTTTAAGCGTTTAATAGATTAGGAAGGCTATAGATATAATCCTATAGTGGAATTATATAGATTTTACTACCGCACTACCAAAAGTCTTAAAAAATTGGCTATACAGGTTTCTTAAGTAGATGAATCGTTATATAAAAGGTAAATACTATATAATTGATGTGGATCGCTAGAATACTAAAGATAAAGCTTTTATTATGTAGTGGTATAACTATTTTTAGCTTTAGACTAAGATATATAGTATATATAATAAGGATATCTGGAATTTTAATAAAACGGGCTTCCGTATAGACTAGGGCTGTACAGAGACGATTTTTATACGCTATCCTAAGTGAAATAATAATATTATTAACGCTTTATTCTGTACACTAGTAAGCTCTATCGAATACGTTAACGCTATTGGAGATAAAATTTTACCTATCTTGATTTTTCTAGGCAGCGTTTTTCTATGTGATTAGTTTATATATATTGAGTTACTAGATAACTATATCATTGAAATCTTTAAATTAGGCTATTTAAACGATGCAATTATTTATAGCTAGATTTATTATTTTAATTATTATATAGTCTCCCGGTAGCGAGATATTTATTGGTTTCTTTTTATAGACAATTATAATTCCTATTTTACTATTGAACTTGTACAGTATTACAAGTATTATAAGATTTTACTACTTTTTTTTTCTTTTTATTTAATTTATCGATTTCAACCGCTCGATTTAATTCTATTTTAATATCTAAAAGGAATATATAGTGCCGCAGTTAACAAGGTTTCTTATATTAATAATTAGTAATATAATAAACTTAAATTTCTATACGATATCGATAGAATATGTAGAGATACCTGTTACACCCGGGGCTTCGTTGTCAAGTCTAAGACTAGTTAGCGTACCACGTTCCAAGGGTTATTAACCTGAAGTTAGCCTTTGACTTCTATTATTATTAAGTTATAGTCTAGGTAAGATAGGAATTACCTCAAGACTTTAGTTGATATTAGACTACCGTCGATACTAGATTACTATTATTATAGAAATATAATTAATACTAGACTACTATCGATATTAAATTACTATTATTATAGAGATATAGTTAATATTAAACTTAAATTTAAAAAGCTAAGCCTATTAAGTACATATATCTAATAGTTAAAAAAGTGCAAATAAATTAAGACTAGTTATACTATTAAAGATAACTCTATAATAATAATTATAAATTAATTATAAAAAACTAAATTAAATATATAAAATAAATATTTTTATA